GTTTGCATTAAAACCTGAGAAAAACAACGTCATTTTGTCAAGATTGATCTCCATTTCACGTTTTATGATCTTTTTACGTCATATCAACCCTGTCGCATGATTTTGACCGGTGACCGGTGTGCGTTTTTAATGCCTCTCAGTTTAGATATAGAGTCAATTGTACAATTCCGACAGTATGTGTTGATGAATCACTATCAAATAGTGATGATCCCAAGTGTTGGCGAATAAGTGAGCGTACCCGACCCAACCTGTGGCACGCGTTCTGGTATTTGATCGAAAAAGGTAAATTGTCCCATAAAATGCTTGAAAAAAAAAAATTATGGTTAAAAGGACGGAAGCCTTTTAGGGCCATTTGTTTGTTTTATTGAAATTCCAAGATACTGACTTGAAATTTCCAGATAATAAGTTCAAGTTATGATACTTAAATTTATCTTGAAATTTCAACTTAGTATCTTGAAATTAAAACATAATTTCAAGTTAGTCTGTCGAAATGTCAAGAAAGAACACCCCCACCCCACCCCACCCCCGAAAAAACAAAGCAAAACAATCAAAAGAAACAAAAACCCGAAAAACCAAAAAAACAAAAAAAAAACAAAGAAAAAACAGCCGAAATGGTCCCAAAAGGCTTCCGTATAAAAGAGAAATTGTAACAAGAAGAAAAAGATTTAGGCCCATAGTTTTAATTACAAAATGTCCGGTTTTGCAGCTGTAGCTGAACAAATATCCCTAAATCCAATCGCAGGCTTTGCGTGTGGCATTTGCTTGAAAACGTGTTCTCTCAATATAACCACTGCTTCTTGGTATGTGCGACATCCCTTATATGCAGCACAGTTTTCACAACACGTTCTCTCAGTACATCCACTGCATTTTGGTATGTGAGACATCGCTTATATGCAGCACAGTTTTTACAACACGTCCTCTCAGTACATCCACTGCTTCTTGGAATGTGAGACATCCCTTATATGCAGCACAGTTTTCACAACACGTTCTCTTAGTACGTCCACTGCTTCGTGGTATGTGAGACATCCCTTATATGCAGCACAGTTTTCGTAATACGTTCTCGCAGTACATCCACTGCTTCTTGGTATGTGAGACATCACTTATATGAAGCACAGTTTTCCTAATACGTTCTCTCAGTACATCCACTGCTTCTTGGAATGTGAGACATCCCTCACATACAGCACAGTTTTCACAACACGTTCTCTCAATACAACCACTGCTTCTTGGTATGTGAGACATCCCTTATATGCAGCACAGTTTTCACAACACGTTCTCTCAGTACATCCACTGCTTCTTGGTGTGTGAGACATCTCTTATATACAGCACAGTTTTCAAAAAACATTCTCTCAGTACATCCACTGCTTCGTGGTATGTGAGACATCGCTTATATGCAGCACAGTTTTCGTAACACGTTCTCTCAGTACATCCACTGCTTCTTTGTATGTGAGACATCCCTTATATGCAGCACAGTTTTCGTAATACGTTCTCTCAGTACATCCACTGCTTCTTGGAATGTGAGACATCCCTTACATGCAGCACAGTTTTCACAACACGTTCTCTCAGTACGTCCACTGCTTCTTGGTATGTGGGACATCCCATATATGAAGCACAGTTTTCACAACACATTCTCTCAGTACACCCACTGCTTCTTGGAATGTGAGACATCCCTTATATGCAGCACAGTTTTCACAACACGTTCTCTCAGTACATCCACTGCTTCTTGGTGTGTGAGACATCTCTTATATACAGCACAGTTTTCAAAAAACATTCTCTCAGTACATCCACTGCTTCGTGGTATGTGAGACATCCCTTATATGCAGCACAGTTTTCACAACACGTTCTCTCAGTACATCCACTGCTTCTTGGTATGTGTGAGACATCCCTTATATACAGCACAGTTTTCACAACACGTTCTCTCAGTACGTCCACTGCTTCTTGATATGTGAGACATCCCTTATATGCAGCACAGTTTTCACAACACGTTCTCTCAGTACATCCACTGCTTCTTGGTGTGTGAGACATCTCTTATATACAGCACAGTTTTCAAAAAACATTCTCTCAGTACATCCACTGCTTCTTGGTATGTGAGACATCCCTTATATGCAGCACAGTTTTCACAACACGTTCTCTCAGTACATCCACTGCATTTTGGTATGTGAGACATCGCTTATATGCAGCACATTTTTTACAACACGTCCTCTCAGTACATCCACTGCTTCTTGGAATGTGAGACATCCCTTATATGCAGCACAGTTTTCACAACACGTTCTCTTAGTACGTCCACTGCTTCGTGGTATGTGAGACATCCCTTATATGCAGCACAGTTTTCGTAATACGTTCTCGCAGTACATCCACTGCTTCTTGGTATGTGAGACATCACTTATATGAAGCACAGTTTTCCTAATACGTTCTCTCAGTACATCCACTGCTTCTTGGAATGTGAGACATCCCTCACATACAGCACAGTTTTCACAACACGTTCTCTCAATACAACCACTGCTTCTTGGTATGTGAGACATCCCTTATATGCAGCACATTTTTCACAACATGTTCTCTCAGTACATCGACTGCATTTTGGTATGTGAGACATCGCTTATATGCAGCACAGTTTTCGTAACACGTTCTCTCAGTACATCCACTGCTTCTTTGTATGTGAGACATCCCTTATATGCAGCACAGTTTTCGTAATACGTTCTCTCAGTACATCCACTGCTTCTTGGAATGTGAGACATCCCTTATATGCAGCACAGTTTTCACAACACGTTCTCTCAGTACATCCACTCCTTCTTGGAATGTGAGACATCCCTTATATACAGCACAGTTTTCACAACACGTTCTCTCAGTACGTCCACTGCTTCTTGATATGTGAGACATCCCTTATATGCAGCACAGTTTTCACAACACGTTCTCTCAGTACGTCCACTGCTTCTTGATATGTGAGACATCTCTTATATACAGCACAGTTTTCAAAAAACATTCTCTCAGTACATCCACTGCTTCGTGGTATGTGAGACATCCCTTATATGCAGCACAGTTTTCACAACACGTTCTCTCAGTACATCCACTGCTTCTTGGTATGTGAGATATCCCTTATATACAGCTCAGTTTTTACAACACGTCCTCTCAGTACATCCACTACTTCTTGGTATGTGAGACATCCCTTATATACAGCACAGTTTTCAAAAAACATTCTCTCAGTACATCCACTACTTTTTGGTATGTGAGACATCCCTTATATGCAGCACAGTGTTCACAACATGTTCTCGCAGTACATCCAATGCTTCTTGGTATGTGAGACATCTCTCTATTATATATAAAAGTTTTCGATTTGTATGGCCATTAGATACGCCACAGCTGCAAAACCAGATATTTGTTTAAACAATTATGAGCCTGATATTTTTAAAAGGAAAACACCTTGCAACAATGTAATTTATGTGGCAGGCAATGTCTTGTTTAAAGGCCGGAAGCATAATTATTTTTTTCGTTTTTTTAATAACCCCTGAATATCATAGGGTCGGTCTCTCACACCCCATGGAATCAGCTTCTGCATATATGCGAGACTGGTTATTGTCTGGCGTTGACGAAGCGAACGGATAGCATAAATAACCCTTGGTCTTTGTGTTTAAGGGTCCAAAGTTCAAAGATCAACACACCTTTACTCTCAATCGGAGGCCTTTAGTTAGTGATGTGACCTTTAATTCGAATTTGAAATATCAATAGTTCGTTTCCAGCCACCACAAATCACATCTGCGGATTGGATTTTATTAATGGTAATGTAATCATGTTTATCAATAACATATTTATTTTCCAGCTATTGTTTTCCTGGAGCGATATTTCGCATAAACAATCTTGCCTGTATACAAATCCAAATTTCATTTATTCGAACTTAAAATGAGTTGTAATCTATTAGAATTTTGCAGAATAGTCAGGACTAGTAGCTTTTAATTTATTACCAAAAGAAATTTTAATAGATGGAAGCAGAATAGTACCACAAGTTGCCTTTTGTTGACACAGCCATCGGTGTATAATATAATGAAGGTGTGATATCTTCAATAGTATCCATTTCCGAGAGGCGGATATTGCTTCTGTAATACTTGATGCTTCTGTACATTCATGAGTAAGCGAACATTTATTTTATTTTGAGGTAAACGTATTCTCGAAAGAATTGTTGGCTGAAAGTGAACACTTTCAGTGGTCATGATACAACTGAGGAATCGTGTAGACCTCAAATATTCTAAACACAGACAATATTTCTTTGTACCAACATACCGGGAATATAGATCATTACGTCGCGAACACCAGGTATCACCACTCCTTGATAGTGGCTCATAAATACATGCTTATGAAACAGTCGGAAACGTTCAATGCACTCTGGTTTTTTTGTAGATAGTTCTATAATTCTGGAAAAGGCTCCGTCGCTTTTATTATAATCAAAATACTCATACCCAAATTATAAAGCGTAGTAAGCTCAGCTGTCGGTTATTTCATATATTCTCCTATATAATATCGACAGCCTCCGTGGTCTAGTGGTAGAGCGTCCGCCCGGAGAGCGGAAGGTCCGGAGTTCGATCCCTGACCGCGCCATACCATAAGACGTTAAAAGATGGTACTGGTTGTTACCCTGTATGGCGCTCGGCATTAAGGGGCTAAAACAAGGACTGGTCGGCTCGGAGTCAGTATGCTGTGTCTGAGTGGGGTATTCATGTTAAACTGCGGCATGGTATCTCAGTGAGCTAGCACTATAAATCGGCATCAGTCCGGACTAGTACAAGCAGCCACACAAACACACACACGTACATGCACGTCGCTATATAAGTGCAATAATCTTGGACGCGACGTTAAACCCCATTTCACCTCACCTATTTCATATATGACACACTAACAAGTATAGGTTGACGACAGAGCCGCCGTTCTCATCCAGTCGCTCTATACTCAAGTTACATGCTCAACCTCTATTTTCACACCACACATGCAACCATGTGACACCATCGATGCGTGACCTATACTATGTAACAATGGCGGCGTCTGCTATTCCAGTTGTTGATTTCCAGAAGTACGGACTGAATGTAGCGGACCCTACGTCCGTGGCGAGTGAAGTTTTGGAGACTACGGCCAGGGAGATATATGATGTCTTCAGTACAATTGGCTTTCTGTACCTGATCAATCATGGCGTTGAGCAAAGGAAGGTAACGACATATCATGTCTGTATATGGGTCAGGGACAGTATCCAAATATTATTGTCATATTAGGTTGAAATGTGAATCGTTCATTGTTGGTCACTCCAAACTGTTGCGATACCCCAACCTTCTCTGGTGGTGTCGTCGATCTTCACCCAGAGAGAATCCTATGAGAGTAAAATATCTGAGTTTAATGAGATTGGCCACTTGTCTGAGGTATCGCTCTTTCCTCTGCAGAGTTATGTCCCTTAATCGTGATGAGTGGGCTCGCGCTGATCTTGGTTCATGTTTGTCATCTCAAATACCCTTAAATTCCTTTCCGTTTTTACTGAACCGGAAAAAAATATTAACAAACATATTTTTCAGAGTTTGTATTGTAGCAAAGTCATTTTAAGTCACAATACAATATTGTTATTCCAGGTGGATGACATGTTCAGAGTGTCACCGGATGAGCCATGGAGGGTTATTGTGCTATTGTTATTCCAGTTCGATGACATGTTCAGAGCGTCACTCGGTGAGCCATGGAGGATTATTGTACTATTGCTATTCCAGGTGGATGACATGTTCAGAGCGTCACGCGGTGAGCCATGGAGGGTTATTGTACTATTGCTATTCCAGGTGGATGACATGTTCAGAGCGTCACCCGCTAAGCCATGGAGGGTTATTGTACTATTGCTATTCCAGGTGGATGACATGTTCAGAGCGTCACTCGGTGAGCCATGTAAGGTTATTGTACTATTGTTATTCCAGGTGGATGACATGTTCAGAGCGTCACTCGGTGAGCCATGTAAGGTTATTGTACTATTGTTATTCCAGGTGGATGAGATGTTCAGAGCGTCACTCGGTGAGCCATGGAAGGTTATTGTACTATTGTTATTCCAGGTGGATGACATGTTCACGGCGTCCAAGGCCTTCTTTGATCAACCCGTGGAGGAGAAGAGGAAGTGTGCTCGAGTCCAGGGTAAAAATTATCATGGCTATGTTGCCTTAGAGAGCGAAACGTGAGTTGCCATGGTAATATCTGTGTTTAGTGGTTACCATGCCACTACGGCATATTTCACACATTCAAGTATGTAAGTAGATGATAGTTTCAAAATTCCACAATGATAATTAAAAGGATGATATAGCTGCTAACCATTCCCTGTTTCGGGAAAACCACTAGATCTCCCAAGTCCCCGGGGCCTCTCATCTTCCCGAGGCAAGAGAGTTAACTGACTTGAAAGTCCAGTTTCCACCCTTGCCGATCTAGGTTGGAATTCCTGGGTTCGATCGTAGCACAAAACGGTGGCGCCCAGTCAAGACGATCTGATCGATAATCAAGATCTATATTGTGATAATACACAAAATCGCGAATCTTATATCGCGAAGTGCATCAAATCACGTGAGCACCTTGATTAAAAACATGAAAAGATTTAGAAAATATCTGTTGACAACGAGTTAGCGGTGCACATGCTTTGCAAATCCTGCAGTTGGCCGAAATCTGCATGACACTTTACGAACGGAAATTCGATTTCGGTGCGCGATTTTGATTGGACTATGCATAGACTCGTTAGTCCAGCCAAAATGTAACTCCATAATACCAGCCTAGTTCGGCAAGGGTGGAAACCGGACTTTTATAGTCAGTTAACTCACTTGCCTCGGGAAGATGGGGGCCTCTCTTCTTCTCTGTCTTCCGATAAAGTCATTGAAACGTAAGTAAGGATAGGATGTATCGATGAACAACTTTTATATTATAATTGGGAGCGACCTTTATGTGTAGGTTCTAACACCGTTATCAAGCAAGTGATGTACAGAGTATGGTTGACAAGTATATATGGGATAGGAGGCAGTGTTTATACAGTTGAGTAGGTTTAAGATGCAGTTACATTGGAGTGGAGAATGAGTGAGTGAGTAAGTTTGGTTTTACGCCGCTTTTAGCAATATTCCAGCAATATCACGGCTGGGGACACCAGAAATGGGCTTCACACATTGTACCCATGTCGGGATTCGAACCCGGGTCTTCGGCGTGACGAACGAACGCTTTAACCACTAGGCTACCCGACCACCCTGGAGTGGAGAAGCACAGAAGGGTAAAACATATTGGCCGGTGAAGCTCCTAATTGTAATAATGAAATTGTTCATCCATATATCTTATCCTTTCTTAGTACTCCAACTTATAAATGCCTCTCATAACACTTTCGTACAAACGCAGACAGAATATAAATTTATCTGTTCATAACAAGTACATGAAAATATTTGTCCGATTTCTGCACCCGTGTTGGAAAAGAAATCGCGCCCGTGACTGGGACACCGGTGAATCTTCTCTGAGGCACCACACGTGGATCTAATTTGCTACTAACACTCCTATATATATATATATATATATGTCAAGTGTTTTGAATTTTTTTTGAGTGTTTTGATAATTTGGTATTTTTGCACACATCCGCAATGCAAAGTACGGGCGTGCAAGTACTTGGGCTTTGTTTTGCTCGATATGAATTTATGCTCTCGCTGTACATTATTCCCTGTGAATATACGAGATTGTGTTGTCAGTAGTTGAATGAATAGTTATTTTGCTCTGGGTCTGTCTGATCTGGACCTGATTAGCTACAGGCATCCATGGTGTAGATAAATATTGATACTTATATGTAAACCAACATGCACTCACTCAAACATTTAATATTTATGCTACTCACGTGTGGCCCAGTGAACTAAAGTGTTGTCCGAGTTGCATCCCTTGGATCCGCTGGTTGAGGGTCTGATCCTAATGACAACAATTCTCGTGCTCATGGGTTTCACCTTGGTGGTAAACTTTGTCCCTTCAGGCTTTCTTCCTGCATCCTGAAATCCTCACTGTTTCTAAACGTTTGTTTCAATCTACGTTTGTATTTCCCCAAAGGTTGAATCCCGAGCGACAGTCTGCAGACCTCAAGGAAGCGTTCAACTTTACACCAAAAGATGATGGGGTATTGTAATTGTTTACCTTCAGGATAAACCTGTATCCCAATATGCTTGTCGACGCGGTGCAGGTGCCTATAAAAGATCGGATGGTCAGGTTCGGAGACTCGGCTGATTGTATGTTATCGTACCCCGATGTAGTGCGTGTGTGCTCATGCTTTCAGTCACTTGTTTCCATCAGTTATTTACAGGCTGCTGTGATATAGCTGCCACATCGCTGCCTGCTTCGTGAACTAAACCACGCACTAATTTATCAGCGGGAATATCTTTATGTTAACGCTCGGCACTACCTGCCATATTTCGACCTGTGAAGATTCCGGGGTAGAATAGGTCGTCAGCAACCCATGCTTGCCGTAAAAGGCGACAATGCTTGTCGTAAAAGGCGACTAACGGGATCGGGTGGTCAGGCTCACTGACTTGGTTGATACATGTCATCGATCCCAATTGCGCGGATCGATGCTCATGATGTCAATCACTGGATTGTCTGGTCCAGACTCGATTATTTACAGACCGCCGTCATATAGCTGGAATATTGCTGAGTGCGGCGTTAAACAACAAACAAACAAACAAAACCTGCCATATTTCAGTGGGTTCAGCCCAAGTAACCACTAGCAGTCAGGTGGGACGAACATGAATGGCAAATATGCATCCTTTCATCAAGCTTTAGAGTTGAATCTTTTGGAAAATGTCAGCGTGTTGGCGCAGTCTTTACGTACAAATGATACCAAGTCAAATACAAGAAAACAAGTAATTAAGTCTTGTCCAGGTGCCAGGTGACAACAATATAATGTTGGTCTATTACAGGCGTGGCCGGCGGATGTTCCCCAATTTAAGTCAACTTTCTTCTCTTTCTTTGACGAATGCACACAGCTGACAGAGCGGGTCCTTGATGTCCTGTCTATCGGCCTCAAACTTGAGGTAGGACCTTGTTAGTAGCTTCATGGGGTGAATGTTGGTGTGTTGTTGCAAACTGCAGGTATAAACCGCTGACAGAGCGGGTCCATGATGTCCTGTCTATCGACCTCAAACTTCAGACAGGACCTTGGATGTAGATTCTTGGGGTGACGTGCTGTTGTATGCCCCCATTTCATTACGACCACGAATATCCCGAATCAGCCCGAATAGGACATTTTTCATTTCCGTAGATAAATCTCAATCATTTCTTGAAGTTCTTAAATGAATCCTATTTGATTCCCAAACATTCGTACAGTTCGCCGGAGTTCTTCGAATCGGCGAGAACGTTTTTATTTGTCAAAAACTTTCGTGGAAGGGTCCCCGAATTGCAATTTGGTGGCTGTATCGTAATCCATTCGTAATTAATTCTTATGTTCCGTAACAGCTTCATAATCGATTCTTTTGCATTCATGGCTATTCTTAGCTCCCAAAATGACTTGTCTTCAACCCGAAAACATCCCGAAACAGCCACGAATGTCCCGAGTCAACTACGAATCATGTAAGAATTAAGTAAGAACAACATTCGGCATATTCGTAACTTAGTCGTAGGTGATTGTTACAATTCGTGCATGATCCGTACATGAATCTTGTAATTCGTACATGTTTCTTAACCCATTCCTGGCATTCTTCATATTTTTCAACCCGATTAGCCACGAAAGTTTGCATTATTGGCCGAATCATCACGAATTTCGAAAGTTTCCGATTCGGGATATTCGTGGTCGTAGTGAAAGGGGGCAGTAAGCTGTAGTTATTGTATTCTGTCGATAGGCCTCAATCTTCTTGCCTGACCTTAATGATAGCTAAATTATAAAATTCGTTGAACACATACACACATGCAGACGCACACACACACACCAAGTATCCTCACTCACACAAGAGGTTTTGTCTGTGTTTGAGGCTGTCAGTGTCCTGTGTTTCAGGATCGCAACTTCCTTCGGGAGTGTCACAGTCTGATAGGAAACAAGGGCAACATCACCACGCTCAGAAGCCTCTACTACCCCCCTCTAGCCGGAAGTGAGCTATGGCGGCTATTTTATATACACGGGGTGGGGTGTTTGGGGTGGGGGTGGTTAATGGGTAAGGGTGAAACGATACACCGATATTCCGATGCATCGCGATACTTGACCCACGATACGATATACGATAAACGTGGGCCCATTTATCGATACGCCACGATACGAAACGCAAATCCCAAGTACAGCATTTCCTCGCTATTGTGCCTTTCAATAAACCGCTAACTTGGTTATAGCGCGCTCTAACGCATGGCTCCCCAAAACGTACTTACATTATTAATAAGCTCAGGTTTTACACCGACAGATGTTTTTCCCCATCTCATAAAACATTATCAGCTGATCACCGCAAGCACATAACACCGAAAATACCAGTCAGCAAATCCGAACTGAAGTACGCAATTCAATACCATTATTATACTATCTTGTTATTAAAACGTGTTCATTGTATATCTGGACTTGTGTTTGCAATATATTTTATTATTCTTATTCAAAATTTCCTTTAATATTGTTTTCATTAAGTTATGTGAAATCGTGTGTGAAGAGATACAGCAACCACGGTCAGATTACCGCTTTTGACACATTGAAACGAACTTAAGTTGCTAGAGAATGGATACATATATTAAAAATGCCATACTTTGACTCGTTAAAAGTCATATTTGTGGCAATTTGGCAAATATATGTCAACATAACGTTTTCGCAATCGAAATACATGTAGCACGGGAAGTCCCTAGGGTGACTGGTCAAATTGTTCCATACGTAAAAATATCCTGCAACAGCAATCACCAGTACCAAAATGCTACACTTGTGGTTCTTATAATTTTAAATATATATATAGTAAAAGCTGCAACTAAGGTAACACGATATTGGAATATATTATTCCTGATAAAACAATAATTTCAGATACAATTTCTTCGACCATTGCATCAAAATTCTTTGAAGTTATACATTAATTGTTTTCTGGTGTTTGAACTTTGAATTGTGTTGAAGGAAAGTTAGAGAATGTTCCACTTTGAAGCTGAACAACTTCAGTAGTCTTGTTATTATAAAATAATTTTGACTGTTCCAAAATCATGAAAGGTTCAATCTTGACATGCTTTAAGTCTTGTTTTTTATCATTGCGTATCGGGATACGTATCGTATCGTGACCAGAATATCGAGATGCGTATCGTATCGTGACCTTCCTGTATCGTCGCAGCCCTAGTAATGGGCGTGGGGGTGTCCTTATGATAAATGAACGAATGAATGAAAGAACGAACAAAGGAATGAATAAATCTGCTGTTACAGCCGTGAAGCCAGGACAAGCTCGCTGTGGAGAACACTCTGACTATGGCACAGTGACCCTGCTATTCCAAGATGACATCGGGGGCTTAGAGGTTAGTTTCAGTTTCAATGAGTTTCAGGATTAGACGGAAACGAAAAAATGACAACATGACAGAATTAAATGAAGGATCTTGTCATGTTTATTTTTCATCATTTTGAAAATATGTGTTCACATGTCTATACTTTCTAAATGTTTTTTAGTCATAATGAAGTTCAAATGCCCTTGACACCATCCAAAATGTCATTGAAATATGACTTAAAAGCTCAAGTTGTCTCACTATGTTGATACTGACGACGTGAATGTGGTATGACATGTTTCAGGAGATGACTACTGATGACGTGCATGTGGTATGACATGTTTCAGGTGATGAATACTGATGGCATGTATGTGGTTTGACATGTTTCAGGTGATGAATACTGATGGCATGTATGTGGTATGACATGTTTCAGGTGATGAAAACTGATGGCATGTATGTGGTATGACATGTTTCAGGTGATGACTACTGATGACATGCATGTGGTATGACATGTTTCAGGTGATGACTACTGATGACATGCATGTGGTATGACATGTTTCAGGTGATGAATACTGATGGCATGTATGTGGTTTGACATGTTTCAGGTGATGAATACTGATGGCATGTATGTGGTATGACATGTTTCAGGTGATGAATACTGATGGCATGTATGTGGTATGACATGTTTCAGGTGATGAATACTGATGACATGTATGTGATATGACATATTTAAGGTGATGAATACTGATGACATGTTTCAGGTGGTGAATACTGACAGCATGTCTGTGGTATGACATGTTTCAGGTGATGACTACTGATGACAAGTATGTGGTATGACATGTTTCAGGTGATGAATACTGACAACATGTCTGTGGTATGACATGTTTCAGGTGATGAATACTGATGGCATGTATGTGGTTTGACATGTTTCAGGTGATGAATACTGATGGCATGTATGTGGTATGACATGTTTCAGGTGATGAATACTGATGGCATGTATGTGGTATGACATGTTTCAGGTGATGAATACTGACAGCATGTCTGTGGTATGACATGTTTCAGGTGATGACTACTGATGACATGCATGTGGTATGACATGTTTCAGGTGATGACTACTGATGACATGTATGTGTGTATAACATGTTTCAGGTGATGACTACTGATGACATGCATGTGGTATGACATGTTTCAGGTGATGACTACTGATGACATGTATGTGTGTATAACATGTTTCAGGTGATGAATACTGATGGCATGTATGTGGTATGACATGTTTCAGGTGATGAATACCGACGACGTGTATGTTCCGGCCCAGCCTGTCCCCGGCGCCATCGTGGTCAACATTGGTGACCTCATGCAGCGATGGACGGCAGACAAACTCAGAGCAGCAGTAAGCCAACGATACAGTTCCCGTTCTCATTGGTGATTCGACAAGTAATTTAAGTTGGAAAACATGTACAAAGTCAGGAGCGAGTAACATTAGTTTCTTCTCGAAATACGCTTGTGATAATTTACAATGATATGAAATGTTATTGAAAAGGTTTCCAGATACCATTTAAAATCCCCTTTTGTAAATTGTGTTGAGAATATTTATTCCAAATGAAGATGCTATTCAATGTCGTCATACATCAAGTTGTTTTAGCGGGTATTTCGTGTTAAAAATATATAGGGGTGAAGTGGGTATTTCGTGTTTAAAATATAGGGGTGAAGTGGGTATTTCGTGTTTAAAATATATAGCGGGTGAAATGCGTATTTCATGTTTAAAATATATAGCGGGTGAAATGCGTATTTCGTGTTTAAAATATATAGCGGGTGAAGTGGGTATTTCGTGTTTAAAATATACTGAACCGCAAAAGAAACGTCACCATGGATGGATATATGAGAAACCGCATTTGTCCAAACACTGTCAACATACTTTGAGGGATATCAAAAAGATGAAATTTGGCAAAACTGATCATCAAGGTTGAAATTAAAGTGTCAAATGTTCTTAAAGTGAAACACAACACTCGTCTCTGAGAAAATGGCATCACAAGTCAGTTACTCGTGTGTCCGCCATGTGCATTGATGACTGCCGTGCAACGTCGATACATGGAATGGATGAGGCGGTTGATGAAAGCCATAGGCACTTGATAGCCATAGGCACACTCTGAGGAACGCCTGTCGCAGTTCAGCTGCAGTTGTCGGCCTTGGTCGGACGTCATTCAGCCATCTTTGAATCTCGTCCCACAGGTGCTCAATGGGATTTAAATTGCAGGCCAGAGCATTGTTCTGATGCCGTTCTGCTGGAGGAAGTCTCTTGTTGCTCTCACAGTGTGGGCACGGGCGTTATCATGCTGAAACTCGTGGATGCGGCGACGTGCCAAATGAGGTATGGCGTGTGGTCGCAAGACTTGATCAATGTACCGAGCTTCTGTGACACCATTGCTTCTCCCTGGACCGATGTTCTGGAAGACCACAGGGCCGACCCTCTGTGCAAGACCAATTCCACCCCACACCATGGTGCTCGGACCATCCCACGAGTCTCTCTCAACAACACAAGCATCCGAATAACGTTCCCCACGGTGGCGTCAGACTCTCTCTCTGCCATCTGCTGTTGAGATACAGTAATGGCTCTCGTCTGATAAGAGGACTCTTTTCCACTGCTGGTGGCGCCAATGCTGGTGCTGTGTTGCCCACTGAAGACGGTCCCGGCGATGACGTCGTGCCACAATGGATCCTCGGTGTGGCCTGTGACACTCGTGGTGTCTGCTGGTCAATCGTCGACGCACGGTGTCCGCACTAATGTGTTGCTGGTGTGTCCCCTTGGTCTGTCGAGCAGTTTCCGCAGCAGTAACAAGGCGATCTTGAAGATGCTGTCGAAAATATGACGATCCTGACGTCGGGTGGTGACCCTTGGTCTTCCACCATGTGGTTGGTCATCTGTAGTGTTGGTGGTCTGGTACCGTTGCTGGAGCCTGTGTATAGTCCTTACGGGGAAATGCATTGGCTACTTGCCGGGCGGTTTGTCCAGCTTGCAATCGTTCAGGGCTTGGTGTCGTTGATTTCTTGTCAATCTTGGTATGTGGTAGCAATGAATTATGTTATCCGACCTGGGTGGATTTTTATGGGGCAAGAAATGGGGGAACGCATGTGCATTTCAATTTGCACGGAACTCACGTGCATCGGGTTACCATGGCCGTTGTCGTGATGCGTTTTTGTTTTTTTATCATCAAATTTCATTTTTCCTGACAAGGTAATGTTACATTTTAGAAACTTTGACAAAAATGACCTAGATGTTTAATCACATATTATCATGCAGTGTTATTTGGGGTGGCGTTTCTTTTGCGGTTCAGTATATATAGCGGGTGAAGTGGGTATTTCGTGCTTAAAATATGTAGCGGGTGAAGTGGGTAATTTGTGTTTAACTATTTGAAACCACTTTTATGCATCAATATCTGAACAACAACAACAACAACAACAAATCCTTTGAGGCATGTCATCTGTTTTAAGGTATATTGTATTAGGTATCGGATCTGTCGAGACTACTTTTTGTTTGAGTCCAGCTGCAGGTAAAACCTTGGACAACTGACATCATTATAAATTATTTTAAGAAGTGACCCCCGCTTTGAATGAAGTACTTCCAAGCATAGGTTAGCACCAGCATACCAACACAAACAGGCAGACAGTAGAGTGAATGAGTAAGTTGTGTTTAACGCCGCTTTTAACAGTATTCCAGTCATATCGCGACGTGTCGGTTTAATGTGGGAGGAAAGCCTGAAGTGATGCAGGTCTCAGACGTTTACCACTTCGGTGAAACCCACGAGCATGGGTATGGTGCTGACAAACCTGGTAACATAATCGGGAACTTGGATTCGAACCCACAATCATAGGTTGCTTGCGTGCCCAAGGGACACAACTCTGCACAGCAAATCACGGCGCCTTAGACGACTGGGCCGCCCGTGACTCTGGCTGGCGCTAGAGGACTGGGCGTACATTATATACCTTAAATTACATGACAATGCTGGCTGAATACCAAACCCGTCTATGCACAAACGAGGTGGGCAAAGTGCCTACTGTTGCAAGTATCAACAGTATTTGAATGGACTTGACCAATACGCTTGCTGTTCAGAGTGGAGCCATCCGGAAGGCAAAGTGTTCACAAGTGTGTCAAGTAGGGTTGCGACGGGTGCTCGAGTACCCGATAACGGGTCGGGTAGCCTAGGACTCGAGTACCCGTTCAGGGGAGATAACTCGTAATTCACTTCAAAATGGACAAACGTTCAAATGTTTGGGTGTATTTTGACCTTAATGACACAAAGAAAAAGACCAAATGCCGTCTCTGTGGCATATGTATCAGCTACATTTTTTAAAAACAAGAGCATTTACTTTGATATTCTGCGTCACTTGTGGTTTTAGGTAAGCACTGCAGGCATTTAATAAAAAACATAATACCTTAGAATAGATCAATAGATGTTTGATGACCTTTTATTGGCAAAAGCATTACAAACAAGTGGGACAACATTGAACTACGGGTACTCGAGTCCGGTTCGGGTATTGTCTGCCGGGTACTCGAGTTCAGTTTTCGTACCCGGTCGCAACCCTAGTGTCAAGTGTGTCATGATTGTTTGTGATTTTCAGAAACACCGGGTCCTGATTCCTGAATCGGAACTAAAGAAACATCAGACACGACAGTCGCTTGCGTTTTTTATCAACCCAGACGATGACACCATCATTAAATGCCTGGATGGTTCAGACAAATATGAACCCATCTCATGCCTGGATTATCTAAACTACAAGTTCTCTCAGATTTATTAGTTCTTATCAGAGGCCATTTAAGCGGAAGTTGAGAAAGTAATTTGCATGTTTTCGTATAGATATTAGTACAAACACTGACATCATGTGCCCATTAATTCAGATAGCCATATCTCTGTGTCTCTGACTCAAATAAACAGTCTGTCTGTCTGTCTGTCTGTCTGTCTGTGTCACCAGATCGTAAAACCAAGCTCGTCACGGTCCTGTAATCAAAGAGCCAACCGACTCGTAACTGTTGCGTCGCTCACCATAGCTCGGTGTCTTAATGCAGCACGTTGAATGCTTTAGATTATATTTTAGAATTCAGAATATGCAGGCCCATCTTCTCCCTCTTATCATTCATAATTGGTCCAAAATCCGATCACAATCCTGGGATAAAAAAATCGTAAACATTTTAGCTCACTATAATTTGTCAAATTTACCTTATTGTGGATACAGCATTAAACAGTGTGTTGACCGTGTAAAGTGTTTCTTAACTGCTGAGGATTGTGATATGTGGTATACTGCGCTTTGGAATGACAAGAATAATCCAAATGGCAATAAATTACGCACATACAGAATGTACAAATCATCACCTACTGCTGAGCCTTATTTATGTCATGTACGTTTTAGAGATCATCGAAGACTTTTAGCATCCTTTCGATGTGGTATTTTACCTTTACATGTTGAGACCGGCCGCTACGCCAAGCCACCTACCCTACTGTTGGATAGGACTTGTAAATATTGTCACGCCAATCCTACTAATGATCATGTAAATTATGTTGAAGATGAATGTCACTTTTTAATAGAATGTCTATTTTATGATGATTTAAGATACAACTTAGCTAAAGAAGCAACTTCTGTAGATAAAACATTTCATTATATGAGTAGTTTAGAAAAGTTTATTTTTATTATGAACGAAGAATCGCTCCAATGTATTTTAGCCAAATCAATTTACAACATGGTTAAAAGAAGGCAATTTCATTTTAAGCCAAGTATGTATGTATGACTTGTATGTATGTATGTATGTATGTATGTATGTATGAATGACGTGGTGTGTGGGCGGCGCAACGCGGTGGGGGGGAGTTAAGGGGGAGCGCACTGTTTAACTTAGGACTTTCGAAGTCAGTTGCCCTGTATCCTGGCATACTGGTGCGCTCCTCATTGAAACCGCCCACGGCCGTGCTCCGCGCCTGCATCACGAGGTATGTATTTATTATTCTGTTTCAACTGAATAGTTTTATGATTGATATGTTTTATAGTGTCTCGTAGGTCATATTTGGCCGGATGTTATATTTTACTGTTTTGTATATATCGTATTACGAAGTGTATATAACATGTGACACTTTAATAAACAATATTCTCTCTCTCTCTCTGCCTTAATGCTCATTTGGGTATTGTTTGATTGTTTGTTTGTTTGTTTGTATGTTGTTTAACGCCGCATTCTGCAATATCGCAGCTATATGACGTCGGTCTGTAAATAATCCAATCTGGACCAGACGATCTAGTAATTGACATCATGAGCATCAATTGGAATACGATGACATGCATCAACCATGTCAGCGAGGCTGACCACCCGATCCGTTAGTCGCCTCTTACGAGATATTGTTAGAGAATTTTTTGTCTGTAAATGGTTCTTCCCTAGCAGTTAAATCTCATACTTTTATCATGTATTGAGTTATTATATGTTATTTCATGTATGTATGCATGCATATTCATGTATCGAAAGTGTTTCAGTAACTTTTGATTTTCACGCAGAAGCGAGATAAACTCGTACTATGTAGACAGTTCTCATGTATTTATAGCCAGTTGTCGTCTCCGAGGTCCGCGCGTCCTGTTTCAGAACCTCAATGCTTTCGAGCGTAACCATCGCAAGGGGTCGCTAGACCTTTCACGGTCGCTCTGTTACTGAGTGATCCTTCGAACTAAGTTTCGCCAGTTGGTAATTATGGGTCAGTTTTGACCTTGTACTGGCTTACTCTTGGTGTTACTGAGCTAGATATATTGGATAGGGTATCATATCTTATAATTGATAACTAATTTTCACGGGATTGCCTAGTTTAGGACAAGTATATGTTTATGGTTGAAAGTCAAGTTACTCTTCAGGTCAAGTATCTTTTTATTGTTGTGAGTCTAGATCCTCTGTTGGTCAAGTTCCTGTATCTTCTTGAAGTCAAGTGTTTCCTTTTTTTAGTCCAAGCGGCTTTAGCCTGTAAGGCTAAACTTGCATGTATTTACGCGTGACATAAGAGATATAGTTCAGAGATAGGTCCTCAGTGACCATTTCTCCCTGTTGTCCAAGAGCGTAGTTTCGGCCCTCGGATGGTAGCTCAGGGTGATGACGGAAGACAAAACTCAGGGGTGAAGTTTAAGACGACAGCAGCCATGTTTATTGTTGATGGTTTGGAATAAGTCGAAAAGGTACATGTTGATAATAACGTGACAGAACGCACACCGGGACCGAGTGGCCAATCTTCCCGGGTGGGAGAACCGTTCTGTCACTTAGTCGATCTTCTGGCTGTCTCCAGGCTGTCTCCTGGCTGTCTCTCTCCCTGACTGACCATGTCAGTCGGGTTTTGTAGAGCGAGGTATTACGTAACGTGTGGCAAGGTCATTGTCCCACGTGTATGTATAGACGTAAGATCCGGCGACGTTAGGAGGTGTTAATTGAAATTTATAGATAGCGCTGGAGAGGGTCCTGCCCGGAGGGGCTTATGATAAGAGGGGATACGCCGAATGTTTGCTGAATGTATTAAACAGACAAAGGGCATAGAAATTCGGTGCACTTGGAAACATATTGAACCAGTTTGGTATTTAGATAAATGAAATGTTAAATAAAAGTATTGAAATGGTTTGCACAATTATAAATAAAAGTATTGAAATGGTTTGCACTATAACACTGTCTAACCAGGCCGAGGTTATTCATGCAGTCGAGGGGGGGGGGGGGGGGGGGGGGGGGGGTCAGGTAGCCCAGTGGTTAAAGCGTTCGATCGTCACGCTGAAGATCCGGGTTCGATTCCCGACATGGGTACAATGTGTGAAGCCCATTTCTGGTGTCCCCCGCCGTGATATTGCTGGAATATTGCTAAAAGCGGCGTAAAACCATACTCACTCACTCACTCACTCATGCAGTCGAGCGTTGAGTTAATTAACTCCCAGGTGTTAACTGGTCACATCCAGCTTAACTGGCTGTCTATGGTCTTGCTGATTGTCTTGTCAAAATGTTGTTTTTAGCCATCTTTTGTAATAACTGTTATACAGTTGCTTAGCTAATCAATTTGTATAGTATTTGTTCATGGTTTGATAAATTCATACTTTAAAGTTTACACGGTTTCTTTCATGCTGAGTGGCTGAATGGGTAGACACGTGATCTGATATTTGGAGTTCGCACTCCTGTGAACGGACTGAAAAGTTCACACGATGTGAACAATAATTTTTTGTGAAATTGATTGTGTGAACTTTTGCCGGAACTACTTTCCCCGAATTCTCGATCGGTGTTCACAATAAACTCGTTTTTCTATTTTCTTTTTAATCCCTGAATTTATGAGGAATACAATTAATTTAGTATTTTTCCTTGTCTTGTAACATTTCATCTGACTTAAAATCAAATAAATGCTTTGGTTCTGGTGTTTAATGTCGTCTAGCTTCTAGATGAAACAAAATGGACTGTCCTTACGGTGATTTGGATATGGAATGGCTAGATCTATCTATCAATGCGAATAACGCAAGTGAAGAAAATGAATTCTGTAAAAATACTGATGTGAACGAAATTGATTTATTGAGCGATATTGACTTTGATGCCTTGTTTTCGGAAATGACATGAATCTAGCACCAATGGAATCAATGTCGCACCCTGCTCAGATGTGGCCGCTGACACAGATCAAAGCGACTGCTCCTGATCAATCCGAAACTAAAACCCGATTCACTATCGTACCGGGAACAAAATCTAAGATTTTGAGAAACCATAAAACATAAATAGGTAGGGAAAGACATTTTATTTTTTAAAAAACCCAATAAAACGACAAAAAAAATTGCCTACCTCTTTTACCGATTGGTCATCGGAGTAAATATCCGTAGACGGAATTCCTATTCCGGTATCTGAGTTGGCTGACCTTCTCCGTGCATTCTAGGCCGAGAAGCGGCAGCACACGGCGGTCATACAGTAGGTCCATCTCAGGTGACAAGAAACACCAGCTTAGCAAAGTATTACAGCACACACGACAAATCCCAAACTCCAAATATAACACACCCTGACTTTGAAAATTAACACAAAACATACAATTTTCAGAGCACTCTGTTTAATCCCCACTAGTCCATTCCACATCGTCCCAATTGGTTTGCGATTATCCAAACACAAGCAACACATTCATAAATCGGTGACATTACCAATTTGCTAGTGCCATGAGAGGGTTCACGCGTCGTTTTTTTTCCATAACTGCCCCATAAACTTCATTTTCAACAGCTGTAAGTATAAATTTCATCCTGATGCTCCCGTTCGACTCGAAATGCACCTCTTTACAAACTTATGTGACGTCATATATAAATCCGCGCTTGAAGGTTGCATTGGTTGGAATCGGAGCATCGAGGATCATATTTTTGTTCACTTTCCTGTAACCTATTTTTAAGATTTGATTTATTAAGAACTGAACGTCACTTTGGATGGGTTCATTGAAGTGTGAACAATTTAAAAGCGCTGGTTAAACTGTGTGAACCGTCGAAATATAGAAATGCATGTACTTTTCCTTACAATCTCATTAAAATCAGATCTTAGTTCTCGCTACTGCTAAACAAAGCGAGAACATAAGGTCTGATTTTAATGAGATTGTTTTCCTTATAATTATTTACTCGACCGGAAGTGTCATGTTTGGGTCATCTTTCGAAGTACTGGATTTGGAAATATATTTGTCAGTGCAAGAGAAAATTAGTAACTAGTCCAGATTATCCGCCGAAACAGATTGAAATTTGGCGTAAAGGGCAAAATAGCTGTGAAAATAAAAGTTATTGGACCTCTGAAAGGCAGCAAAAAGGGTAGCAGACACCATCCCCAGTATAAACTGGCGATACTCGTCCAGCCTCGAGTCGTCGGTCGTCTTGCAGAAGTTGGGCGGTCGGGTAGCCTTGTGGTTAAAGCGTTCGCTCGTAACGCCGAAGACCCGGGTTCGATTCCCGACATGGGTACAATTTGTGAAGCCGTGATATTGCTGGAATATTGCTAAAAGCGGCGTAAAACCATTCTCACTCACTCTTGCAGACGTAGATGGCAACCTTTGAAATGAACCAAATCATACTCCTTTAACTGACAATTGTATGGTATAAATGCTAGAAAATGACACTATTTGTCATGAGGGTTATAAATACCAATACAAAATTCTTGATTACATTACAAAGGGTTGCACTCGTCTTTGCCCAAAACGTTGTATCCGTGCTTGACACGAGCAACGCACAACCATCGCCCACTCACACGTACTCAACCTACCAGGTCATTGTAACTTACGACAAGCATGGGGTTCTTGAGAAAGGGGGCGGTGGAGTAGCCCAGCGGGTAAAGCGTTCGCTTGTCACGCTGAAGGTCCGGATTCTATTCCCCACATAAGTACAATATGTGAAGCGCCGTTATATCCTTTGAAAATTGCTAAAAGCGGCGTAAATCCTCTCACTCAGAGAGAAATTCACAAGTATATCAAAGATAACGTCCTCTCCTTGATAAATAATTTAAGAATATTTAAATGCAATACATTTCTTGAACCTACCTTCCCATGGAACTGGGTCTAGGATGTCACCGTGTCCAAAATCCTGGTAAAAAATTATTTGCTTTTAACCATTACTTCAGAGAATATTGTGATCGGCTGAAGACAGGTACCTCTTTTGATATACCTTGTTGTGTATAAACTGATATGTTTAAATCTACAATAATATACCTCTAACTTCGAGCTGACTTGGTTCATACATTGGATCGATGCTCATGATATCAATCACTGGATTGTGTGTCCAGATTCCATTACTCAGAGACCGCCGTCATATAACTGGAAATTTGCTGAGTGCGGCGTTCAATAACTAAACACCAATCTGGCTTGGAAACATGGTAGCTTCAGAGTAACGCGTCATGACAATCAAGCAGGTTACACAATGTTGCCACCCAATCCCCATGTAAGTCGCCTCTCGGGGCAAGCACCGGTCATTAGCCATATAAAAGTAGCCACTCACGAGCCGCGTGGACGATGTACTGGTGACATGAAATGTACAGATGTACTTCCTGATATCCTCACCGCCACTTCCATTTTTATGTTTGGGCACCCGTATACAGCACGTGATCACTCCTTCCTCCGCCAGCTGGGTGCCGTACATCAAGGCCGGGAGCGTCACGTTGATTGGTTTAACGTCAACACCGTTATCACAGATGCTTCGGTCAAACTAATTTGTACATTTCTGACTAAACCTCCAAATAACAACTTTATCACCACTTTAATCCGAAAATGAAATTATTTGTAACAACTAGAATAGGTATAAACATGGTCGACAGTCGGTCACATGCTACCCTGTGGCTGGCTAATAAACTCCTGTTTGTTCTGCAGGTCTACGAGGAATGGAAGGTTACCAGTCCCGTGTGAATGAATTGTCTATGACCCGAGCATTGCATTGATGTATTAAATCCATGTGCGGAATTGAAACCAACCAACGATACCGAATTCCCAACCAAGAAGTTGTCTGATGACAGCGACCTCAACATGGGTTGGTGCGCACATTACTTCTCATATCGGTAAATAGTGAGTGAGTGAGTATGGTTTTACGCCGCTTTTAGCAATATTCCAGCAACATCACGGGGAGGACACCAGAAATGGGCTTCACACATTGTACCCATGTGGGGAATCGAACCCGGGTCTTCAGCGTGACAAACGGACGCTTTAACCACGAGGCTAACCGACCACCCCCGTAATTATTATATCGGTAAATAGAACATTCACGTGGAACCACTTACTGTGTTAGGGAATGACATTCTTTCCCTATTATAATTCAATATTATGTGCCACTGACAGATACAAGATCAGAGTTCCAAGGTTTTCTACTTCATACTTAGGGAAAGTACAGATTTCTATAAATATGACATTTATTACACGATACTGTGAACGAAATCGGGCTTTAAACAACACGGCATTCCCTTAACAGGTATCGACTAAAATAGATCAATCAGAAGAGAAGACTACGAGAGTATATACTTAAATTAGCTTACTTGTACACATATATTTGGAAGTTTTGTTATCATATGATCAAACACATGACGTTTTTAGACAGCCGTAATAACAACATTATAAACAAAGACAAACACTGAACACCCAGTTACTGACATAACTGACAGCTATCGATAATCTTGGAGGCCAAAAAACTCTACACAGTATTCTTTTTGGTGACCCAAACCTAAATGTTTTTCTGAATACAAAAATATTCTTGTCTGTACACAAATTTATAGAAACGACTAACAGATTCAGTAGCTAGCATATCATTGTTTCCAAATTGTTAATAATTAATATTGTTAAATCTATATTTAAACACTAAAATGTATAATATTTGCATATGTAGGAGATGCACACTGTTATATACGGAGAAGGCGGTAATATGTGTTGCACTTGTGCCCAATCTCTTTGTCTTTTTGGACAATAAAGTATGTTTAATAACAAATAGCATCCAGTTACATCTTGTTGTCACTACGAATGTACATATGTTTGCAATTGGCTCAATCAATATCTCCAAAATGAAACGTGAATGCGTTTAGCACATAATCTGCATTTCTACGTACGGTAAACGTCATATCGTTGTCTAAAATGTGTCATTTATAGATTGTCTACCTCAACACAACAGACATTTGGTATTTGAAACTGACAACGAGAGCTTTAAACTGACGTCTACGTTCAGTACCTCGGAGAAGCGCACATATAATTTGTGTTGGCTTCACCGTTCGTCCATTTTCACAAAAGTAATTAAAAAACCCTTGTGTGTGTGTGTGTGTGTTTATAACATCAGTGTTCTTGTTGATACGTAATGAAGTAAATATGTATGTAAATGCACGGACCTATATAACAAGTTATACAAGTCCGTGGTAAATGCCAGGACGGCTCGGAAATATCCGTGTGTGAGTAAGCACATTAATAATTTCACGTGTGTACGGGACAGCCGAAGACAAAAATGTACTTGATTGTTATCAAGTCTCTGTGCGAGCGTTTCGACTGTATTTCCCGTGAATATGATTCTTGTAAAGGAGTTATGTCGAATTGTATAATAAAATATTTAATACGGAGTAGATTTGGATGATTTAGGTGACACATCTTCGACAATCGTCATTGAATGCTTTGAGTCTTTTGGTTTCTAATACACGCAGCGTTCCGACTCAAGGTTGGATAAGAAACTAATCCAGTAATTCTTTTCATAGGCTAGAAACAATCGGAACATCGCTAAGGATTGAACGTGTCTCAAAATCCGAATGCATCGTAACAGGGGAGGTAATCAGAAATGTGGATATAGGTGGCGCTAGTTTACTTCCGCAATGTCCACACGTGTTTGGAAATGTATACACACAGTTAGGTAGAGAGAAATACCTAGAAGATATTTCCAAAATGGTTAAATCTTCGCACCACCAGTCTGAGAATGACTTCAGAGTAAGTTCCGGTTGATAAATTACTTGACTGAAAGATATGACGAAACTTTATTCACCACAAAACCATTCATATTCATGGAAATAAAAAGATAATCTGTTCTAAATATTTGACAGCGTGCAGTTGTGGAGGTAGAGGATGTCCGCAGATGGGGATATCAAACCCCAAATGTTGTATGTAATATTCAGCCCGGTTTCGAATTTTTGACCCTCTATGTACAGCTGTCTAAGCTGGTGGGTTACCAGTATATCTGTGATATAATAAACCGTAGGATTAGCTAGGAGAATGAGGGGTGCAGGCTAAAACGGCCCCCCAGCAAAACGTCACCGATTTCTCTGGCGAAAACGGCACCGCATTTGGCGAAAACGGCTACTATGTGTCGGGCGGAAACGGCAGCTCTATTTTTAATAAGGATAAGAACGATTTTTGTGGTAATATATATGGTTTATTTACATGGTCACAGTTATCACAGCATGTTGTTGTTTTCTGACATTCTTCTCTCATGCAACACATCGAAAGGCCATTGTGAATAATTGTGATCTGACAGCACCATGTTAGGCCTCTTAAATACAGTTTCAGTTTAAATTGAGTAAAGGTACTTAAAACTTCAAAGCGTATAGTGTTTTCACAATAAGTTAACTGCTCCTCCCAATCAGTCGGCAAGTAAATTGGAGTAGGGGTCTAATTAGCACTAATAGCACTTATTTGACCAAGGTAAAAAAATAAATAAGGTGCCGTTTTCGCCAGGCAATAGTAGCCGTTTTCGCTTGAGTCGAGGTGCCGTTTTCGCTTGAGTCGAGGTGCCGTTTTCGCCCGGTGACTTTTTGCTGAGGTGCCGTTTTCACTATAACCCATAATGAGTGGAGACAAACATTTCCCTCCTTGTACGAATTCTGGTGACTTGAAATAACCACATTCACTCATGAGGAACAAATAACAATTGATAGCTCTAGATTCCTATCATATAGATATATCTGCTGTAGATAAATATTGTAGCTATATGTACTACTATCTATTATTACCCGACATCCACTGATCTGACAATATACAATAGTAATACATGTACATGTTTTGATTGTTTGTTTCTTGTTTGACATGTTTAACGCCGCACTCAGCAATATTCCAGCAATATGATGGCGGTCTGTAAATAATCAAGTCTGGACCAGACAATCCAGTGATTGACATCATGAGCATCGATCCATGTAATTGGGATTAGATGACATGCATCAACCAAGTCAGCAAGTCTGACCACCCGATCCCATTAGTCGCCTCTTACGACGAGCATAGTAGCCTTTTTTGGCAAGCATGGGTTGCTGAAGACCTATTCTACCCCGGATCTTCACAGGACATGTACATGTATAGCTATGATTCCTTCCTTCGTAATGTCATCTGTCGCTGAGTTAACACTGACTAAGTGACTTTTACAAGCTCTGTCAGCAAGGTTTGCGTCAGTTCTTATCATGTTTATGTTTACACTCCATAAACTCAAAAAAATAATGAAGTAAATTCTTAGCATGACAAATATATATTTCTTTACATTTCAGCATCATAATTTAAAATATCTAATCATTTATCAATATAGTCATTAATTTGTTGTTATACAATCAACTTGCAAAACACACAAGGTATTACTGTTATTAGCATGGTTAGTATCATGTTTGGTCTTAATTCCTTTGTTTGTAATAACTAATCCCTACATATGATACTGTTTGCATACAAACAGTAAATATGGTAAATTTGATTTATGTGTTCAACATGTTCAAAGATATTGTGTGTCTTTTTAGTTTCAGACTTTTGCAGAACGAATTGCTGCAGTTAACATTGATGTCATTCACAAAATTAGACACCATGATGATGATGTTGAGGTAAGTTTTGTACACATAGATGTTTGTTTTCATCATGTACATATCAAGTTTCAAACATTATTTTTCATTGTTTTTGGACTCATAATTGGCATTTTTTTAACATTCTTATTTTCTTAAATTCAGAGGTATTTTTACATTGCACTCAGCATGCTCAGTGCATTAAAATGTAATATGTAGAACTAAGCAGTAAAACCCCATCACATTAGTTAAAAGTATTACAACATAAATTGGGAAATGTTTAGTTACAGTTTAGGAAGTTAGCTGACATTTGTTGTGGACTTGTGAATGGGTCCAGATGAGTCCCTGAATTGTATCTCAATACTTTTGACACATATTGATATTTAGTTAAGTTATTTTATTTGTTACCTAATGAGAGACCTGCAACCATCAATCTATGTGACATGCAATCTCATTAAAATCAGGTCTAAGTTCTCGCTGCCGCTGAACAAAGATCCGAGGACATCCCATTACGGGTCGCGTCAGAACGACCTTTCGCAAACTTTGACCAACCACTGAAATGACTAACAAGATGTCGACATCAGCCAATTAGAAAGCAGCTTCCTCAAGCTTTACGGCACTCGTTTCAACCTGGCGACTTCCATTGCAGACTATGCTTGATAGATATGTTGACACAGTTCTCGGTTAAATTTTGAAAACTGTACAAACGAACATTCTGGAATGTCTAATATATAGTTGAGATTGCATGGCAGTGCTTCCCACGTACTGTGCAATGCCTCCTCCGTTCAAATGTTTATCCCACTGAAGTGAAAGATAGGCGATAATTTTGACGGAATCCGTCGTACAGGCCATAACTGTCGTTCAGAAAACCCGGTGTTAACATTTTCGAGGTTACATGATTAGAAAAAAAACGTTCTGACTGTCACTTTCATGGTCTGGTAAGCGACGCTTTGATTGGTCGGATGAAAGGTTGTTCTGACGTGATCTGTAATGGGATGTCCTCAGATCTTTGTTTAGCGATAGTGAGAACTAAGATCTGATTTTAATGAGATTGTGTGACATGTCACCATGTATAACAACATACTAAGCTGTGTGAGGTGATGCACTTGGTGTACCGCCTCCGTGGTCTAGTGGTAGAGCGTCCGCCCGGAGAGCGGAAGGTCCGGGGTTCGATCCCTGGCCGCATCATACCAAAAGACGTTAAAAGATGGTACTTGTTGTGACCCTGTCTGGCGCTCGGCATTAAGGGGCTAAAACAAGGACTGGTCGGCTCGGAGTCAGTATACTGTGTCTGAGTGGGGTATTCATGTTAAACTGCGGCATGGTATCTCAGTGAGCTAGCACTATAAATCGGCATCAGTCCGGACTAGTACAAGCAGCCACACACACACACACACGTGCATGCACGTCGCTATATAAGTGCAATAATCTTGGACGCGACGTTAAATCCCATTTCACCTCACCTCACCTGATGCACTTGTTGTAGATTAGCTACTGTTTGCAGTAGGACAGGATTTAGGATTATGTCAGTATTTGCTACTGTAGCACGATACCTTGAGGAGATATTTGCCATTAACGATGTAAGTGCAATCTTTCTAAGTGCAATCTCAGTAATCCTGATACACTATTGTTTTTTAAAACTGCATTCATTGATTGTTTTTGTAATATGCTAAAGTAAACAATTAGAAGTTAGCTTATGTTTGAACCGTATCTGTTTTACATGGATGTGTTTTATGTATGTAGTATATATTACATGTGTAAGCTTCCATATTTGTATTTGCAGGACCAATCCACATATTTTGGGGAAGCACTACTCAGTTGGAGTGACATGAACTGTACAGAACACTTCAGTGAGTTCTTTTGGGTAGACTGAATTCGGTGAAATCGATGATGGAGTCCAAAGCAACTTGAAAAGAAAAGTGTAACATTAAAAATGTTGTTTTGAAAGTTAATGGGAATGTTCATGTAAGTGACAATGAGTCTTTTTTCTAAAATTTCTAACCATTGAAAGTTTGGGACTGATGGTATGATCAAGCACAGTAGTACAGCTGAATCGATGAAAACAGGTGATTTATTTAAATCTCTTGGTTATATGTTGAGAAAATACACCAATGCATGACCAAAAATATATTTTTCACTCGTTTCTACTATCTTCATGATGTAAATCTACACCTCCAGTACACCTCCATAGATGATTTACAGTTTCATCTTAAAGTTTCTGTTTTGTTTGCAGACAATTTTCAGCAAGAAATATCAGAGAAAGTTCACACCTTCCCACAGCTAGTCCACAATGAGGTGTGTATTATGCAGCATTTATTGTACAACATTCTTGACAAGAAATATAAAGGTCATGTTCTTAGAGTAATTATGAAATCTTACCATAGAGTACACTGCACCATTCATTACTTTACAGGGCCCTCATATTTCCTGTGTAGAACCCTGGAAATTAATTTTTGAGGTCAAGTAAAACCCTGATGTATTCTATAGTATTGTCCATCATGTTTACTTGGACGGTAACGAACTTGAAATCATGCCATTGAAACTTTATTTATAGATCTTTTGAATGGAATCTACATAAATGTGTGATTAATTCTATCTAGGAAGTTAACATAGTAACCTGGAAAGTGTCATCAACATAAAAAGAAGAATTAGACATTAAACAACTTACTAGTTGGGTCAGGGATGGGGGAACATTGTACGTTCCTGTATACATAAGAAAAAACCGACTGGGAGTTGTTTTTTGTACAATAAAACACTGCAGGGAGAATAAACCATGAGGGGCGCAGCCTCTTTAGGGATGTTGATAAAACGTCATGATAGAACAATGTTTAAATAAACCACAAGATTTATCGCGTAGCTGTCTTATATCTGTGATTAATGTTTTTATATGTGTGGAATTGTATAGGGCCTTTGGAAATAAACATATATGTTACACCTTGAATGATAAAGAATGATAGGTTCTCAGCAATGCTCAGGAAGTGTGTTTGAAAGCTGTTAGTACATGTAGACTGTTGCCCTTGTTTCAGGATAAGGATGCGTCAGTGCATATGGTCATTGCAATATTTTGCTGCATTATACTGTGTGATATTCAAAACTATGTTTTGACAACATCGTTATTTTCTTTCAGGAATCCATTGTTGAAGCTCTGAAGAAACATTTGCTGGTTCCAAACACAATGGCATATGAACCGCTACTAGAGTAAGCTATCTGTGCTGAACATAACACAAGATAATGCTCTCTCTAATGTATTTTAATTTTATACTTATACCTCAACTACATAGTCCGACAGTTTAGTGACTCCATATCCTTCCTGTAGCCTGCAGGATGTAGTGTACCTGAGGGATACAGTCAGTTTCATTGAAACATTTACAAAGTGTGAATCCTGTTGTCTCACCACACTTGGTTATGCATATAAGAGGTGACTAACAGGATCGGGTGGAAGAGGCGACTAACGGGATCGGGTGGTCAGGCTTGCTGATTTGGTTGATGCATGTCATCGATCCCAATTGTGTGGATAGATGCTCATGATGTCAATCACTGGATTATCTGTTCCAGACTCGATTATTTACAGACCACCATCATATAGCTGGAACATTGCTGAATGCGGTGTTAAAGGGGAAGTGTACACACAAAAATCACTTTCTTTCTTTTTCTAAACAAAACACAAGTTTAGAATTAGTTAGTATCTGTGTTTGAAAATATACACTCATTTGTTTCACAGTGAAAGTAGGAAGCTCATAATAGTGTGAAAATGATATGCCGTTATGATGCCTTCGTTTTTCGAGCTAAACAGGCCTGAGTTATCCCCCTTAGATTATGACGTAATTGGTGCCATTTCAACTAGGTCCCTGTCTATTCTCAACGCAAAAGATATCAAGTACCAGTTTGCAGTAAAACAACATGGCCTACGACACACTCCGGCGCAGTGGTGACTCAGCATAACACTACGCTGGCTGGCATCTCAGACGCTAGAATCACACACCTGTACCTACACCACGTGAAGCGGCTCTAACAAAGCATGATGATGTCATAATGTTTATCAATTGGCACCAATGACGTCATATTGCAAGGGGCATAAGCCATGGTGTTTTTGTTATGGAATAGAACACTTGGTACATGTGAAAAATGTAAATCGTTTTAATGCTAAAAATATGTTAATTAATTGTGATAATTTTATATTTTTGTCTATGACACTTCTAGGTTAACACTTTCAATGTGGAAAAAATACAAGAAAAATAGGTTCATTTCTGTGTGAACTTGCCCTTTAACAACAACCAACCAACCAAGCATATATGATGAATAGTGTGACTGTTTGAAAAAGCATATTTGTTGGGGTTTTCTTTTTGTGCATCAAATTATTATTCAGTATTTTGATGAATATAACTGTCATAATTAAAAACCATGGTAACGGTTATTTCATTGTGGCTTTGCTACCATCTTATCATCTGTGCAAGAGCGGAAGATCGATAGTTTGGTCCTCGGCCACATCATACCAAAATATGGTACTTGTTACCCTGCCTGGTGCTTGGCATTAAGGGGCAATAACAAGAACTGGTCAGCTCAGAGTTGGTATACTGTGTCTGAGTGGGGTATTCATGTTAAAACTGTGGCATGGCGCAGTGGGCTTGCATTAAGAAATGTGCATTAGGCCTGGGCTGCCTGACTAACGTGATGTTAAACCCCATTTCACCTCATCTAATCATCCCTGCCTCTTTCTTTCTCAGCCTTGTGGTGCAGCTGGCGCGAGATCTCCAGGCTGACTTCTACAAGCACTTCCATGACTTGTTCCACATCCTGGTCCAGCTGCTCAACTCCATCAGCAAGGATGTGGATGTCCTGGAGAAACTCTTCACCTGCCTCGCCTACCTCTTCAAGTTTCTCTGGCGGTACCTGGCGAAGGACATCAAGGAGGTTTATGGGTAAACTGCTGATAGTAGCTTTTTTTAAGAAAGAATCCCAGAGACAATTTCAGAATCAGGAGAAGGGTCTGGCATCAGAGAGAGGGTGGAGGGAGGGAAGAGGGGTGGAGGGTTGGGTACAAGTGAGGGGAAAGTGGAAGGGGTGGAAAGAATGGAATGGGAATGATGGCAGAGGGTTGGGGGGAGAAGTCGGAAGCACATTCATAGTAAAGGGGCCTTGAGTGTTATGGGATGGGGGTGGAGATTAGGGGAGGAAGAATTATGGTGTGCATGGTGACAGATTTTTCTTATGGAGTCATCATTATCATAAAGACGACACATTGCAAGTGCAGCTTCTATAGTCTATATGAAAAAGGATTTCGTTGAAGCATGTGACACACTTTTTGTGCTCAAAGCAAGATACCTTGAGTCAAGCTATGGAAAAACTGTACACAAAAAAATGGTGAAATTATAAATCACAATTCACATAATTTTACTTTGAACTGTGGGCGGTGTTCATCAAAAAGGACTTCAGGATTACCTGAATAAAGAGCATTGATATTGCTAAACGTGCTTGGTGATATCTCAAACTGGTTTTAAAGCATTCATGTGATGAGTTGTCTCCCCTGCAGGCTGTTCTCGGCCCTGCTTGCTGCACACTACAAGGAATACATCAGGAAGTTCGCCGCAGAGAGTTTCGCGTTTCTTATGAGAAAGGTAACAAAGAGTGCCTGATTGCGTGTTTTCATGAAGTAATGTGTCAACTATTTGGTATTATGCAGTATAAATATTAAACATCTACTGATCATTCATTTGTCAGGAGATAAAGAATATTTTTAAAATTCATTTTAAAAAACACGAGGTATATCTTCATCAATTCTAACTTGTTAATCAGTGTTCCAGGTATACAGAGCCAAATCCAAATGAACAGCACAAATATTTGTACAACAGTAAGAATACTGTTACCATGTTGCAAAATAGTAGTCTTTGAAATTCTTTTGAACTCTGTGTCGATTATTGGTTTGAATTTGTCCCCAGCTAATTGTAAGAGGCGACTTAATGAATCAGGTTGTCAGGCTTGGTGGCTTGGTACAGTGCTGTGGATTATATGCAATATTGGAATTTATTTATTGATGTATGCATAACATTATACAGTCAAGTCTCGTTAATACGACAGTTGGTTTAATCCGACACAAATGATGGGAACAATCGGTTTTATCCGACACAAATGATGGGAACCAATTAGATCAGTGCTATTTTGACCCGTTAATCCAACAGTCTTGTGCTCCGACTCCGACACACCTAATTTGCCACGAATTACTGAAGTAACTCATTCATCAGTCTCGTTAATCCGACACAGTGATCAGCGTACTCCACGGTCATCTCCCCAATCTAACAACAATATGAATATTTCATTTTTCATTTTTTTTATTACGTGTTTGTGTTATTATCTATTTTGTAGTTGTCCGATTTTGGATTGCGAACGTTGATACAACTTAATTTCGTTTATCCAACATACTTGTTAATCCTACATAATCATATGCAACTAAGCATGTCAGATTAACTTGACAATAGGTATAATAAATAGAGGATATCTGTCAAGGGAGGTTTGAGTAAAAGGTGTGTGAAATGTTTCAGGTCTGCATTATCATGAATTCACTTGATTCTGCTCCAGGTGAAAGATCACAGCGGTTTCCTGGATTTCCTGTTTTCTACACTTGAGGAACACCCTGATGTGAGTCTTGTTGTCACGGTTATAAAACATAACCCAAAACATGTTACATCTCATGTGCTTCATGCCTATTGTACATACTCTGTTCCTCCATCCCCCTGTGAACATCTGGGTTAGAATTGGTCTTCAGCAACCTATGCATGTCTCCCCCCATGAAGACCTGGGTTAGAATTGGTCTTCAGCAACCCATGCTTGTCTCCCCAATGAAGATCTGGGTTAGAATTGGTCTTCTCCAACCCATGCTTGTCGTAAGAGGCGACTGAAGGGATCGGGTAGTCAGACTTCCCATGTTTGATCCATGTCATGTATCCCAATTGTGTTGATTGATGATCATTATGTCAATCACTGGATTGTCTGGTCCAGGCCCGATTATTTACAGATCGCCGTCATATAGCTGGAATGTTGCTGAGTGCGGCGTTAAACAACAAACAAAAATCAAACAAAACATTCTTCAGTCTCCAGTGAATGCACATGGCCGCTTTATGATGTTGTCTCTAATTCCACCAAATGGATCAAGACATGGATGGTTCCACTGAGAGGGAATCCAGACAAATTTACTCACAGATTACATCACACAAATCATGCACCTCGCACTAGTTCATGTGCGGCATGTGTTATAACATTGCAGGCGTCTGCCCTACAGTTTACTGTAATATCAGGCAGTGGTGGGGGTTGCACCAAGTTCATTCATACATAGTGTAAGGCTCATTGGACGTCTGTGGTTATACCTGGCCTCCTTGGGTCAGCTCCCTGCAAGTAGACACATCACTGTGACACTACACATGTATATGTATTCCAGGTTGATGGAGAAGCATAGTGTATGCAACAAACCCATGATGTTTGGTCAGTGAACATGCTTAAGAGTATTTAATAGTATGTTGTTTTGGTGTTAAGTTGATTGTGTTGATATGTTCATACTTTCTTTGTGAGAGTATTGATGTCTGTAGCATGTCAATATCTGTCCATCAGACAGCCGAAGGGGTCGGCCAGCTGCTGTTTGAAATGATGAAAGGAGTGAAGAAACAATTCCACAGCACAACAGAAAAGGTAGGTCTCAATAAAAGTCACTTGTTACACACAGTAGGGGAAGGATGTTTGATAAATCTCCTAGTGCTAGCGGTACTTTGATCCTTCTCGTAGGGCTATATGTACTTTGATCCTTCTCGTATGGCTATATGTACTTTGATCCTTCTCATAGGGCTATATGTACTTTGATCCTTCTCATAGGGCTATATGTACTTTGATCCTTCTCATAGGGCTATATGTACTTTGATCCTTCTCATAGGGCTATATGTACTTTGATCCTTCTCGTAGGGCTATATGTACTTTGATCCTTCTCATATGGCTATATGTACTTTGATCCTTCTTGTATGGCTATATGTACTTTGATCCTTCTCGTATGGCTATATGTACTTTGATCCTTCTCATAGGGCTATATGTACTTTGATCCTTCTCGTAGGGCTATATGTACTTTGATCCTTCTTGTATGGCTATATGTACTTTGATCCTTCTCATAGGGCTATATGTACTTTGATCCTTCTCATAGGGCTATATGTACTTTGATCCTTCTCGTAGGGCTATATGTACTTTGATCCTTCTTGTATGGCTATATGTACTTTGATCCTTCTCATAGGGCTATAAGTACTTTAGTTTGATCCTTAACGTAGGGCTATATGTATTTTGATCCTTCTCGTAGGGCTATATGTACTTTGGACTGTGAAGATCCAGTGTAGAATAGGTCTTCAGCAACCCATGCTTGTCATAAAAGGCGACTATGTTTTTAGAGGCGACTAACAGGATCAGCTGGTAGTGCTCGCTGACTTGGTTGATGCATTTCATTGTATCCCAGTTGTGTGGATCGATGCTCATGATGTCAATCACTGGATAGTCTGGTCCAGACTCGATTATTTACAGACCGTCATCATATAGCTGGAATATTGGTGAGTGTGGCGTTCAGCAATAAACAAACAAACAATCAAACAAACAAACAGTATCACCTGTCTCTGGCTTGCTGTAGGAGCTGAGGCTTGACTGTGTACAGTCCACGGTTATTGTTCTAGGTTTCTACTCGTTAAGTCTGATTCTCATGGAAATCTAACACAAAAAGTCTGTCAATTTATTTACTTTGCAGATTTTCCCAGTCATTCTGTCAAAGCTAGGGCCAATGGAAAAGTCTGATTCCGCCAACAAATTACCATGGCAACTGGTGGAAAAGTCCCTCATCCAGCTGATGAAGTCCTGTGCTGAACACACCAACAGAGATCACATCGCCCCGTTGTGGAGTGTCCTACTGGTGAGGCAGGATGCATGTGATTGTCTCAGTCAGGCCACACATATACATTTATATAGATTTGTGTGTCTATATAACATGTTTTACATGTAAGGCTAATAAAAATAATAGTCTTAGTTCTAAGGCACTGCCCGCATCATCATAAAGTTCGCCGCATGTTTCGTTTCATTTCCAGTTTTAAGAAAAACAAAAAAAATCCTTAAAATGTCCCAATGGTTGTCAAATACTGTATTCCAGTATTTTACTCATCAAGGAATACATTTATGTAGGGAGGCCCTTTCCCAGATTGATTGTACACAACTGTTTAGTTGGTTACATACTAGTTTGAACAACCCACAAAAAAATTACATTGTCTGCCCGCACTATATTTTCAAAAAACATTGTCTGAGATCCAATTATGTTATTTTCTTTAAGCCTCATAAAGCTATTGGGTGGAACAGTTTGGTAGGACAAACAGGGAGGGTGAAACTATTTAACACATAAAGAGTACAGGGACTTACCACTTTTTTTGAGTTGCAGAGAATATGCTTTAAATTGTGAACTCATGTTTACAGCTTTTTATTGTTTTTTGTCATCTAAAACAAAGATGTGACGTAAAATGTCACAAATAAAAATATAACACTAAACTTTAAAAGGGATGGTCATATATGTCATTCTATATATAATAAGGCTTAAAAAAATAATAGATTTGGTTCTCATACAATGGCTTTTGAAAATATAGTGCAGGTGGGCAGTGTTTTTTTGGGGGTGGGGTTGTTCAAGCTAGTGTGTAACCAAATTTTGTTTACAATAATTTCGGCGAAATCATGTTCCTTAGCATTGTAGCATTTCACTGCTGGGGTCTTGTGTTCGAGACACAGAATATCTAATTTAAAATGGAAATAAGAACAAAACATGCAGCAGATTTTATGATGATGCAGGCAGTGCCTGAGAACCAAGACTGTTACTTTTTTTAGCCTAAATAGACACTTGACATATTATGAGAATCAGTGTTGTGTATCATGGTCAGATATAGAATATCCCTATCGAACGTGGAGTAGTATCGATGCAGTGTTCGAAATAGCTGCCTGCCTGCTAAATCAGTGATTCTGGTTAGATATGCACTCAGCATGAGAATCAGTTTTGTGTGTCATGGAATGATATGAAATATCTAAGTATTTGATAAAACAAATCATGTTTATCCAAACGTGTCCATTCAGTTGTTTAAAATACCGACAAAGCAACTATCATTGAGTTTTTGTCTGAATAACTGTATGATTAAGTTCAACTCACGTGAGTGAGTGATTATGGTTTTACGCCGCTTTTAGCAATATTCCAGCAATATCACGGCGGGGGACACCAGAAATGGGCTTCACACATTGTACCCATGTCAGGAATCGAACCCGGGTCTTCGGCATGACGAGCGAACGCTTTAACCACTAGGCTGCCCCGACCGCCCCTCAACTCACAAGACCATCTTTCAAATTAGACCTAGATGCTGACCATGTATATTGATGGTCACATTATCAATCACTGGTGCACATGTACGTCTATGCTTGTAGTAAGAGGCGACTAACAGGATTGGGTAGTCACGCTCGCTGACTTGATTGATGCAAGTCATCGTACCCCAATTGCGTGGATCGATGCTCATGATGTCCATCACTGGATTGTCTGGTCCAGACTCGATTACTTACAGACCGTCATCATATAGCTGGAATATTGCAGAGTGCAGTGTTAAACAACAAACAAACAAACAAACAAACTTTGCATGTAGAAAGGCTCTAACTATAACACTGCTGACTACAATCAGATCATCTTAGCGCTAAGATCGCTTTGTGCAAGTGGGCCCAGCTGTCTATTGCTTGTCATGCATGTCATAAGAGGTGAGGGGGCACTGGTAGCCCAGTTGTCGAAGGTCGTGCAATTTGCGATGCACAGTTGCCTCCCTTGGGCAACCTGAAACCTGTAATTGTGGGTTTGAATCCTGCTTTGCCCTGATTATTTTTCTAGGTTTGTCAGCACCATACTTGTCCCCTCTCGTCTCACTTTTGTTTTCACTCTCCTCCAGGACTGCCTTGCACACCTTCAGAAAGAGTGTGTCAAGGTGAAAGGTCAAAAGCAGAAGGTGAAGGCTGAGCAATTGTGTCGGCTGCTGCGTGTGACGTCTGTCTGGCTTGACCACCACCAGGGGGCGCTTGTCTGTGATGCATCACGAGTAGCAGAGGTGAACATGTGGATTACTATGGTTATATTGTCTAACCACATACCTGTTAACAGATTCAGCTCAAATGCATGTATGTATGTGGTCTTGATTATCAGACACAGTGCATCAGAGGAAATAACAGCGCGAAAGCATGTTCCCTGTGCTTTGAAAAACATTATCATACCTACCATGTCAGAATGATGGTCCACGTGATCTTGATAAAATACTGTGTGACCCGCCTTGGGAATAAATTCCTCCCATGAGCAAGTCAGGCTGCACGTGTATTTCTGAGAGACAGAATAAATCCCTTATACCCCTATTCAAAGCAAAAAGCCGCACGTTTTTTCCCGAGTCTATGAAAGTCACATAACATAGTGCAAGCTAACCTTCGCTCAATCGCCTCAAATAGCTGTTTTCTATCAATTTGGAATTTGTTTGAATTCTTTATTCATTAAATCATGTCGGTAAGATAAATTCATTGTAGCAGGGTCACTCAGGGTACATGGGGTATTATGTGTCCCTCGTTTGGTTTTATACTACTTGCCTCCGGCTTGTGGCATAAAACCTGACGCGGGTACACATTAAACTCCATGTACCCTTCGTGATTCTGCTACAATTATTGAAAGGGGGCATGGGTGGCCCAGTCGTCTAAGGCACTGCGATTCGCTGTGCAGCCAGAAAGCTATGATTGTGGGTTCGAATCCCTGTTCGCCCCGATTATGTTTCTAGGTTTGTCAGCACCATACCCATGCTCGTGGGTTTCACCGAAGTGGTAAACATCTGAGACCTGCATCACTTCGGGCTTTCCTCCCACATTAAGCTGACAAGCCATGATATAACTGAAATACTGTTTAAAGCAGCATCGAAACCCAACTCACTCACTATAATATTGAAAAAACATTTTACAAGACCCATATGTATTGTTGACACCTTGAACATTTCTGAGAGCTTTTGAGCTATTTCAAATGATTTACAGTATTTTGCAAAATGTGGTTACAAAGGTGAAGGTAGGTAACCTTCACACTTACAAAATACTGCGTTTGTGTTGAACCTCTGCAGGTTTTGACTGTGCTACTGAAGACGTCTGTCCAGCCGGAGTGTGTTGGTCAGCCCCTGCTAACTGCCGTATCAAGTATCCTGGTCAATCTGAGTGACCGCTTGACTATGGGAGTCACAGCCAAGATCCTTGCACAGGTACTGTTGGTGAAGGACAACATCACGATGGAGACAGTGTTGATTTATCGATGTAAACTTCTTTTAAGTTGACATTTTGGCACAGATACTGGTAACTACATTTGAAATGACTGATCAACAATTTAATAGGACATGGTTATATGGCTTAGTGTTCCTGCAGTCTTTTGAAACAGACAGTCCTGTGGACTGGAACTCTTAACATGCTTAAAATTACCAGTCGGATTCCCCCCTATTTTTTGTCAGTTCCAACTTTCAACAAATAAAAACATGAATGCATATTACCTGGTTTTAATTCCTACAACATCATGTTCAATGCAATGACGTCATCTTTAGAGTAACTTAGTTGAACTGCATGTCATCCACTCAAAGTTCAGTCACAAGTTTCTCTTCTTTTTAAGATTTTGAGGCTAAGTCGCTATGAATATGAATTTAACCTCGAAGCGAAGCGAAATGTAGACAAGAAGAAACCCTGATGGTTCAGCAACAAAGATTTATAAGTGACTTTATTTGCTGGTCCACAGGGATTGGGAGTCACATGTATTACCGGTCCAAGCCTAATTTTACCGGTAAAAACAGGTAATTACCAGTAAACGGGAACACTGGGTGACAAATGATGACGGATGAAACCTTGCGACGAATCCTGTGGTTTGTTTGCAGTGTCTAGTTGCATAGTGTGATTCAAATGGATGGGATGTTGGTAGTCTGCTGGGATGGAGTAACCTTGGTTACTGCAAAGTCACATATGTGCAATATGGATAAGTCTGACAATATATTCTGTGGCTGTTGAACGTTTTTACAACGGACAATGATGATATTATTATTATTTCACATCATATCCCATCACCTAAAGCATTGATGTTCTATGATGTTCTATGAAATATGATGTTCTATGTTCTGTACTACTCAAAAGAAGTTAAAGAATGCCCAATTCTTTCCTCATGTTCATATTACCTAAGTTAATCTGTCATGGCGTGACAGATTAAATATAGTACCAGAAATAAGAACAAATTGGGTGTTCTTTTACTTCTTTGATTAATATGTATGAAACATTGAGGCATTTGAAAATGATTTGAATTCTTGGGTACTTTGCCTCCTAATGAGGACAAGAAGAATGTTGAATGTCATCTGTATCTTCATCTCCCCCAGGTTTACATCCGGAAGTTTCCTGTGAAGGATCTGAGTGTGTTCACCAAGTCGTTGTATGACCTCTTCATGTTTGACAAGGTACCGCTTCTAGTTCTACTAATATCACACCTGTAAAGATCGGGGGGAAACTAGGTCTTCAGCTTGTCGTCAGAGGCTATTGGGATCGGGTGGTCAGGCACGCTGACCTGGTTGATGCATGTCATTGTATCCCAATTGCGTGGATCGATGCTCATGATGTCAATCACTGGATTGTCTGGTCCAGACTCAATTACTTACAGACCGCTGTCATATAGCTGGAATACTGCTGAGTGTGGCATTAAACAACAACCAAGCCTGTTTCACAAAGTGATCGTAATCTTACGTCTATAGAAACTCCTACACACCAGTCATCTGCTATAACTGTCGTAAGTATAGGACCTACGACTAAAGTAATTTCTATACTTACGGCAGTTATAGCGTAAACTTACCTCCCATATTGGCAGAAGTAGCATAGTGCCACGTATAAGCATGGCAGAACACAAGGACGTGGTCGTCAAGGGTGGGCTCTCTAACTGTTACATTTAATAACAATCCCTTCATTTAAGACTGTTTTGTTCCTGTGGTTTTCTTTGTTAAAGTTTTTGAGATAACAAGAAAGAAATGTATGACGAAAGAGGTTTTAGAGCTGTATTTCAGTGATAACATTATTTCTTACTATTTGATGTGGTGTAACGTGATATCAGTCATATTGTCCGTCTGTATCATGATATGAATCGTATCGCAAGATACCAGGCGATACTCAGCACTGTTGTCCGTTGAGTAATCTGTTTCCTGACTCCAGGACGTCTTGCCCAACCTGCTCAGTTACATCCAGACCCACATCGGATGTGAAGGGTCAGAGGTGAAGGACACGCTGCTGGCTCTGGTCACAGACCTGGTGCTACACAAGGTCAAGGCTCCTGTGGATGGTTCTCACTTGTCGGGATTCAAACCAGTCACACTGGATTTCGGGGCTGTAGGGAAAAGGTGAGATCTCCCTTTATAGGGCAGTTTGATAGCTTTGTGGTTAAAGCTTGCTCTGGTCCAGTTTGGTCCAATTTTGATTCCCCACATGAGTACAGTATATGAAGCCCATTCTTGTCTTTTTTAAATACCTGATGTTATTAATTTGATACCTGAAGTTATTAATATTTCTATGTTGCTATATTGCCGATGTTATTAATATTGCTGTAAGTGGGATAAAGCTCTACTGAGCCCACTCTCTGCTGGAGATTTCCCTGTCCAGTGATGACAGCATCCTTGCGCACTCAGTGCTGGCGATGTTCCTGTGAGCGTCGCTAGTGTGCCGACAACCTAGGGACCCGTGTCTGTCGTGTAGATGGGGGCGGGGCTGAGGACAGCATTGAAATCACACAAGAATAATTACCAAATAGAAAACCAAAACACCACCTCTAAAAATAATCAGGTAAAAAATATGCAATGTTAAGCAAAACGCTGTTGTTAACCAGTAATATTGTCGAGATCAACAAATGTCTGGATGCACAGACAACAGGTGCATACTAGTCTCCCTTTAATTGTATATGAACATTCCTAATGGTAATCTTCAGGGTTCGTTCCTCAAAGCGATCGTAGCACTATGACGATCGTATATCCCATACTTTTAATAGACTTAAGCTAGTTGTAGTGCTACAATCGCATTGTTCTAAAAAGTCCAGTAAAATTCTGTTCGGTTTAGTAAGCCCAGCTAATAATACTCAATTTAACATTAGAATCTGAAAATGACAGTTCTGGCTTGTACACTAAAACGTTTTGGCGCAGTCATAGTGATTTCATTAGTATAGTTGAAGCATGGAGTTTGATGTTAGTGTTCTCTACTATGGTTACAGTATATTCCTCGATGAGTAAATAAATTTAAGGGTATAACCTGACATATATAGGATCAATATACATGTCCGACTTGGCAAGTTAGCATACTGATTGTAAAACAAGATGTAGTTTCAGTACAGGTCTTCTCTCCTCCCAGTTTTATGTGCAGAGATTTCCCTGTCCAGTGATGACAGCATCCTTGCGCACTCAGTGCTGGCGATGTTCCTGTGAGCGTCGCTAGTGTGCCGACAACCTAGGGACCCGTGTCTGTCGTGTAGATGGAGGCGGGGCTGAGGACAGGGAACGCACTTGTCCAGCTGCTTGTTAGCTCACCTGTACAGTGTCCACTGAAACAGCGTCTATCTTGACACAATTTTTTGACACAGATTCTACTACATCGAACCCAAAATGTACATAAAATGAATGTATATTTCAATAATTCGTGATAAGGAACATTGAGAAAATTGTCCCAAATTCTGTAACTCATGTCATTGTTTAAACCTGTCCAGTAACACCTGTCCAGTCCTCTTATTGAATTGCACATATATTGCTACCCTAGTGAATCTGTATAAATATGCATGCATGCTTGGCAAAGATGTTTTTGTATCTATTCCATATTTTTATGTATTATATTGTTGAAATAATTTTGTACTTCTGAAGCCGCTGACAGTAGCCTGAGTGTTAATAAAGTACAGTTCAGTTCAGACACACAGGAAAAGGTTTGGCCAGTATCACCATGGTTACACATCTTTTTTGTGACCCAAAAGAGTTTTTTCAGGACAGCTATGAATTAATGTGTGTTTTGTAGTCTGTAAGATTCATGTGATTTCTTCCAGTCGTAAGAAGCTGTGTTTCCAGGAGTACTTGTTGTCCGTGCTGGAGACAAGTCTTGATGAGACGTCGGACACCAGCTCACTGGCCAAGTTGTGGGCTGCACACGTCTGTCTGCCACACTGCAGGTAGGGAGGACAACAATCTCAGATTAGCATGGTTTTAAATTTGAAGTTCTACCAACCCAAAGTTTCATAAACATGGTTCTTGGGATTCTGGGTTTGAATAGGTCCCAAGACGTAAGTGCTGGTCATAGGAGATGACTTATGAATCATGGTCCACTTGCACAAAGTGATCTGAGCGCTGAGATGATCGTAACTCCCATACTTTAACATAGGCTTATGATAGTCTTAGCGCTAAGATTGCTTTGGCCAAGTGGGCCCTGGGGTCCTTTCCATAAAGCGATTGTAGTGCACAGGCTTACAACTGTAGTGCTACGATGTCTTTGTGGAACAGGGCCTTGGTAGGCAGGCTTGGTGACTTGGCTGATTGCATGTCATTATACCCCGTGCTCATAATATCAATCACTGGATTATTTACATGCCACCATCTTATAGCTGGAGTGTGACGTTAAGTTACAAACAAACAAACAAACAAACATGGAATACAATTGAAAATATGAGAACAGTCTAATGTTCATCCTAGTAACTGCATGAAAATGCCCTTTAAACTTGTCACACTAGGTGACGTGGGGAAAGAGAGAAGGACTTGCCCTTGTTCAAAGGTTAGACAATTTCTTCCTGAAAACCAGTTTTCCTTTACACATTTTAACCTTACTTTTGCATTTGTTGTTGTAACCTGTCCAAACATGTAGGTGTGGTAAAATATGCCCTTGTTATTGGTGGAATGAACCTTTGTAGTGATCACATATCTAACAGCGTTGGTGGTGCAGTATGTGTGCAATCTCATTAAAATCAGATCTTAGTTCTCGCTATCGCTAAACAAGATCTGAGGACATCCCATTAAGGGTCACGTCAGAACGACCTTTCATCCAACCAATCAGAGCGTCGCTTACCAGATCATGAAAGTGACAGTCGGAATGTGTTTTCAAACCATGCAACCACGAAATATTTAACAGAGGCTATTCAGAACGACAGTTACGGGTTTTATGATTATATCCATACAAACTAGGCCATCTATAAGCCATTCCAGAATCTTCTTCTTATCAGTTTTAATTTTTTTAATCGAGAAAATGTCAAAATATGTTTCGAAGCGTAGTCGCCAGTTTGAAACAAGTGTTGTAAAGCTCAAGAAAGCTGCCTTCTGGTTGGCTAATGTCGATTTCTTGTCAGTCATTTCATTGGTCAGTCAAAATTTGCGAAAGGTCGTTCTGACGTGACCCATAATGGGATGTCCTCAGATCTTTGTTTAGCGGTAGCGAAAACTAAGATCTTATTTTAATGAGATTGAGTATGGGTGCTGATTATGCCTTGTCTTTAACCCCACGGGGATTCTGATCAGGGGGTCAGGCTCCGTGACTTGGTTAATTATGCATCATCATACCCTTGGTTGATGTGTGTCATCATATCCCAATTGTGTTGGTTGATGCTCATGATATCAATCACTGGATTGTCCGGTCAAGACTTGATTATTTACAGACTGCTGTCACATAGATGGAATATTGCTGAGTGCGGCATTAAACAAACAAACATTAAACAACAAGCAAATGAACTTTTGTTTACTCTGTATGTATGCTAAACTATTATGATGATGTTTACCTGCTGTGAACAGACCAGTGGACCGAGATGCTGCTGTGGAGAAGATGAGGATGGTGTGGTCAATGCTGCTGAAGAGAGAGGCTGCCGAAGATGATGACTCCGCCTGCAGTAGTAAGTAGACTCCCTGGAGATGTCACTGGAGGAGGCGGCACCGTTCTAGCTAACTGCCACAATTCTAGTTTCAAGGGTCAATAATGTGTTTTTTACCGGTATGTAAAGTTGATTGTAATCGTATACTGTAAGTATTGCAAATGAACCATATCGTGAAGCATTTCATAATTTAAAAGAATAAATTTCTGATAATTGCCTCCTTTTTAAAAAATATCATCACTACAATTTTTATTTCCTAATTGGCTCTATACATGTTTTTATGCTCACCAGAATAGCACCAGTGAATGTAACCACCAAACCATTTACCAATTTGAATGCAACTAACATAGATATAAGTAAATAATCCTGCAGTTTGATAACAAAGATGGATGTACTGTGCAGTTTGATATCAAAGATGGATGTACTGTGCAGTTTGATAACAAAGATGGATGTACTATGCAGTTTGATAACAAAGATGGATGTACTATGCAGTTTGATAACAAAGATGGATGTACTGTGCAGTTTGATAACAACGATGGATGTACTGTGCAGTTTGATAACAAAGATGGATGTACTATGCAGTTTGATAACAAAGATGGATGTACTGTGCAGTTTGATAACAAAGATGGATGTACTGTGCAGTTTGATAACAAAGATGGATGTACTGTGCAGTTTGATAACAAAGATGGATGTACTGTGCAGTTTGATAACAAAGATGGATGTACTGTGCAGTTTGATAACAAAGATGGATGTACTGTGCAGTTTGATAACAAAGATGGATGTACTGTGCAGTTTGATAACAAAGATGGATGTACTGTGCAGTTTGATAACAAAGATGGATGTACTGTGCAGTTTGATAACAAAGATGGATGTACTGTGCAGTTTGATACTGACTTTATACACTGTTTTTGCCTCTATTCCAGATAATTTCCTTTTTGTCATGGAACAAGTTATAATGACAATGATACTCATGAATGAAGACTCACAGATTTATACTTGGCTCTCGTGGGAAGACTTGAAGACTCTACTCAGGTGGGTTTAGCAACATGTGGGACCTTGGTCTTGTTCCAGAATCCCATTGTTACCACCAGACTGTACCATTGACACCCACCAGTCTTCTAACCAATATCACTGGTGGAGGGGGTGTGGGGGGCTCGGTTGAGCGGGGGTGGGGTGGTTGGGTGCGTGCATGCGTGCGTTTTTAATTTGGTTTTAATAAGTGCCCCATTTGTCAAATGTATGGTGCTCAGGGCGCTTATTACGGGCGGGTGTGTGGGCCGGCGGGCTGGCTACCAAGCAACATGCAGGTTGTCGACAGCATTCCACGACACACCATGAAGACAGGTTTCTCCTAATTGCAGCAATGTATTATTTAACAATAACATTTTTTTTTGGACAGGTGATCTGACTGATGATTGTCATATTGTTTGTTGGCATTGTGTGGCACATAGCTTTTGTTCATTATACATGTCTTCCCACAATAATGTCTTTGGTTCTTTCAATAGATGCACACTTTTTGAGTAGTGTATGTTGAAGATATTTGATATACCCTGTCATTTCTGTGTACATCTGCACTCAAAAGGATGTTCTGAAATTACAACTATTGTGGAATACTGTAAATCTTGAAATTAACGCGTATCCAAATTCTCCAAATTAGTACGACTGTTGACCCCCAGCCAAAATTGTGCCCCCCCCCCCCCATCCCCGAAACCCTATCCCCACCCTTTCCCCAGTGGAATGATATCTATCCAAACAAACAAGGTGACTGATATAAATGTACCATAGGCATATATGATGTCTGCATTACAGAAGTACTCTAGGTTACATCTTGTGAGGAAAGTCAGGATTCACTTGTCCTTCCCTTGGTAGGCAATTGTATAAACTTCAAAATATATTTAAAACAAGTGCTCTACTTCCAAAACTCCACACTCCAAATCTTAGCTATGTTAATCCATCCTCCAAGTATACATCTCCACACATTTAGTTAATTAATTCACTTACAGTTCTTAATTGAAAAAATAAACATAGTTAAAACGTATCCTGTTACTGAGTGTTTGAATATATTTTGACGACATGAATGCAAAGTTTCATTAATGCGAACAAAGACCACGTGCATTTCTCACATTTAATTCAGACTTGCGTTAGTTTCAAGATGAACAGTATTTGTTTTTGTTGGTTTTTGTTTACGCGAAAAAATTCTGTAATTCTGTAAGTAAGATGAAGGAAATGAAACTATCATTGCTGTGGAAAGATGGCATATAATTGGCTCAAGAACAAAAATACCAATCATTTTGATTGGGCAGTCAAAGTTTGCTTGAGAGTTTGTTAGGTCGTCTCACTGATAGGAATCTTCTAGAAGTAATAGATGTTTTAAATGATACGGCATATAACACCTATCTTCAGTTGGTTGTAGGTATGTCGATTCTCAATCTTCAGGTTTGCAGACACACACTTTGTTTTGTGATGTTTGATAATGAATGAACATTCCTTCTTTTTCAGGAAACACCCAAACAATGGGAATGTTCTCAAAATGGCCAACTTGTATTTGAGTCAATGTGCCCTTGACCTTCGGGATGACATTGTGTCACAGGAATGTCTGTTGGAGTTACTTCCCTTGCTACAAGTCAATCTGGCATCATGGTCAAGTCAAGTAAGAATCAGTTCATTGTCTGACTCTATGTTATCATGGCATCGGTAAATCTCGTAATCCACATACCCTGTCGACTGCTTACTTATGCAAATCTAAGCACAATATTTCATCACTTGATTGAATACAGGACTCGTTGCAGTACGTTATGGCTAAGTGTACACGTTAACTTTTTTCTTGAATATATTTAAAGTGGAAAAACTCCTACGTCCATTCGAAATTGGTTAGTGAAGAACCCATTTGTTTGGACGATATCCCTTGACCGAACCTAGGTCACATGCATACTGTGCACAATACAAAACTGGAAGTGATGTAAAGGACATATTCCACACGTATCACACCACAAAATAGTGATACTGCCATAGTATAGAGTTGCCTGCCCTTGAGTTGCTAATGACTGGTACATTGTTTACCGACCTTGCTAAAGAACATCAGCATCGATGAAAGAATGAATGTCATAAAAGTTGTACAAAGAACAAGAAAATTTTGCGTATACAATATTTAATAGGTTAGTAAGCGTGCGCCATTACAAATCATTATATATTAACTACCGCCATAATATAGCATACCATGCTGATAGCTTTTACTGTGCCATCCTGCCCATCCCTTGGTATTATAAAGAACAGAATAATAACCATTGCCAACAAAAGCAGTATCATTATCACCATCATCATCAATCGTCATTCTCAGCATCGTCATCAATCGTCATCATCATTTGCACCAAATATAAATGATGTTTGTGTTCAGTTGCATTCTTCATTTTCCGTGATGTCTGCAGTAGTCCTTGGCAGAGGATTATTTATTAGTTCCAGTGTAGGGGGTTTTAACCTCCTGTTCAAGATTTTTGCACTTTTATGGCACATTGACTTTAACATGGATACCCCACTCAGACACAGTATACTGACTCTGAGCCGACCAGTCCTTGTTTATGCTCTTAATGCCAAGCACCAGGCAGGGTAACAACAAGTACCATCTTTTATGTACCATTCTTTTGTTATTACACGGCCAGGAATCGAACCCCAGACCTTACGCTCATTGGGCAGATGCTGTTACCACTAGAATATGTCCTTTGTGAAATACAATATGGGTATATATACAATTTATAACGATAAGTTGGTCTTTTGGGATAATGGCTAGGGATCTAAACACCAACCTTCTGCTCTCCGGGCAGGTGCTTCATCCGCTAGACGGTGGCAGTCTCTCAGTTAAGAAGATTTCTTTCATAAGCATCTACACGACTAGAGTTGTTCAGACGGATGCTGTAAGCAAGTTACAAGTCTGTTCGTCTCATGAGGTGACCCCTGTATTCTGGCTGTATTTCAGGTGCGTCTCCTCTCGCTGCACACCCTCTCACTGTTTCCAGTAGATTTGCCTCCTGTTGAAGAAAAGGTACGTTATTGTTTTTCACTTGAGAAGGTAACAGGTAGGTGGAGTAGCTTAGTGGTTGACATCACGCTGTTTGTTTGTTTGTTTGTTTGTTTGTTTGTTGAGTAATGCCGCAGTCAGCAATATTCCATCTGTATGACGGTGGTTTGTAAATTATAGAGTTTAGACCAGACAATTCAGGGATTGACATCATGAGCATCCATCCACACAGTTGGGATACTATGACATTCATCAACCAAGTCAGTGAGCCTGACCACCTGATCCCACGACAAGCATAGATGCTGGCTACGGCAAGCATGGGTTGCTGAAGACCTGTTCTCCCCTGGATCTTCATCGCACTGTGATCCTCATCCCTGTCATGATGGTTTGTTATTGATGTCATGTCAGTTAAAAGTCCTGACGCTTTGAATTGTGACGCTCAAAGAAATGCTGATCCGTGAAGATTCCGGGGTAGAATAGGTCTTCAGCAACCCATGCTTGCCATAAAAGGCGACTATGCTTGTCGTACAGGGCGACTAACGGGATCGGGTGGTCAGGCTCGCTGACTTGGTTGATGCATGATTGATCCAAATTGTGTGGATCAATGCTCATGATATCAATCACTGGATTGTCTGGTCCAGACATGATTATTTACAGACCGCCGTCATATAGGTGGAATATTGCTGAGTGCGGCGTTAAACAACAAACAATCAAACAAAGAAATGCTGTGAGTCATGATGACTTCCTGTTTCCTGAACTGAGTGATGCCTTTGATACTAACCCGCACTTACTCACTCACTGGCCCATGTAAGGAGTGCGACCTCAGTTAAGATATCTACTTGTGTAAGGTCACAGTTGTTATCCAGTTAATTGTTTTCAGGAGACAGAGCAGTTGGGAGTGTTTGACATCTGTCAGGCTGCGGAGAGAGTGGACATCAACGTCTACAACTACAGGGACAGGCTCCGACATCTGCAGAAGCTGGATTACAAGCTTGTTCAGACAAACATCCCCATTGGGCCTTTTGAAAAGGTGGGTGAACCACTAGATCACACATCTGTCTGATAGAGGGGCATGATTCATTTGTTTTACTTATACAGACTGAATGGACAGAAGTACCCAGAAGTAGAGATGATGTAGACGGTGAAATATTGAAATTCTAAAATTCACTTCTCCTGTTCTCCAAGCTTTGTGTGTTACCATGGTTACAGTAGGTGTCTCTGATTTAGGTTCCCCTGTACAACCTAGTGGGCAGTCTGTATGTTTCTTTGTGTTACCATGGTTACAGTAGGTGTCTCTGATTTAGGTGCCCCTGTACAACCTAGTGGGCAGTCTGTATGTTTCTATGTGTTACCATGGTTACAGTAGGTGTCTCTGCTTCAGGTGCCCCTGTACTACTGTAAATCTGGAAATTAATATGTCTCCAAATTAATGGGACTGCTGACCTCTAGCCAAAAATCTCTCTATGCGTTACCATGGTTACAGTAGGTGTCTCTGCTTCAGGTGCCACTGTACTAACTGCTGGGCAGTCTGTATGTCCCTGTGTTACCATGGTTACAGTAGGTGTCGCTGTTTAAGGTGCCCCTGTAATTCATGGTGTGTAATCTGCATGGCTCTGTTTTACCATGGTTACAGTAGGTGTCGCTGTTTCAGGTGCCCCTGTACTACATGGTGTGTAGTCTGTATGTCCCTGTGTTACGATAGTTACAGTAGGTGTCTGTTTCAGGCGCCCCTGTACTACATGGTGTGTAATCTGTATGTCCCTGTGTTACCATGGTTACAGTAGGTGTCGCTGTTTAAGGTGCCCCTGTACCACATGGTGTGTAGTCTGTATGTCCCTGTGTTACCATAGTTACAGTAGGTGTCTCTGCTTCAGGTGCCCATGTACCACATGGTGTGTAGTCTGTATGTCCCTGTGTTACCATAGTTACAGTAGGTGTCTCTGTTTCAGGTGCCCCTGTACTACCTGCTGGGCAGTCTGTATGTCTCTGTGTTACCATGGTTAAAGTAGGTGTCTCTGCTTCAGGTGCCCCTGTACTACCTGCTGGGCAGTCTGTATGTCCCTGTGTTACCATGGTTACAGTAGGTGTCTCTGCTTCAGGTGCCCCTGTACTACCTGCTGGGCAGTCTGTATGTCCCTGTGTTACCATGGTTACAGTAGGTGTCTCTGCTTCAGGTGCCCCTGTACTACCTGCTGGGCAGTCTGTATGTCCCTGTGTTACCATGGTTACAGTAGGTGTCTCTGCTTCAGGTGCCCCTGTACTACCTGCTGGGCAGTCTGTATGTCCCTGTGTTACCATGGTTACAGTAGGTGTCTCTGTTTCAGGTGCCCCTGTACTACCTGCTGGGCAGTCTGTATGTCCCTGTGTTACCATGGTTACAGTAGGCGTCTCTGCTTCAGGTGCCCCTGTACTACCTGCTGGGCAGCCTGTATGTCTCTGTGTTACCATGGTTACAGTAGGCATCTCTGTTTCAGGTGCCCCTGTACTACCTGCTGGGCAGCCTGTATGTCTCTGTGTTACGATAGTTACAGTAGGTGTCTCTATTTCAGGTGCCCCTGTACTACCTGCTGGGCAGTCTGTACGTCAACTTCAAGCTGATGTGGGAGCCAGTCCGGGAGTTGGTCAAGAGTTACGCCGTGGGAATGGAGCAGGATGTCTTCTGGTCAGTCATGGGTGACCAGCTCAAAATTGCAGCAGAGCGAGCAGGTAGATAGCACACTCACACATTGTAAACCGAGAAGGTCATGTTCATACAATAGGTTGGTTTGTTGGTTATCGACGCACTCAGCAATATTACAGCTATATGACGGCAATCTGTATGTAAATAATTGAGTCTGGACCAGACAATCCAGCGATTAATGTCATGAGCATCGATCCACGCAATTGGGATCGATGACATGCATCAACCAAGTCAGTGAACCTGACCACTCGATCCCGTTTGTTGCCTTTTACGAAAAGCATTGTCACCTTTTACGTCAAGCATGGGTTGCTGAAGACCTATTCTACCCCGGAATCTTCACGGGTCTCATACAATTTGGGGGAGATGGGATACCCAGTGGTAAAATGTTTGCCTGTCACACCAAAGGCCTGTGTTCAATGGTGTTTTATTCCCAACATTCGTACAATGTGTGAAACCCGTGCCTGGTGTCACTTGTTTTTGGAATATGGCTAAAAGCGGCGTAAGACCCTACACACTTGAATGTATTTCAATGGCAGTATTTTTGAACCATGACAAAGTTTGTTTGAGCTGTTTGTTAGTTGTTAAACTCGTCACTCACATGTTCAGTAAACTACGGTTATAACAAACTCAAAGAGTCCACTAAGTTTAGTTTGTTATAACCATACTTCATTATAAGGATATATACAGCAGATGGCCGGGACCAAAATAACAATTTGTTATATCGTCAGTTCGTTATAAGCGTGTTCATTATAAACATAGTTTACTGTAGTTAGACTTCTTCATGTTGGAGGCATTGCTGGCTTGTTGGTAAAGGTTCTCAGCTTTGACATGTTTGAGGTGTGGAGTTGTGGTCCTTGGTTCAGATTGGCTGTAAATTTGTTTCTCAATTCAATACCTGTGCCTGTTTCACGTAAATGTCTTCAAGCTGCGTCACTTTAGGCATTGATCACGTTCTGATGGCATGACTGAGGCAGGGATAGTTTTTAACAACAAATTTGTATGTAGCCTTCAGGGCTTACACCTTTTGAAAGTTACTGGCCCTTCTCCAAACTAACTGGCCCAAAACTAAATGGTACAGGCCGCAAACGTTTTTACCTGCACTCTGAGATTAAATCTTGCTTTCTATTTGCCTCATTTCGTGGTGATTTATGAGTAAACAAAGTAGTTGTTGTACACATTACGAAATGGCAGCCAGTTGTCATTCTACTGAGATGATCCAATTTAATAAATTAAACATACACGGAGAAGGGGTGAAATTTTGACTAGCGACAGATGAGAGATCTACTTTTTGTTTCAGCAAGCCCTTTGTAATTTTTACTGGCCATGGGCCAACAGTATAGCTTTTAAATCAACCCTTTTTGAAGTCCTGGTGAAAATCCCTTTCCCAATAAATACACACTCTTTCATTTCAATAATGACAAAGTTTTGGTCACTCACTGTTTTAGCAAAGTAGTTTTGATAAACAAACACTCACATTTAGTTGGATATTTAAATAGTTTTGAAACTAGTTTTCTTGCTGTTACCTTCAATATGATCACTTATTTGTTTTCTAGAGAAAGACAGTGCAGCGGTATCTAGTCAGTCAGTCACAGGGGATGTCAGTATGACAGGTGATGTGACAGCTGTGAGTGAAATATACACCAGTTGCCATAGACACCAGAGTAACAGCACTGGTGCGGCGCCAGACCACGTCAACATGAGGCTGCAGCTGTGGCGGGCGATGGAACTGTTCCCAGACAAGTGCGAGGCCAGGGGGAAGCTGGTTGTGCCCATCTTCTTAAAGTTTCTTAGGTGAGGAAAACACAAGACTATGACGTCAGTATTTTTTATTATTTAAGTAAGGCTATTGCAGAAAATTATTTGACGAGATTAAAATTAATATTTTTTCTATTGGCAATTGTTTTTGATTACCATGAATACTGATGTTAGATTTTTGATAGTGGGAGGGGGAGTTTAAGGGCTGCAAGTTGCCCATCTATTGAAAGTGCAGCAATTCACTGTACAGAGTTATGTCCCTTTAGTGTGCTGGAAACCTGCATCACTTGGTTTTTCCTCCCACATGAGCAGACACACCAATATAACTGGAATACTGTTCAATATGGCATTAAACATCACTCACTCACTCACTCACTCACTCACTCACTCACTCACTCACTCACCCAAACCCACTCACCCAAACCCACTCACTCACTCACATAGATTTTTTTCTATATTCCCCCAAATGTTTGTGAAACTCATTTTAACAAACTGTATTAGTGAGTAAATAATGTCTTTATCTATTTTAGTTTCATAAGAACATGCTGTCAGTCACACTGATATAAACCCATACATGTTTCTACTTGTGGCTAGTGAGGAGTACCATAGGCGAGACATGAACTCTGCCCCGACAGAAGACATCTCCATCCAACATGGCCACGCTGACCAGTCAGAGTTTGAAGATGAGGATGAGGAGGATGAGCCGAAAGATGAACCTTCCGACCAACCAAGGGGCAAATATTCCAAGAAGAAGAAAAAGAGACGGAAGGGGATTATTCCGTAAGTCTAGTGGTAAAGCATCTGCCCGGAGAGCGGAAGGTCTGGGATTCCCAGCTGTGGCATACCAAAAGACGTCAAAATATGGTACTTTTTGCTACCTTGTCTGGTGCTCAGCATTAAGGGGCTAGAACAAGGACTGGTCGGCTTGGAGTCTGTATATCGTGTCTGAGTGGGGTATCCATGTTAAACTGACATGGTATCTCAGTGGGCTAGCACTATAAATCGGCATTGGACTAGTACAAGCAGACACACACACACAGACATGTGTTGCTATAGAAGTGCAATAATCTTGGACGACACGTTAAAACCCATTTCCCCTCACCTCAATAAGTCAAAGTTAATCATTCAGTTTGTAAGCCCCTCCAAGACTAACATCTTGCAGCATTATGATGATGAATTAATATGAAACCATCTCTGCATTCTGTGATTGTTTCAGATCACTGCTGGCACACTTGCATGTTTTCTCCAAGTTCAAAAGTCCCAAGTCCCTCCATAAAGACCAGGAACTGAGGAAGATCTACCAGGAGGTGGGTGTCTCCATGCTGGACCTACTTCCACCCTAGTGTCAGATCAGTATTATAAGAAGTGGTGGTTTGAAACAGGGCTCTTACCTCCTATCTGAACAAACCCTTGTGAATGCATGTTGTAACAGTGTGTTTGTCATCGTACCCTGTATGTGGTGCATGGATTCAGTGTGATGTGTTTTTGTCTTCAGCTGCTCCACCACAAGGATCTGTCTGTACAGAAAGCTGCCTTCAGTTGTGTTCTCACCTACAACCACAAGTACCTCAACCCATACAGGTAGGTGACCATGGCGATGGGGGACGGGACCGAGGAGGAGGAGGGGAGATCTGGAGAATAACAAACAAGCTTCTAGGAATTACAGATTATGTCCTGAGTGAATGGATGGTGAAAGTCCCAAACCTTCATCTTCCCGAGGCAAGGGAGTTAACTGACTCTAAAAGTCCTTTTTCCACCCTTGGCTGGAATTTCTAGGTTTGAACGTAGCGCTACTAGTGGCTATTGCGAGTTATGTCCCTTCTATCTCCCTCCTATTGACCAATCACATTCCACCTCTCATATCACATGCATTTGCTTCAAAGAAAATGGTGGCCCCCAGTCAAGACGATCTGATCGTTGATCAAGATATAAAATGTAATACAACAGGTCTTACCTCAAAAAGTGCTTAAAATCATGTGAGCACCTTGATTAAGAACATGAATAGATTTGCAAAATATCTGACGATACCCAGTTGGCAGTTTATATCTTTTTTTTAAAATCCTGCTATCAACCGAAATCTGCACGTTGAAATCCATGTTGTTCATAAACCGGATGTCAATTTTGTTACTCGATTTTGATTGGACTATGCATAGACTCATCAGTCCAGGCAAAATATAACTCCATAATTGCAGCCTAGTTCGGCAAGAGTGGAAACTGGACTTTTACAGTCAGTTAACACCTTTGCCTCGGGAAGATGTGGGAAGATGTGAACCTTTGCTGAGGGACATCTTTCAAACACTGGGGAAGATAATCCATAATTCCTCCACCCTTGCTGGATATTCTATATATTACTCATTGACTTTTTAAACAAGAAAATGAAGAAAAACATGTCAACCCTACGGAGAACTTCCCTGAGAGTAGCCTATTGTTCGATGTAATGTAATCAGTTTGTGATGTCATGAACAATAGATGACATCATGTCAAATTTTTTCAACAAGGAAGCACTGTGATGTCATAGTTAGGCTTCACATCACCAATCAGCATTGTGAATCTCTAAAATATTGGAAAGTTGTTTCACACGGTCATTCTACCCTTATGTTAATATTCACAAATACACGTGACATTCATCACTTAGCGTAAGGCAAAGTACACAATATTTCAGAGTCTTTGCTCTAGTGTAACAAAGTTGTATTTATGAACAGATCATTTTAAGAGGAAGTGCGATGTAAATAATATACAAGCAATTTGGCAGTCATTCATTACGATACCTTCCCCAAGGACACGTCATGATTCAGGACTGTGTTTGGGGCCTACTATGCAATGCCAGAAATGCCAAATTTCAAAGATTTGGAAAACTAATGTGAATGCATTCACAGGTTTCATTTGACACACAGTCATTGTTTTTGTTGTTGTTTTTTTATCTTTTGAACATTTTTTAATTTTTCTCTTGAAATTTAAAGAAAGTGTTGAAATGAATGACAATGTGGTTGAAATGTCTCAAGGTTTTTACCAACAACATCAAAATCAGAGGTGTAACTAAATGTTAAATGATGTGAATATATGTGTTATATACAAAATCATTAACACAGAAATGGTTCCGTGTTTCAGAGAGAACTTTTCACGTCTGCTCGATGACAAGACATTTAAGGAGGAAATAATAGCATTCAGCATCGACCCCGACAACACGCAGATCAAATCGGAACACCGACAGAACATCCTGCCTGTGCTTATGGGGTAGGTTGTTTGTAGCAACCTGTGGTAATTCATATTCCTGGACTCGGTGCAATGTTTGTTTGTTTGTTGTTGCCATACTCAGTGTAGCAATATTCCGGCTAAATGACGAGGGATCGGATGCTGACTTGGTTGACTGTATGTCATCGTACCCATGGCATGGTTCATAAAATCAATTACTGGATTGACAGGTCTAGATTATTTTCAAAGTGCTGTCATTTTGCTGGAATATTGCTAAGGCGCATTAAACAACAAGGAAAATGTTTTTGATCAGTGGCGGCTGTGTAGAGTTGTGCTGCTTAAACATGACAGAAATCTTTGATACTAACTTCCAAGAATAATGTTGAAATCGATGTTAGCCCCAACTCACTTTCACCGCCTCTGTGGTCTAGAGTTAGAGCGTCCGCCTGGAGATGTGTCATACCAAAAGATAGTACTTGTTGTTAACCTGCGACTCGGCATTAAGGGGCCAAAACAAGGACTGGTCGACATACACGTGGCTTCAGAAGTGCACCTCACCTCACCCAACTTAATAATAATCAATATATTATCTAAATTCTCCATATGGAGATCTGTCTAGAATCTCTATAATACTTGCGTCATTGATATATTGTCTGTTGTCACTGGGACATTGACCAGGTCAGGTTTATTGTGTATTGTGATGTGTTGGGTAGGGGAGGAATATGAGATGTAGAATGTTGTATGATGCAGGGTCCTGTATGGGAGGATGCAGAGCCGTACTGTGTATTGTGATGTGTTGGGTAGAGGTGGAATATGAGATGTAGAATGTTGTATGATGCAGGGTCCTGTATTGGAGGATGCAGAGCCGTACTGTGTATTGTGATGTGTTGGGTAGAGGTGGAATATGAGATGTAGAATGTTGTATGATGCAGGGTCCTGTATTGGAGGATGCAGAGCCGTACTGTGTATTGTGATGTGTTGGGTAGAGGTGGAATATGAGATGTAGAATGTTGTATGATGCAGGGTCCTGTATGGGAGGATGCAGAGCGGTACTGTGTATTGTGATGTGTTGGGTAGAGGTGGAATATGAGATGTAGAATGTTGTATGATGCAGGGTCCTGTATTGGAGGATGCAGAGCCGTACTGTGTATTGTGATGTGTTGGGTAGGGGAGGAATATGAGGTGTTGAATGTTGTATGATGCAGGGTCCTGTATTGGAGGATGCAGAGCCGTACTGTGTATTGTGATTTGTTCGGTAGGGGAGGAATATGAGCTGTAGAATGTTGTATGATGCAGGGTCCTGTATTGGAGGATGCAGAGCCGTACTGTGTATTGTGATGTGTTGGGTAGGGGAGGAATATGAGGTGTTGAATGTTGTATGATGCAGGGTCCTGTATTGGAGGATGCAGAGCCGTACTGTGTATTGTGATGTGTTGGGTAGGGGAGGAATATGAGGTGTTGAATGTTGTATGATGCAGGGTCCTGTATTGGAGGATGCAGAGCCGTACTGTGTATTGTGATGTGTTGGGTAGGGGAGGAATATGAGATGTAGAATGTTGTATGATGCAGGGTCCTGTATTGGAGGATGCAGAGCGGTACTGTGTATTGTGATGTGTTGGGTAGGGGAGGAATATGAGGTGTTGAATGTTGTATGATGCAGGGTCCTGTATTGGAGGATGCAGAGCCGTACTGTGTATTGTGATGTGTTGGGTAGGGGAGGAATATGAGATGTAGAATGTTGTATGATGCAGGGTCCTGTATTGGAGGATGCAGAGCAGTACTGTGTATTGTGATGTGTTGCGAGGGGTAGAGGTGGATTATGAGCTGTAGAATGTTGTATGATGCAGGGTCCTGTATTGGAGCATGCAGAGCCGTACTGTGTATTGTGATGTGTTGGGTAGAGATGGAATATGAGATGTAGAATGTTGTATGATGCAGGGTCCTGTATGGGAGGATGCAGAGCCGTATCGGCAAGGAGACCACAGGGAAGGCCAAGAGTAATGTTCGACGTGCTGTAGTGTTCCGCTTCCTGGCTGGGTGCAGCACAACAGAACTCAAGGTCTTCCTTGACCTCGTGTTCCAACCCTTACTCAACTTTGTACAGGGTAAGTCGTAGTAGTGAACTCTCATTATTCTGAAATCTATGTATTATCTTACGATGTACTGTAAATCATGAATTTAATGTGTCACCATATTAATGTGACTGTAGGGCTGGGACAAATCCAAATTTACTATCTGGATACCCAACACCCTACTACCCCATCCTACCCGGATACCCGCTAGCAGCCTCAAGAGTTGGGTACAAAATGTCTGATTGGGAATTGTTTTACTGCAGCTCTGGCAAAGTTATTTAGATACACGTATGAAACGATCTGATCATGTTGTTGATAAAAGCTTTATCCTTACTTGAACATATAAAAGTCATAACGAATGCAAGCATAGTCTGAAAGAAATGTAAACATTAGCTATACTTGTAGTGTAACCATGGATTTTATTGTTAATGTCATTAAACAGTATATCAGTATCTAACCTGGGTAGTGGTTAGGGTACCCAAGTCCTACTCAGAACTGACCCGACCCGAGTACCTGAGTTAGCTGAGTTAGCCCTTGAGTGCTAACCTTGAGCCTAAATGCACCATGAATTACTGAGAGTAGCCCTACCTTTGATGTTAAGGAACTAATCAGCAAATGATAATACCAAGAATGTAGGCTTTGAAGTTCATGAGATACTATGGCAGGGTTAGAAACTAACAGTTTTCGTCCACTAGTCCTTATAATGATAACATATAGTAAAACCCTTAAAAAGGGCACATTTCTACTAGTCCTTATGATACCTTTACCATTGGGCAGTTTGGCAAGGACTATAGGACTAGTGCCAATTTCTAACGCTGCTATGGGGTGATAGCAGTTTAACTGCATATTATCATTTGCTGTCTTCACAAACTAATCTTGTCCCCCATGACATGTGCTCTAACTTTCTTGAAATCTTTAGGAGGAAATTTCAAATATGGCATTTGCAATTAATATAGTTCTGATCTCCAATGATTGTACAGGTTCTAAGAGAATCTACACCAGTTGCCTCAATCCTTTGAGTTATTCAAATAGTATTTTGTATGCTAAATCTACCTTTATTATGTTTAACAGCTAGTGATTGCTCTAGAGGTAGTTTCACAGACAGTCTCAGTTGCATACATGGCACTCATTCACAAAGTCTGGAATATAAAGACTGCTCGACACATTCCCCCTTTACGAAGTTTGTTCAGTTCAAGTGACGTGTATGATCACAACATGTATGATGAAACAACTTCTTTCAATATTGGAAACTAAATTTTTAGTCCTTTCACACCTTTTTTTTCTTTTCCATGAAAGTAATAATTTACAAAACGTTTGGGCAAATATTTTGAAACATTTGTAAAATTCCTCTTGTGTGGTTATTACTAATTTTGTCAAAGCTAACAAAGTTCTGTGTGTATGTTTTACAGATGACCCCGTGGCCATGATAAGGAAGGTGTCGGAGACCCTAGATGTAGAGAGCATATTTCCCCTGAGGAGAATGAGAGGGTAAGTGAGGTTCTGCTTCTAAATAAAGATGTCCTGGAATACTGTACTGGATAAGTGAAAGTTCATGGTAGCCCAGCTTATCATATGAGGATTTCACTACCGTATTTTCTTGAGTATAGTGCGCACTTTTTTTCGAAAAAACACAGCTGTGTAGAAGGGGGTGCGCATTATACACGAATTATGAGTTTGGATGTTTTTTTCCCCCCATGGAAAGACATTACCGTGAGCACGAAACACCGGAAATACCATGTCAACAAATCCATACTGAAGTACGCAAAATACTTATGTAATTACACTGTCTGGCTATAAAAAGTGTTCTTTTTATATCTGGACTTATGTTTGTAACTTATTTCATTGATTTTATTCAAAATTCCTTATAATATTGTTTTTATTAATTTCGGCGAAAATCGTGTGTGAAGCGATCGGAAGATCGCACAACTCACCGTTATTAACAGCAACCACGGTCAGAATACCGCTATTGACGCCTTGAAACAAACTTTAGTTGACAGAGAATGGATACATATATCATAAATGACATACTTTGCCTCGTTAAAAGTCATATTTGTTTTTGTTTGACGATTCTATGTCAACATGAAATTCTCGCGATCACGTGCGCGTGAGCCTTGACGGTGACTGGTCAGACATGTTCCATGTAAAAAATAATACCCGGGAATAGCGATCAACTGCTTCGCTTAGGGTTATTATTATTTTAAATATGTTTAGTAAAGGTTGCATATAATTAAGAAAATAATGGAATATATTATTCCTTATAAATAAAATAGTTTCAGATACAATTGTTGCCGATCCTTGCATTAAAAATCTTATAAAGTTATATCATTGGGTGTGTCTTGACCGAATCACCGGTCGATTCCAAGAAAATGTTTGTACAGCTGATTGCTGTTTCAAGCTTAGTTTACGAGAAAATACGCAAGGTAATCTTAATCCCTAAATATAAAACAATGCCTAACAGAACAATAAATACTTTTTAAACGGTAAATAAACATGTCTGGTGATTTTTTATCTCAAATTTCGAATTTGTACTGACGAAGTTTCTCAGCACCCGTTCGTTTGCCGGACTTCGCTGAAAGGGTACGGTGTACAAATTTACTGCGCATAATATTCAAATTTCTTTTTTTCCAAAATATTGAACCCGCTAGAGGGGGGTGTGCATTATACATGGGTGCGCACTATACTCAAGAAAATACGGTAGTTGAATGCTGGATTGCCAATAGTATTAATGGTATATTTTATTCGTCATATTATGAACTCATATTCCTCCTCCTTCCCCATGAGTCTCTTGGAATAAATCTGTGGTGCCCTTGCCTGGAGGACGGCAATGGTTTCTTTAACGATTTATGGGATGGACAGCCCAGTCATCTGAGAGGCAGCGATTTGCCATGCAGAGTTGCATCCCTTGTGCACGCCAGAAACCTGTGATCATGGATTTGAATCCTGTTTTGACCCAATTATGTTTCTAGGTTTGTCAGCACAATACCCGTGCTCGTGGGTTTCACCGAAGTGGTAAACGTCTGAGGCCTGCATCTCTTCAGGCTTTCCTCCCACATTAAGCTGACACGTCGTGATATAACTGGAATACTGTTTAAAGTGGCTTTAAACCAAACTCACTCACTCACTTTAATGATAAACCACTTATAACCTGAGTAGTTGATTTTGAGGGGATCTTAACCTAAAAAGAATTGACCACTTGTCTGCCTGTAGCAATACAGCAAATACTGTTTCTTAATGAACACTATCGACCACGTGGTGTATGTGTTTCGGGGGCATGGGTGGCCCAGTGGTCTTAAGCGTCGCAATTCGCTGTGCAGAGTTGCGTCCCTTAGGCGCAAAGAAACCTATGATTGTGGGTTCGAATCCCGGTTCGCCCCGATTATGTTTCTAGGCTTGTCAGCAACATACCCGTGCTCGTGGGTTTCACCAAAGTGGTAAACGTCTGAGACCTGCATCACTTCGGGCTTTCCTCCCACATTAAGCTGACACATTGTGATATAATCGGAATACTGTTCAAACTCACTCACTCACTACATTTGTTTCACTGCGTGCCTCTGTCTGTCCATCCTGCTGCAGAGTGCTACACACAGTGATGGTTGTGATCGGGAAGCTGCGCCACCTACTGGATGACTTCCTGCCATCACTCCTGCGGATCCTGCTGGGGCTGGCCGCCACCTGCAACTCCTGTCTTGAGCTGCGCGACCAGCTGCGGCCTGGTGCTGTCACTGCTCTCAAGACCATCCGGCAGACGGTCAAACTAGCAGTGCTGGAGGTGTGTGCTTTTGTCAGTCTCATCCATTAGAAAGGTTTTTAACTGAGGTTCAATACCCTCTGTCAAGATCTGACAGACTGTTCACAAAAGGTCACATAGGTGTACTCTGATCAACCTTTACTCCAATGAGATGAAAGAACCAGTTGTTTTTTTATTCTACCTGATTTCAGCTTTTTAAATGTATTCATGTTCATTTTTCTACTCACTATGTCCCTGATGTGGAGACCCATGAAGATCCGGGGTAGAATAGGTCTTCAGCAACCCATGCTTGCTGTAAAAGATGACTATGCTTGTTGTAAGAGGCGACTAATGGGATCTGTTAGGCTCGCTGACTTGGTTGATGCATGTCATTGTATCCCAATTGCGTGGATCGATGCTCATGATATCAATCACTGGATTGTCCGGTCCAGACTTGATTATTTACAGACCGCCGTCATATAGCTGGAATATTGCTGAGTGTGGCGTTAAACAACAAACAAACAAACAATAATCTGATGCAGAAACAATGGTTTGAACAAAGACACAGAACACATATGTTCCTCTTGTCAACACCTAGCTCTATTAGGTGTACATGCTATGGCCCTCGGAAACGACAGGGTATGAATCACGCTCAACATTATACAACTGTTATTATTCTCCATTCGACAATACCTTATTACATCCCATTTAGAGATATGAGTTGGTGCTAGTGTCCACATTGGGAAGTAGTGGTTAAGGCTGTTTGTTTTGTTTCAGTTCTTTGAGGAGTTTGAGAAGTATGCCTTCAGTGGTCGGGAGGTCGAGGCCGTGTTTGAGGCAGTTGTCTCCCCACAGGTAGGTCCTACGTCACAGTGTCAGTCTTTGGAAATGATGGAATTCAGAATCTCCTGCGACAGCGTCAGATTTGCTGGTATATATTTTGACATTTAATCATCAAACTACAACAAATATTACTTTTAAAGAGTCAAAGTATGGCAGTATGATATATATGTATCCATTTTCTGTCAACTAAGGTTCGTTTCAAAGTATCAGTAGCGGTTATATGATCGTGGTTGCTGTAAACAAAGGTGAGTTGGTATAGCGGACATTATGGAACAGGGCTAACAGAAGTTGTAAGTACTGGATGGACACCAAAATTAATGTAAATATTCTTGAATGAAAGTTTCATTGAAATTAATTAAATAGATTTAGATTTCAAACTTGAGTCCAGATATACAATTAAACACTTTAAACACGAGACATAGATGAGACGTAATTTTAGGTGGGGGGTCCGGCTTATCTACCGCACATAATATTTTGATACATATTTCAAGGACCAAGTTAATACCTCGGCTTATCTATGAGATCAGTAGAGGACCACCCTATCAAAAGCAATCAAATCTGTTAACCTAATTTTATTCCGATTTTATTCAACTGCTAGAAAACTATGCACAAGCCAAATTACTTCTTCTTGGTGACTTTACAACGAATGTGAGAAAACAAGTCAAGAAAGTACAAACATTAACGTCAGATGGACTACAACTGCACATCAGCAGCCCCACTCATCGGCCTGGTCACATAACTGACTGGGTAGTGACTAGGATAGAGTGCAATATCATAATATCTTACATAAACTATTGTGATGAAATTAAGTTTAGATTTACCCAAACAGGCTTGTTGTTGTCAATAATGTCAGTTGCTGAAGATGGAAAGTACCTTTTTTTGTTATATCTCAAATGGCCACAAAGTAATCCCTGCATAAATGTGCCACCACTCACCAGTGGAGTGAAATATGTTGATTTCTTTCAAAATTTTTGCGAAAAGTTACTTCTCTGCTATTTATCGATAATTGATGGATATTTAGTTAACGATAATCGATCTCTACGATCTGTATTGATGGCCAGCCCTACTGACCACGACATGGTACTCACTAAGCTTTCAGTGTTACAACATCAAGAATATGGACACGTCAGCATTTGCAAATAACTTAGAAGAATGAGGTCTGCTTACAGATTCATCAATTGACATTGACAAAATCTGTCAAAATTACAACTCTTCCCTTACCAAACTACCAGATCAACAGGCACCAGTGGTCCAAAAGCAGATTCCTAGTAGACCAGCAACTCCCTTCTATGCCGAAAAAGTTGCCCTTGCTGAAACACAATGTCGTATTGCGTAACAGCAGTGGCGAAAGACAAAACTAGAGGTTCAGTGGCAGATCTACAAAGCAGCATGTAATGCTGTTACTCAACAGATCATCTGGAAATGTCTATTGCCTACAGAGAATCAAGGACTGTGATGGTCGCCCAGGCAATCATTACAAGCTTATATTTTCTTTGATGAGCAAGAAGATTTCGCCCCAATTTACTCACTTGTGTAAAGCCATGGAAACACGATATTTATGTTTCTGGTCACGACTTGTTCCTACGTCTGTCTTGCTGACCACCTGTTGACTTCTTTCAGCTGGACAGACTGGTCACTGAGGGGGTCTACTCTGCCACGCCCCTGCTCAAGCTGTTCAGTGTGTGGACCAGACACATCAGGTAGGGCACCCCTCGTACATATCCCTCCACACATACACCAGGGGAACTACTGCGACAAACCTCGGATCTCTACCCCTAACACTTTCATCCACATCTATTATGAAATTAAGGGGCGGTCGGGTAGCCTGGTGGTTAAAGCGTTCGCTCGTCACGCCGAAGACCCGGGTTCGATTCCCGACATGGGTACAATGTGTGAAGCCCATTTCTGGTGTCCCCCGCCGTGATGTTGCTGGAATATTGCTAAAAGCGGCGTAAAACCATACTCACTCACTCACTCACTATTATGAAATTCCCTTTGTCACAAATCTCCCATGTGATGTGGGATGATAATCAGGATATTAAAAGAAGTTTTTGTTTTTTATGTCCAGTCCAGCAAATCTCGTTCTTTACTCACATTTATTTAAGCTGAAATTTGGTATCGTACGTCGACATTTGACTCAATCGTTGCAACTGTTATCATTAAAATGACATTTTATAGACTTATCAAGACATTTGAATACTTCTATTCATAAAATCATTCTCATGCAAAAATTTGAAGAAAATAATTCATCATGGGTATCCTATTCATTATAGATTCAATGAGATGTTTGACCCTGAAGCATTTTGGTAATCATAACAGTCTGCGACGTTAGCCACTTGTCCAAAACCAGTATCTAATAAAATTCTGTTTGGTCTAGTAAGATCAGCTGATAAAACTCCATATGATAACACTAAAATGTACTGAAAATGATGCTAAGGCTTAAAAAAATAAAGAATTGGTTCTCAGGCAATGTTTTTGGAAAATATAGTGCAGGTGGGCAGTGTTTTTTTTGTTTGGGTTCGTTTTTCAAGCAAGTATGTAACCAAATTTTGTTTACAATAATTTCAGGGAAATCATGTTCTTAAGTATTGTAGCATTTCACTGCCTGGGTCTTGTTTTCGAGACACGGAATAGTTAAGATTTTATAAAAAAAAATTGCAAATGGAAATAAAACAAAACATATGGCAGACTTTATGATGATGCGGGCAGTGCCTGAGAACGAAGACTATTTTATTTTTAGCCTAAGAGCTAAGTTTGAGCTGGTGGACTCAAAAGTATTTGGCACAGACTGTTCAGCATCAAGCATTGTGCAAAGTCACTGCACCTAAGAGTGACATGTCTCTCTGCCTCCTGCTTGAGTACAGATGGATATATGGACTATCATGATAAATGTCTCCATAACACCTTGTCACATAACATGTCTAATGCAGGGATGTGAAATCTCCGCGGAAACGCGGAAAATCGCGTTTTTTAAAACAGTAGTCCTCGGAAAAAATCATCTTCCGTGTAAAAATATAATCAAAGATTTAAAAAAAAACCACTCTGAAAATTATGATCGAAAACCGGACAACCGTCATGGATTGTTCTGTTTTCGACCAGAGCTTTCAGCAGCGTAGGTTTTCGGGTATCATATGTTTTCTATCACGAATACTTGCACTATAACGTGGGGTGTGGCGTCACACAGAAATTGTCAGATGATGGCTTGTTTTTAAGATACATTTGTCTTTTAGCCTGTAAGTGAATGAGATTATTTACAGTTGTTCATGTGATTAGCGAGAAAACTATGAATGTTTCTTCAGCGTCCAAAAACCCATAACATGGGGATATATGTTGTATTAATGTCTTATGTTTGCAATGGAGTTTTGGTTTTTTTCAACAAAAGGTAAGTAAGTACAAGGTAAGTTTTTTTCAATATGCTTCATGATGGGGAAAGGGTCAGACATTGAATGCTTGTGACAGTTGTCCTTGTGTCTGGGGGATGGGGCTTGAAGTTTATGGCAGTATTGCTCCCAGACCTGGCGGGTAGCCAGGTGCACGGAAGCTATGCCCAATTTTTTTAAAAGTACTGATTTAACTTCGAAATTTTACTGCATCTGCCATCTTGTTTTTTTTCACTTATTGACTTTTGCCATTGACATTACATTTCTTGGTGTGAATAATGTCCAAACTGCACGAAATTGCTTAAAATGCAATCAAATGTTTAAAAAATTTCTGGGGGGCATGCCCCCAGACCCCCCTAGACTTTTCCTCTTTTTTCGGGAAAACCTGCTCACATCCCTGCTAATGTTCCCATGTACTTCAGATATTTCCATCTGCTGGCAATGCCAACCAAAGAAGCACCAGAGTTAACTCCCCTGTCAGCTGTGTTTTCACTTCTCAACGCTAAAGGATGTACTTCAAAAGTGTCCAGCCTCATTCTGGAGATGGTGGACAATCTTCTCTCCTTGGAGGAGAGTGAAGAAGGGGAGATAATGCTAAAGAACCTCTCAGAGGTTGACAGGGAAAACTTTATGTCGTGCAAACAAGGTAAAGCATTCCGATATCATTTTGAAGGATTTCATAGTGTTTATAGACAATAGCCATCTTATCAGGCATTTTTTTCAATTTCACATATTTATGTCTGATTGGTATTGAGGAATAAGGGTTAGGCCAATAGGAAGCCCTTGCAGATGTGATTTCATTACATTTAAACAAATCTTTGCTTGTCTGCTAAATCAAACAGGATTTAGATCACAACAAGAATGAAACGATCATTTCATTACACAGAGGCAAGGTGGGAACAAGGATATGATAGGCCCGGAGTACTCTGTTGCTTGCTGAAAAAGGCAAATATTTTTGATTGGGTGGTCAGGCCCCGTTTTTTGGTTGATTGTCATCACACCCATACAGCATGGTATGGTGCTCACAAAATTAACCACTGGCTTGGGGACTGGGCATTTATTATAGAGGGTGAGATTAACGGGGATCATGAAAAAGCGAAAGAGGGGTTCACCAACTATATGGGTGGGATGAAAAAATGGCTGTGCTATTTTTATAAATTTAACAGTTATTAATTTGAACATTATCTAGGAACTGGTCTTTTAATTTCTGGAGGGGGCATAAAAAAAGGTTACATAGAATGGCGGGATTGGCAAAATATGATCCAGTCCTAAGACTGATGAAACCTTCCCCACAATATTAAATACTTTAATTTGTAATAAGAAAATGATTGAAGAATTTTATTACTGCAGCAACATTCTTTCAAGATGAAAGAGTTGCCGGGTAAGTAATGTTTCTCATCTACAACCTCGATGTATGAGGGTATTGACTGAATCTGTTGGTGATGTAGCTGGCAGCGAGTGTGGAGTTGGTCTGCTCCGCCCCTTCATCCCTGATGTGCTGGTGTTTCTCAAGAAGTCCGTACAGTCCTTGGGTTCTGCTCTCTCCAACAGGAAGCAAGGCTTTGTCACCGAACTCAAGATGCTAGCCAAGTAGGTTGACGGGCAAAGTGTCATTGGAGGAAATCCCACTTTTTGTATTAACTTGAGGTTTATGCAATAAGCTTACACAATATTATATTTGGTTCCTGTGTCCTGTTCAAATATAATGTTTTCTTTTTCAATGATAGAATCTTATTGTATTTCAGTTTTATGCAGCTGTTTGTCGGCTGTTTGTTGGCTCTTTGACAGTTTCCTTTATGGATTTTTAGTTTAATTGTCTTGGCAGGATATAGCCAGGTTTTCTTGTAGATGGAAAATATGAAATGTTTATCCAAATTTTGTCAAATGTCATGTAATGGCTGCTTGATGACTATGAGTGGTTAAAGACGTCATTCACTGGCAGTGTGATGTGTTCTGTTCTCAGAGTGAGCTGCCACGTGACGTCCGATGACCAGTGCACACTCCTCTGCTCCATGCTTCTCCCCTTCCTGGACCAGAAGGTCAAGCGGACCATGGTGAATACTCAGAATACTCACTCACTGGACGTGTGTGTGTGTGTGTGAAGCTTGACTTGTGTGAGAGGCTATATTACATTAAGTAATACGTTACCACTGTTATACCGAGGCTGTTGTCTCCCACAACTGCTGCTATAGCGAAATCTACCACAGAGATCTCAATTACCTCATGCAGCACGTGCGTAGCCACCTAGCTGCCATGTGACACCCTTCACTCTTGTCTCCTTCGTCTGCTTAGCAAGACGTGTTTTCTCCTGCTGAAGCGTTCCTTGAAGATTTGGTGATATTTATTATCGTTTATTCTCTAATAAACTGTGCTTTTATGGGGCGTTGCGGTAGCTACGCTTGGTTATAATTTTCCCGCCAAACGGAAAATTTTTCCCGCCCTTTTTTCTATATACTTGCGGGGTTCGCGTATGCACGTTGTGTTTTACGTTTCCCCTGTTCTTGTATGTTTTGGGGGTTAACATAACTTATTTCTTTAGTAAAAGTTATATGTGTATGTTATATGTTCACATTGCTCGTTTATTTTCTTGTGAAAATGTTCGTTTGTGAATCATTGTGGTGCGTGCGTTGTAACCATGTTTTGTTCTTTGTTTCTAGAAAACAATCAATGTCTGACATGGATATGTCCCCTGTCTCCACCCCCTCTACCCCTGCTCCTCGGAGTTGTGGGGTGTGCAGAAAGTTTTTGTCGTCCCGGGATCCCCACGATCGTTGCCCGCGGTGCAGGGTTCCTTGGTTTCCACCCCTGTGGTGGCCGGTTCGTCCGGTCGGGGCCCCCGTGCGGGCACCTCCTTGTCGGCTGCGGCGGATCCCCTTGCGGCCCTCGGGCTGTCTGGGGCTTCCGTCGCCGCATTGTTGTCGCAAATTGTGGACTCCAAGCTGGCGGCCTTATCGCAAGATAGGCCGCTGGCTGTTCCGTCCCCGGCCTCTTCGGTGGCCGCGGGTTCGGACGCGGGGTCCACCGGTACGGCGCCGGCTGCCGTGGTTACCGGTCCTTCCCCCGAACCGTTGCTTCCGCTATCGGTTAAGGACCGCGTGGCCATGGTGTATGACCTCTTCGAGGACATGCCAAAGCCCCTGCCGATACCGCGGGGTATCCACGGTTCCGTGGGTTCCTCCGAGGTATACGACGAGTCGTCCGACAAGGCTTTCCCGGCATCAACCTTGCTGCGCGGGATTAAGCCGTCTTTGGAGAAAGCCTTCACGGCTGCCTCCGGTCGGGGTCTCCCGTTACCTCCCCCGTCGTGGAGAAAAGGGTCTTTCCCAGTTCATGACCTTGCCTTTCTCGAGGCTGGTCCTTCTGCGGAAGCCCATGTGGAGCGTTTGGGGGTCCGTGCCCCACCGGTTGCCACGGTACCGCAAGGTACCCTGCAACAGCTGGACACCCTCGCTCGACACTCCATGCTGGCTATGTCTCACGGAGACACATACCTGGCTGCGGCGGCCAGTCTGGTCGAAGGTTCTCCCACGGACCGTGACCAGCGCATTTACAACTGCTTGCTCGGTTTGAATGCTTCCCTGGAGTACGTTGCCGGGGCTTCGGCCTTTGTTTCCGGCACGTGCCATTTTCTTCGGCGCCAGTCGTATCTGGTTGCTTCAGGGTTGGACGCTGCCAATCAGGAGGTGCTCCTTTCGCAGCCTTGGTCTGCTCGGACCCTGTTTAATAACAAGATCCCTGGGGTTCTGAAGGAACAACAGGCCGCTGTGTCTGCCGAGGCCTCTCGGCACACACTGGATCTTGTGGGGTCCTTGCATAGGCGCCTGGGTGCCGCTCCGAAGCGGAGCGCGCCCCAGGTTGCTGCGTCCGGCAGGCCTAAGGGGTCGGGTCCTTCTTCCTCCGGGAAGAAGCCCCGCTCTGAGGGCTCCGGTAAGGGTTCTCAGCAGCCCTTTCGCGGGAAGAAGGGGAACTGGGGGAAGCCCAAGTCGTCTAAGGACGGCAAGGGCCCCTCCAGGTGACTCTCATTGGAGGGGTTCGTATGCCGACAGCGCCAACTTCGGTTGGCCCGTAGGCGAACCCGAGTCACACGGCCCTGGACAGTTGCGCCTGCCGCAGCCCGTCCGGCCCCCCTCTCTTTCCCCAGTGGGAGCCAGACTCCAGACTTACTGGGAGAATTGGGAACAAGTGTTCGACGACCCGTGGGTGGTCAACACGATTCGGTACGGCTATCGGCTCGATCTCAAAGCGAATCCGCCGCTCACCGTTGCCCCGTCGGCAGGTTTCTATTCGGAAACCGATCTTCCCTTCCTCGCCGATGCCATCGGCAGGTTGGTGGAGAAGAGGGCAGTTCGGGAGTTAGCTCTACCAGAAATAACACCGGGGTTTTACTCCAGGATATTTCTCGTTCCCAAGAAGGACAGTGCCGAACTCAGAATGATTCACAACTTGAAATCGTTCAACGAGTTCTACCTGCGCAAGCCGCCCAAGTTCAGAATGTTGAGCTTGACGGACCTGAAAGCACTGATCATGCCGGCCGACTGGCTAGCTTCGATCGACCTGAAGGATGCTTATCTGCATGTTCCGATTCACTCGGATCATCACAGGTATCTCAGGTTTGTCTTTCAAGGCAGGCACTACGAGTGGGTTGTACTCCCATTCGGTCTTTCGTCCGCTCCCTGGCTGTTCACCCGGTTAACCACCCCCATAGTGGGGTTCCTCCACCGGACGGGTGTCCGGTACTTCGCGTACCTGGACGACTCGCTAGTAGCAAATCGAATGTCGGACACCCTGTCACGCCATCTCGTTTTCGCACGTCGGCTCTTGGAGCAATTGGGGTGGATTGTCAATCTCCCCAAGAGCGAGTTAACCCCTTCTCAGAACTTGCAGTTCATCGGAGGTCGGTTCAACACGGTGTCCCATCGCCTATTTGTCCCCCCAGACCGGTGGCACAAAATTCAGGCGATGATTGCCAAAGTCTTAGCGGTGCAACAGGCTGTTCACTTTTGGGAACAGCTGTTAGGGCTACTTGTATCAGCCCAGGACTGCACCGTACGGGGTCGTCTCCAACTCCGCCCGCTGCAACGGTTTTTAATCCAGTTGTTAGCAACGGAGGTGAACAGTGCGACCGTCGCCCTCCCGGATCGGCTCCGACCGCATCTGGAGTGGTGGACGGTCCCTTACAATGTCTTATCAGGAGTCTCTATGCGGCCCTACCGGGCCACGTTGAACCTGTATACAGACGCCTCTCTAGTGGGCTGGGGCGCCCATCTAGAGGGGGAGGTGAGCTCGGGGCTGTGGTGCGTAGACGAACTAGGTCTTCACATCAATTGTCTCGAGTTCAAGGCAGTGATCAACGCAGTCAATCACTGGAAGCATCGTCTCGTCGACGCCCGGCTCATGCTGGCGACCGACAACACGACGGTAGTGTCCTATGTGAACAAACTGGGGGGAACCCACAGTCACTCGCTGCTCGATCTCACGTTCGAGTTTTACGCTCTGGTGGACAGTGTCCCGTGCCAGATACGCGCCCGTCACATCCCAGGTGTGCGGAACGTACTGGCCGATGCTCTATCGAGGCCTCGGGATCCGAGCCCCACAGAGTGGATGCTGAACCCAGTAGTGTTTCAGTGGCTGTGCTCTCGCGTTAGACTGGACGGGCTTGGACGCTTATGCTTACCCGCCGACAGCGTTGATACCACACATTCTAAGCCGGCTTCGAGGAGTTCGCTGTCGAATGTTACTGATCGCGCCCATGTGGCCGAACAGATCGTGCTACCCCGACTTGCTGACCCAGGTCACGCAGTCGCCACTCCCACTGCCTGTGAGACCGGATCTCTTGATCCACCCTCACACCCGTCAGCTTCATCCAAACGCAGGGCAGTTCAATCTGCACGCGTGGATGTTGTCACCGAGCGTCTGAGGAGTAAAGGTTTTTCTCGCCGGGCGTCTCCGGCATACGTTAGTATGCATCGTGATTCTACCCAGAAGGTGTATAATGCACGTTGGGTTATTTTCACGAAGTGGTGTTGTAAACATCACATTCATTCGCCAGATAAGGTATCTGTGCAGGATATTGCTCGTTTCATGTCTCACTTGCGAGAGACCCGGAAACTCTCCGGGGGTTCCATTGCCAACTATGTCTCGTCCGTTGCTACGGTACGGGACGTTGCTATGGGTACCAGTCTCTCCAAAGAGCCGGTGATACGGGGTATTATCAAGGGTTTCAAACAGCACGATCTTAAGAAGGGCCGCCTTCGGGCACCAGCCTGGGATCTTTCCCTAGTGTTGCAATCACTTACGGAAGCTCCGTATGAACCCTTGCATAGTGCTTCGTTCCGGCATGTGACTTGGAAAACAGCATTTCTCCTCTCCTTTGCCACGGCGGCACGTGTATCCGAAATTCATGCACTCGATGTCGCCAAGGTACGATTCGATAGGGGTGACGAAGGAGCGGTCCGCCTGGGCCTGCTCATGGGCTTCGTCGCCAAGAATCAGAGAGTCGGGCAAGCGGAGAGAGAATTCACTGTAAGATCACTCAAAGAAATCTTACATCCTGCTGATACTGAGGAAAGAGCGCTGTGTCCGGTTAGGGCCCTTAAGTATTATCTTAAGGCTTCGAATGAACGTAGACAAGGGCGTGACCGTCTGTTCATATCGTGTAACCCTAATCGCACGGTTGACATAACTCGCAACTCGATTGCGTTGTGGCTTCGTTCTGTCATCAATCTGGCGTACCGGTCTCGGGGGTTACCGGTAGCGGGGTCAAACCCGCACGAGATCAGGGCGCTAGCGGCAACATTTGCCCTACACTCGAATATCTCTGTTCACAGAATATTACGAGGTTGTTACTGGCGTTCTGACTCGGTTTTTGCCAATCATTACCTCAGAAAGGTTTCTGATGAAGACGTGGAGGGGGTGCACCGTCTTGGGCCGCTGATCGCGGCACAAGCGGTCATCTAGGGGGTGTGTCCAGCGCAATTTCAAACTCCGCAGTCGTCAGTCCTTGCACGGTGGTCAATCTGGGTCGTCTCCAATGTTCCCACGCTGTGGGTACAGGAGTGGGGGTCCTGCAAACCAGCGCACTCACACCACAGGTGAGGCGGCTTTTTGTGTGTTTTGTCCTTATTTGTATTTTGACAATTATGCATTTAATTGTCTGTCGTGTATTCCAACCTTGCGATACATGCTTACGAATACTGGAATTAGGTCACGCGCCTAATGCATACTTTCAGTAGGCTTGCTCTGGGATATACGGTCTGAAGGAAATTAATTTCCCTCTTTTCGACTGTTTAACCTGATCTAAGATTTAGCTCACGCGGATACAGTGTTCTCATCCGCTGCGGCGATGAAATACCTATCCAGTGGGGCCGTTTGGAGTCACCAATCGTTTTGGCAATGACGATTGAGCCTTACGGTATGCGCATGACAGTGCTTTGGTATTCCTATAGGGTAACGCCTAGCTAGGTGCATGCGCATCGAGTGCTTCCGCCTTGGTGTTTACTTCCGCTGGTCGGAAGGAACGCTAGCAGTCAGGATTCGGGTTGTAGGTGCTCCCCACCGCCTACTGTGGTAGTCAGCCTCGGTATAACAGTGGTAACGTATTACTTAATGTAATTTGTAGAATTTTCCTATTCGGAATATTCTATAAGTAATACGTTACCACTGGGCTGCTGCCCGCCCGTCCGTCCCCCGAGCACTTGCTCTCGCAGGAGACAAGAGTGAAGGGTGTCACATGGCAGCTAGGTGGCTACGCACGTGCTGCATGAGGTAATTGAGATCTCTGTGGTAGATTTCGCTATAGCAGCAGTTGTGGGAGACAACAGCCTCGGTATAACAGTGGTAACGTATTACTTATAGAATATTCCGAATAGGAAAATTCTACAAAATTGTGTGTGAAACTAGAATTGTGTCTGAAAAATGAGAATTCTGAGAAACTAGAATTGTGTGAGAGACTTGACTTGAGTGTAAAACTAGAATTGTGTGTGAGAAACTAGAATTGTTTGTGAGAAACTAGAATTGTGTGTGAGAAACTAGAATTGTGTGTGAGAAACTAGAATTGTGTGTGAGAAACTAGAATTGTGTGTAAGAAAGTAGATTGTGTGTGAGAAACTAGAATCGTGTGTGAGAAACTAGAATTGTGTGTGAGAAACTAGAATTGTGTGTGAGAAACTAGAATTGTGTGTGAGAAACTATATTGTGTGTGAGAAACTAGAATTGTGTGTGAGAAACTAGAATTGTGTGTGAGAAACTAGCATTGTGTGTGTGAAACTAGAATTGTGTGTGAGAAACTAGAATTGTGTGTGAGAAACTAGAATTGTGTTTGAGAAACTAGATTGTGTGTGAGAAACTAGAATTGTGTGTGAGAAACTAGAATTGTGTGTGAGAAACTAGAATTGTGAGAAACTAGAATTGTGTGTGAGAAACTAGAATTGTGTGTGAGAAAACTTGAATTGTGTGTGCGAAACTAGAATTGTGAGAAACTAGAATTGTGTGTGAGAAACTAGAATTGTGTGTGAGAAACTAGAATTGTGTGTGAAAAAACTAGAATTGTGAGAAACTAGAATTGTGTGTGAGAAACTAGAATTGTGTGTGAGAAACTAGATTGTGTGTGAGAAACTAGAAATGTGAGAAACTAGAATTGTGTGTGAGAAACTAGAATTGTGTGAGAAACTAGAATTGTGTGAGAAACTAGAATTGTGAGAAACTAGAATTGTGTGTGAGAAACTAGAATTGTGTGTGAGAAACTAAAATTGTGTGTGAGAAACTAGAATTGTGTGTGAGAAAACTAGAATTGTGTGTGAGAAACTAGAATTGTGTGTGAGAAACTTGAATTGTTTGTGAGAAAATACATGTGTGTGAGAAACTATGACACTATGCTTGTGTATAGTGAAGCTTGACTTATATGTGAGACAGCTGTTGGGTAAATGAGAAATAGAAACAATCTGCATACCGTATTCGACGTAATAAGCGCCCAGGGCGCTCTCAAAATTAAAAATAGGGGGCTCTTATTAGAATATTATTTTGGTGAAAAAAAACAGTTGAAAGATAAATTTCATGGTTTATGTCTGACAGATATATTTTTCCAGAATTTAATTGCCCATAATTAAGGTTGCATATAACACACGAGTGCGTATTATACGCGAATACAAAAGTCTTGTGTACATTGATCAATCGGAAGGGGTGCTAATTGGGATTGTTCACAAGCCAATAAATTAGCAAATATCGCTGCGGGCACTTATTAGAGCGGTGCGCTTATTACGTCGAATACAGTAATATAGAAAATGGACTAGGGATTGGTTCAATACATTTCACCGAATTAGTTATCAATTGTGGAGTTAAAACATGAAATTCTTTTGCAAGGATGTTGAAGAGAATGTCCTCCACAGTATTGTCAATCTGACCAAGGTGCTTCAGTCTCCCAGGGAATTCTACAGGTAATGGTTGTTATATACCCTCCCTTCAACAAGACCCGTGATGATCCGGGGTAGAATAGGTCTTCAGCAACCCATGGTTGCCGTAAAAGTCGACTATGCTTGTCGTAAGAGGCAACTAATTGGATTGGGTGGGCGTGCTTGCTGACTTGGTTGATGCATGTCATCGTCTTCCAATTGCGTGGATCGATGCTCATGATGTCAATCACAGGGTTGTCTGGCCCAGACTTATTTACAGACCACCATCATATAGCTGGAATATTGCTGAGTGTGGCGTTAAACAACAAACAGACAAACAAAACACTTCAACAACTGGAGGCAGGGGAGGTTTCATGGGCTGAACTAGAAAAGAGGTTTAGCGTTTTGAGTTCTAGTTTTATTGGTCATGAAACAAGTCCTTATCATACTGGAGTCTGTGTGTGCTGTACTTGGCTAGTTATGGGCTTATTTATCATGCTATTTATATGTAATGCCAAATTACAGGCGGTAGCATATGTGTTTTTTTATTAATAATATTTTATGAGTAAAGTAAGTGTTTATGATATGGGGATGGTCCGCATACTCATGATGATATACATTACTTGTGTATGATGGTGACATTCTCCATCTGTTTACTGAACCAAATCATTGTAAAACAAATAAAACCTTTTCACAGATGTATTACAAGTAGAAAAGTGACTTCAATCAGTGTTTGTATCCATTTGTGTAGCTTCTATTGGAAGTACCTGTGTCTTCTTGTACCAGTGTCATGATGGTATGTAAGGGTGTTATACTACAATGTTTTTACATGAACCGACAGGATTGTGTTGAATGTTGTCGGTGTTTACAGACCGGTGGCCAAACTGTTCTCTGTCCTGTGTAACCGACAGTCCAGGAGCCAGCTGTGTACAATACTCAAGGTAAATCCCCGAGTTATGTAACATGTGTAGATGTCATGGTGATCTTAGCATGTAATATGAGTAGATATCCTGATGATCTTAGCATGTAATATGAGTAGAGATCCTGATGATCTTAGCATGTAATATGATTAGATATCCTGATAATCTTAGCATGTAATATGAGTAGAGATCCTGATAATCTTAGCATGTAATATGAGTAGAGATCCTGATAATCTTAGCATGTAATATGAGTAGAGATCCTGATAATCTTAGCATGTAATATGAGTAGAGATCCCAAAAATGTTAGCATGTAATATGAGTAGAGATCCTGATGATCTTAGCATGACCAGTTCAGTGATGATCATGTGTTTAGCTTGCTGCATGTTAAGACTTCTTCTTTGTATTACCATGGTTACAGATGATTCTTGACTAACATTACAGACATACAGCAAACAGCTAAATTCAGCTTATTATTTCATGTGTTTTGTTTGCATGTTTTGAAGTGTGTACATGTTGGTGGTTGTTTCAGACAATTGGGGAGAAGTGCCCGGAGTACAGAGATATATCCCTGGTTGTTGAGAAGGTGAGAATGACACTTGACAATAACCTGTCTCAGAGTAGGTTGGTTGGTTTGTTTATTGTTTAACACTGCACTCAGCAATATTCCAACTATATGACGGTGTCTGTAAATAATCAAGTCTGGACCAGACAATCCAGTGATTGACATCTTTAGCATCGATCCACGCAATTGGGATACAATGACATGTATCAACCAAGTCAGTGAGCCTGACCACCCGATCCTGTTAGTCGCCTCTTACGACACACATAGTCGTTCTTTAATGGCATCAGGTAATGGCATCAGGGATGTGGAAGATTTGTCAGTTACTTCTAACTTTAAAATTAAATGCTATTTGTTCAGTGAAAGATGTTCTCAGTGGAGGGCTGTGGATCTGTCCATGAGGTGCACATCTTCCAGAGGCAAGGGACTTTAATAAGAGTCCAAGTTCCAAACTTGCCGAACTGGTATTTCGTGGCCCAGTCGTAGCACCACCTGTGGCTGTTACGAGTTGTGTCCCTTCTATGTCCCCACTACTGACCAATCAGATTCCACCTCTCATATCACTTGCACTTGCTTCAAACAAAATGGCGGCATCCAGTCAAGACAATCTGATTGATAATAAAACAGGGTTCACCTCGTGAAGTGCATCAAATCACTCGAGCACCTTGATTAAGAACATGAAAAGATTTGGAATAAATGTGTCAACGCCCAAATAATGCAATTGAACGAATTCGGCAAGGCAGTTGCGATGTTGTTTATGAACTGAATGTTGATATCGTTACAGGATTTTGATTGGACTAAGCATAGACTCGTTAGTCCAGCCAAAATATAACTCCATAATCTCCATAATTCCAGCACAGTTCATCAAGGATGAAAACTAAACTTTTAAAGTCAGTTAACTCCCTTGCCTCAGGAAGATGTGAAGTGCACAGGTGGCCCAGCTATCTTAGTTGCTGGAACTCATGGTCATGGGTTCAGATTCCAGTTCTGCCCTGATGATGATCCTTGATCTGTCAATTCACTGTGCAGAGTTGTGTCCCTTGGGCACGCCAGAAACCTATGATTGTGGGTTCGAATCCCGCTTCGCCCCGATTATGTTTCTAGATTTGTCAGCACCATACCCGTGCTCGTGGGTTTTACACCGAAGTGGTAAACGTCAGAGACCTGCATCACTTCGGGCTTTCCTCACACATTAAGCTGACACGCCGTGATATAACTGGAATACTGATAAAAGCGGCATTAAACTCACTCACTCACTCACTCACTCACTCACTCACTCACTCACTCATATCCCAAAAAGTTTTCCTTTGCATCAAGTAATACAGAAGATTTTTTGGCTTGAATCCCATTTAACAATGTTCGTCATATTTGAGATTGCAGCGCACACTCCCACTCATGTAACACTTTCCTCTGAAAGATGACTGATTGTTCACTTGCAGCTGAACGCCTGGAACCCACGCCGGGCAGAGGAACCCAACTATGATGTACGTCTGGAGGCCTTCAACAAGTTCAACGACACAGTCCGCGGGATGACCAGTATCGATGTCAACGCTCTCATCCCTGTCATGCACAACTGTTGTCACTTCATCCTCAAGGTGATCTTTTCATCACGCTTAAGAAAATGAAAGAATTAGTTCTCATGCAGGCACTGCATTTTGCATAGTGCAGATGGGCAGGCGGTGTTTTGTTTTTGTTGCTTGTTCAAACTAGTATGTAACCAAATATATAGATGTGTACCATCCACCTGAGAAAGGCCTCCCTACCTAATCAAGCATACAAACTCCTATTCCTGCCATGACCATGACATGAGCTGCGCTGCTCTATTGGATCACATGTTTTTTTAGTATTAGGATTTTTATTTATTTTTTTAAAATGGAAATAAAAACAAAAAGTGCGGCAGACTTTCTGATGATGGGGGTGGTGCCTGAGGACCAAGACTTTTATTTTTTTATATATAGGATGCAAGTACTTCTGGGTAGAAAACACCTCTCATGCTGCAGATGGCATCAGAATGTAAGCCTCGATTTGGGATAAAGCAGTACATGCAATAAATGTTTGATGGCCACCTGTAGCATGTTTCCCATGGGGACTGAGTGGTCAAGTGGTCAAAAGCACTAGGCTAGCAAGCGCCAGGTGCTGAGATCGTATCCCGCTAGTGACCGGGATGTTATTCAGCCTTGGGACCAACAATGTTTACAGATCTTGTACAGTGTTGTCACTACCCTTAGTGTACAGTACATTCACTTTGTGCACTCATAACAACCAACTCGTCCAATGGAAGATGAGCAGATGGTGGAAACACGAATACGTACATACACCCGAAACACAAGTGTCAAAACTTGTGGTGTCACTCTGGGCCAGTGACTTAGTTAAAATGTGCCTGAGTTTACCCAACAGGGAATGGGTACCTGATATGTGAGGTCGAATGTTTAAACCTTCTCGCGCCTCTAGGCAGCTTGGGTTGAAAACTCCCCAGGGAGTTGAGAATGATAACTGCAATGCGAATGGATGCACTGGTTGGGGAACAAATAAAACCCCATTTGAGCAGATACTTGTACATGGATACCTGCAGTATATAAATGTATATATATGTTGTTTGTTGGACATCATGAGCATCGATCTACGCACACTACTTTAGTATGTACCAGGTATCCTTCCTGTTGGATGGGGGAGCATGGGTGGCCCAGTCTTCTTAGGCGCTGCAATTCACTGTGCAGAGTTGCGTCCCTTTCGCAAGAAACCTATGATTATTGGTTTGAATTCAATTTCGCCCCGATTTTGTTTCTAGGTTTGTCAGCACCGTACCCATGCTCGTGGGTTTCACGGAAGTGGTAAACGTCTGTGACCTGCATCACTTCGGGCTATCCTCCCACATAAGCTGACACACCGTAATATAACTGGAATACTGTTAAAAGCGACGTTACACTCAACTCACTCACTCCTGTTGGATGGAACATATGTAACATGTACTAACAGTGACCTCCCTTTGCTTGTCCAGGTGGAAGATATGTCTCTACGGGACAACTCAACATTTTGTTTGGTAACCATCGTTACACAACTGACGAAGACAGACTTCAATCAAGATGTGTTTCGTGAAGTGGTCACTCAGGGAGTGCTGCCTATGGTCAAGTCAGGACTCTATGACAAGTCAGAGGTCAGTTGACAAGTTACACTTTCAGCAAATATTTCAGACAGTAATTGTGAGGCAGATATAAGGATTATTCCCTGACTGACGTACCATCGTCACCACGAGTGCCCACGTGCTTACAAAATGGACAAAGGTGGTCACTTATAAAAACCACACTACATAACAAGTAATTTTGTTGTCAAGAGAAATATTGGTTGAGTACAAACTTAGTTCAAATGTTGATGAAAATAAATCCTTTTCGATTATGGTTGATGTATTAGGAAGCATGTTACTATGTTCATACATCGATCTTGGTTACAGAATGTGAGACATGAGTTTCTCACTCTGCTGGGGGTCTTGGTGCGATCGTTTCCGGACCACCCCACCTTCGAGGGTCTCATCGGTCTCAGTGATAAAGAGATTGATTACGACTTCTACGAGAATATCAAACATATCCAGGTGAGAATGTTCAATACCATACCCATTCTTTTATTTCTTCATTCCCTTGGCTGTCCCCTCCTTCACACCTTCCCCACTCACTCATTTCCCCTTCCTTCACTCCCTCAATCATGCCTCTACCCCCTCCTTGACTGAAAGACCCCCACCTTTCTTCCTAAACAACTCCATCTTTTATGCTCACTCACTCACTCTCACTCACTCACTCACTCACTCACTCACTCACTCACTCACTCACTCACTCACTCACTCACTCACCCACTCAACCACTCATCCACTCAACCACTCACTCAACCACTCAACCAGCCAACCACCCATCCATTCACTCATTCAGAGGTGAAGATTCTGGGTTAGAATTGGTCTTCAACAACCCATGCTTGTCGTAAGAGCGTTTAGCAACAAACAAACAAACACTCCTGTAGACACTCCTCCCTCACCCATTGACCTATTCACCCATCTCACTCTCTCCACTGCATTACTGCAAACCATGGTGCTCATCCACTCACTCATTTCTCCAGATCCACAGGCGGGTGAAGGCGATGCGGAAACTGACAACCTTCCTAGAGACAACCACTCTTCGACGTGAACACCTGACCTCCTACTTCCTGCCGCTGACCTCCATGGTTGTCCTTGACCCTGCCTACCTCAAGATCCAAGGTCTGAAAGAGGCAGCCATTGACCTCATAGCTGTCTTGTGTAAACTGTTACCATGGCCACAGTATCTACAGCAACTCCGCTTCTACCTGTCTCTCCTACCAAAGAAACTTGAAAATCAGAAACTACTTGTCAGGTAAAGAATCATTCAATATGTGTTGTCCCAATTGCTCGAAATATTCATACATAGATCAGAAATCCCTACTGTCAGCATCAAGAAGTGGGACAGTTATGCAAATATTCAAATTGACCGCAGCAGCAGAATCTTTTCATAAAGTTGTTCAGGCAATTCGCTATGCAGAGTTGCATCCATTGGACACACCAGAATGGAACCTATGATTGAGGGTTCGAATCCTTATAATATTTCAAGATTTGTCAGCACCATACCCGTGCTCGTGGGTTTCACCAAAGTGGTAAACATCTGACACCTGCATTACTTCAGGCGTAACTCCCACATTAAGCTGACACGCTGTGATATAACTGGAATACTGTTAAAAGCAGCGTTAAACCCAACTCACTCACTCAATCACTCAATGCATGTTACAATAGTTGAAACAATGAGACAAAACTTACAATATTTCAAACACAAACCAAATACTGCTCTAATGACAACGTTTTTTTATAGGAATAACAAAACAATTCTTCTGAAATTTCCTCTTCATTTTTTATAGCCTATCCACGAGGATTTTACACAGTAAATTCTCTACAACCTGAGAAAGTACACACTCTGGCCTTCCAATGCTGAACTATTCTTCCATTTCAGGGTTGTGGTTGCCGTATTGAACTCGTTCCACTTCGACATCAGCAAGAGTGAGCTGTTCACCAGCACTGCCCCCAAACTAGTGGAAGCAGCAGGGATGAAGACAGATGAGACGGACGACCGCGACCACGACCGCGACCGCGACCACAGCACAGGTGGGTGAGACTGTCCCCACAAAGGGATCAGGTGATCAGCCTCGAAGAATTGGTTGATGCATGTCATTCAATCACAATTTCATAGATTGATGCTCGTGATGGCAGTCACTGGATTGTCATGTCCAGTCTTGACCATTTACAGACCACCATCATATAGATGGAGTGCCTAAATATACTACTCAAAAGAAGTTAAGTACCACCTAATTCTTCCATATTTCTAATCATGGCATGACAGATGAACTATAGTGACATGAAAGAATCAGATGGTCCTAAACTTCTGTTGATTGGGAAAATAACGGTATGTCTATTCACCCGTATAGTCATACATCAAGATTGATCAGATGTTGATATGCATCATACCAGGGACACATCTGAATCAAATACGAACAATTAAAAAAGAATTGTTCCATTTTATGACATCAGATTCTTGGCGTAGGTTGGAATACATTTCAAGCCTTGAGTTGTTTAGTGAAGTCTGTAAACAATGTTCCTTGATATGTCTTGAATAGTTCATTTGTTAACATGATTAACTTTTTCAGATAAATGTTCCGAAATACAAAATATTTATGTTGATTCTCCCTTGACGATAAAAACATTAATGTCTCATCCACTTGATGGTGAAGATATCTTGTGGGATTTGTGTTGAAAGTAGGACCCCAGTACATCATGCTTGTTTTCCCGGTGGTGATTTGAGAGTAGAAAAGGTCCACAACAACCTGTGCTGGTTGTAAGAAGTGACTTGCTGGCTCCGGTGATCTGGCTCCGGTGATCTTGCTCCGGTGATCTTGCTCCGGTGATCTGGCTCCGGTGATCTGGCTCTGGTGATCTTGCTCCGGTGATCTTGCTCCGGTGATCTGGCTCCGGTGATCTGGCTCCGGTGATCTTGCTCCGGTGATCTTGCTCCGGTGGTCTGGCTCCGGTGGTCTGGCTCCGGTGATCTGGCTCCGGTGATCTGGCTCCGGTGATGTGGCTCCGGTGATCTGGCTCCGGTGATCTGGCTCCGGTGATGTGGCTCCGGTGATCTGGCTCCGGTGATCTGGCTCCGGTGATCTGGCTCCGTGACTTGTTTGATGTGTCCAAGGACGCCTGTTGATGATGTGTTCTAGTACGCCGACAGAGTGGATCATTGCTCACAATATTGATCACTGGATTGTCTGGTCCGGACTCTGTTATTGACTGTCAGCCTTCATATAGCTGGAATATTGTTGAGTAAGGCGTTAAACAACAAAAAAACAAACCTACAAACTGCTATCATGGTTGTTGACTTTATAGTGCGGCGGAGCCTGTTTGGATTCCGGGTTCTTGTGCTGGTTTTAAGTGGTGATTTAATGGACAAACAGTCAAATCATGCTTGTTGTAAAAGTTGACAGATATTGAGATTGGTTGGTCAGAGTCTGAAACCTTTGCTGATGGCATGTCGTCATGGCCGATGACATGGCTTGTTGCTCATGCTGGACCAGGCAGTGACATGATTATTCACATAAATGTTAACTGCAGCATTAAACAACATTCACTCAATCACAGATACTCAAATGACTGAGTTGTCAGTGCTGTGTTCCCACTGGCTGTTGAAACTGACAGTCCTGATGTACTGGCAACTCTAGAAATTACCAGTCCCACCTAGTTTTTGTCAGTTTCAACATTCAACAACAAAAAATGTGTGAAACCTACCTGGTTATCATTCGTTCAACATCGTGTTCAGTGCAATTTCATCATCTCTGGAGTAAGGTTGTTAGATCTACACGTCATTCACACAAACTTCAGTCTTAATTTTCTCTTTGTTATAATATTTTGAAACAAAGTCGCTACAAGTATATATTTAACCTCAATCAAAGTGAAATGTCATTTCCTTCCACTACAAATAGACAATCTGACTTCGTTTCGAAAAATATACTTATACGGATATCGCCAATGTTTTGTTAAACAACAAAGATTTATAAGGTACCTTATTTGCCGGTCCACAAAGACTGGCAGTCACCTGAATTACAGGCCCAAGACTTAATTTACCGGTAAAAAGCTGGTAATTACCTGTTAACGGGAACACTGCTGTGTCTGTCATCATAGCATGGTAAACCAAAATAATATGTGCCATGACGAAAGAGAGAAGTGTTCATCCTCTAATTGTCACATCCTTCATTCTGTGTTGCAGAGGAGGCTGACAAACCAGGAACTGACTCTGTAGATGCAGCAGCAGCACCAGTTGCCATGGAGACAGCAGAGAGTTCTCCTGTTGACCAGGAGGAGGCTCAGTTTACCAGTGATGGGAGACAACTCTGTTCAGCTAAACAGGCCACCAAAATCCATACCTATGTTCTGAAGATTCTCATTCCAGAACTTCATAAACTTCTCACTCAGAAGGTAGGAATGTTTAGCTTGGAAGTATTCCCAGTTAGTAATCTAGTCATGAAGGATTGAACATGTTTTAGTTTTTCATTTATGACATCTGACATGTCTAATAGCACAAGAGTTGGGTATAAGAGTTTGAGATTTAAGGTGTAAAGTCAGGAGTTGAGGGGGGAGGGGGGTATGGGTAGCCCAGTCGTCTAAGCGCCATAGTTTGCTGTGCAAGGTTGCGTCTCTTGGGCGTGCCAGAAATCTATGGTCGATGGTTCAAATCCTGGTTCGCCCCGATTATGTTTCTAGGTTTGTCGTCACCATACCCTTGCTCGTGGGTTTCACCAAAATGGCAAATTCTAAGACCTGCATCACTTCGGGCTTTCCTTCCCCCATAAAGCTGACACGCCTTGATAGCTTGATATAACTGGAATACTGTTCAAAGCGGCGTTAAAACCCAGCTCACTCACTCACTCACTCAGGAGTTGAGGAGTTTGAGAATCAGGAGTTTAAGATACATTTGCTTGAGGTACTTTTGATAACCAGCCAACTCCATGCCTCCATTAATTGTGACATTGTACAGGGACTGTTTGATTCCTGGTTTTGGGGGATTCTGGGCAAGAATAGGTCCCCAGCAACTATGCAGGTCATAAGGAGCAACTTGATGGATGGAGTGGTCAGGCTGTGTGAGCTGGTTGATGCATCATCATACCCTGCTCATAATATAAATCACTGGATTGTCTGGTCCAGACTTGATTATCTTCAGGCCACTGTCATATAGCTGGAATGCTGCTGAGTGCAGCAGTAAACAAACAAACAAGCAAACAAACAAACTGATTCCTGGTTTTAGATCAACCGGGAGGAGGAACACAAGTCTGTGAGGTCGAAGTTTGCAGATGACCATGAGATTCTGCGGGTGCCGATCGCCCTGGCCATGATCAAGCTGCTGCAGACACTGCCTCGAGGGGCACTCCGACACAAGCTGCCAGGGTGAGTGCATGTGAGGTAGTTAATGCTGAATCAGGAACATTTCTTACCAGAAGACATCTGTAAATCAAAGTTCACAATGTGTGAAGCCCATTCTGGTGTCCCCCGCCATGATATTGCTGGAATATTGCTAAAAGCGGCATAAAAACCATGCTAGCTCCCTCCCTCCCTCCCTCCCTCCCTCGCTCGCCCGCCCAGCCTCTCAGCAGGTCCAGATGCACCCCTGACAGCTCAGTGGCAATATGTAAACTTACCCACACTTTGTCCTTGCAGTGCTCATGTCACATTGCACCCTGAATGCATTGATCAATTATTTCACTACTGGTCAGCCTGCTCAAAATATACTACTCAAAAGAAGTTAAAGAACCCCTGATTTTTTCAAAAGATGAGAGTTGATCTGGCATGGCCATGACAGATTAACTATAGTCATCTGAAAAAAGCGGGTTTTCTTTAGACTAAGTCTTGGTTCCCAGGCACCACCTGCATCATCATAAAGTGTGCCACACATTTTGTTTTTGTTTCCATTTTCAAAAAAATATAAAAATCCTAATCCTTAAACACAATGCAAAAAAACAGTTGAAAATGGAAACAAAAACGTGCAAAGAACTTTATGATGATGTGGGAAGTGCCTGAGAACGAAGACTATTATTTTCTTTTAGCCTTTACTTCTTTTGAGTAATATTTAAGTGATACTCATCTGACCCAGTGTGTTACCATATGTACCCATGTTTTTTCAGGTGAACAATTGACTTGCCTTTGTATGTGTTTGTGACGGGTGCCACCGTTGGGGCAGGGTACGCTCACCTTTTCGCAAACACATGATAGTGATTCATAAACACATGCTCATGATGAAAGCGGATTTGTGCAATCGACTCTGCTTTATGCAGACATATCTATTAGATATGGAAAGTGTTGCTTTATTTCTATAACCCCCTCACTCACTGACTATTCCAGCATATTGATGAAGGTGTGCAGCTTCTTGAAGTCACGATCCCGTGAAGTTAGAGAGACATCCCGTGACACCCTCGTCCGTATCAGTCAATCGCTAGGTCTGCGCTACTTCAACTTCATTGTGAAGGAAATGAGAGAAGCTCTCACAAGAGGCTATCAGGTATGTTGAAGATCAAGGTGGTTTGAGTTACGTCATGAGTAGAGTGATAATCTGGCTGTGCTTGTGTAAATGTATACCCCAATCCATGGACTTGCTCTATTAATACCAGCTGTATCTAACCTGTAACATTTAGGAATAAAGAGTCCCTTACTGCTGGTTGTCTAAAGTGAAGTTTCAAATGCCCTGACCTGCCGTGACGGACTAACTATAGTAATATGAAAGAATTCAGCGTTTATTAAGTTCTTTTGACATGTTTGATAGGTAAAATATTTAGATTTTATGGTATTCTATTTTCCTGCTTGTATCTTACGTTTTTAGCTTAGAATGTTATACATGTAGTTATATCACTTTCCATTCACATTATTTGTTTATTTTTATGGGTGCGTTGTCCGTAGTCTGTCCTTTGTGAATTTTCTTTTCTACATTTCTTAACTAAAAGATCTATTGAGCTGAATCTGTGTATGAATGATCTCTGCTATGGTGTCTTGAAAACTTGCTCACACAAATGTGATCCAACTTTAAACATACCTGAGACATTGAAAATGTAAATTTTAGCTCACCTGAATTAAACTCATGTTAGCTTATGTCCTGTGAAACTACAAGTTCTATGGAGCTTAAACTTTGTATGAGTGAGTGAGTGAGTTTGGTTTTAGCAATATTCCAGCAATATCACGGCAGGGGATACCAGAAATGGGCTTCACACACCCATGTGGGGAATCGAACCGGGTCTTCAGCGTGACACGCGAACACTTTAACCACTTGGCTACCCCACTGCCCCAAACTTTGTATGAATGACCCCAGCAATGGTTCTCTAAAACCTGCTCATAAAGTTTCTGTCAGACGTTAAATTAAACATGGTGGCCATGTTGAAAGTGTCAGTTTTGCCTATTACTCAGACATTTCTGTATGTGTGATTGTGTAATATTATTAGAAGCAAGCATGTGTTATGCGGAATAGGATATGTCAGGATGTGTGTGGCATGCAGAATAAGATATGACATAATATGATTTGGGGCATATTGTAATATAATTAAATTTTCGTTGTGTTCATGGAAATTCCTGCATTCTGATTAGCTGAATTGGTCACGTGTTATTGCATTCATTTCCCAATGAACGTAAAAAATTAAGCCACGCCCACCGCGGCGCACTACTTTTATTACTTCGGAATGTCGGGGAATCCCAATATTACAGTCGAGGGAATTCCCTTTCTGCTCACATGTATCGTCATGCACAGGACATTTAGCGACTTTCATGCATATTCATTGTCCAAACTACCCTTTGAAACCGATGGCCGAGAATGAATGAAACAGCAAACGTGCAGGCTCGCTCGCCTGTTTTATTCCCGCTCGCCCCGGTTCAACTTTCATGTCTTCGGGTTTCATTTATAACTAGCATTTCTCCAACTGTGATTTACCGTAATCAGGGAAGTAATGTTTGAATCACGCAGTAAATGACCATGCTATTTGAAACTGCCGCCTTCTCTCGGACATATTTCTTCCGGTTCGTTACAGTCTGACTGTTGCAGTTCTTTTCGCCTCTTGCCTTAATTGACAGGTCAAATGAACATTGTTTTAATCCCACTCTCCGTTGATTGGCTACTGACTGTGTAGGCGTGTCAAGCTATGTGCATAAATTAAACGATCACCTGATTCATGTCAGGCCACTGTATGTATTCCTACACCTGGAATGTTTATCAATGTCGTCATTTTTGTCTGTTTTGCTATATGCAACTGTTTTGGGTTAAACTATTGTAGATAAAACATGTTTTACGTTGTCGAATTTAATTATAAGCATTGACTGTATATTTTTTTCGGTTCATTGAGGTATGAATCGAAAAGCCGATGTGCAAACTTTTGTAAGAATCCCCTACGCGGATTCATACAGTTTGCATATCGGCTTTTCGATTCATACCTCAATGAACCGAAAAAAATACACAGTCAATCCTTAAATTAATTTTGAGCTTGCTACAAACTTTTGATCTTCACATAGCCCTGCTTTTCTAGTGTTACTGCATTTTTTAAATCTCTGAAACTAAATGTCACTGAAACTTTGTATGAATGATCCCACCTATGGTGACGCAAGAATTTGCACACAGAATTCAAATCCAACTTTAAGCATGGTCACCATAATAATCCCCTGCAACAAAGTGGAAGGGGGATATAGGAATGGGTGATGTCCGTTTGTCCGTCTGTCCGTCCTTCCATCCTTCTGTCTGTCATGTTTCGTTTCTGGAGCAGAACTAAAAAATCATGAGAGATATCTTAACCAAACTTGGCACATAGATAGGTCACATGGTGAACCAGTGCCTTTTGATAGTTTGGGATTTAAAAAAAAAAAAATTCTCGAGTTACCATGGGAACAACTTTGACTTAGATTGAAAATGGCGATAGTCCTCCACACAACCGGTCATGTCATATTGGTTGGGGGATCTGAGTATTTCATGCATGTTTCTTCCTACTTCAGGTGAGCTACAGAGCCTGCTTGTTTTACTGCTTACAACCACTTATGTTCACCCCTGTCATGATATCATATTACCTCTGCCTGCAGCTCCATGTCCTGGGATTCTCCGTCAACAGACTCCTCATCAACATCCAGCCTCAACTCAACCCGGGTGACCTTGACCCTGCTCTACATAACCTCTCAGAGGTCAGTTTCTTCACACATGAATTTGAGATATTGTCACTCATGATGTGACTCTTAAACGTCCTGTTAACTGGTAACAAGCATTGTGAATTGATTTCCTAAATATGTATGTGAAAAGAAATCCAGCAATAACTTAATGATAATTTGTCTCTTAGCCTTTTGCTGATCTTGTCTATAAGCCCAGATTGTGAAAAAAATTGAATGTATCTATCGAATAATGTCTGTTAAAAAACATCCAGCAATAACTTATGTGTAAAGAGATCCACCAATAATGTATTGTTTTCTTGGCCTTTGTTGACCTTGTCTATGAGCCCAATCTGTAAAAAGCTTAAAAATTTGATCAAAAACTTTGTCAAAGTCCTTTTTGACCATGTTTCTGATAGTGTAACAATTGACATAGGTTGCTAGGGATCTATTCTAACATTGTCTCTCTGTTATTAAGGTAGCCAATAGTGAGTGATTATGGTTTTATGCCGCTTTTAGCAATATTCCAGCAATATCACGGCAGGGAACACCAGAAATGGGCTTCACACATTGTACCCACTTCGGGAATCGAACCTGGGTCTTCGATGTGACAAAACAAACGCTTTAACCACTAGGCTACCCAACCGGGCCAAGGTAGCCAATAACTGTGTAATTGATATACATCTGAAACTGAGTTGAAAGAAAGCCAAGCCTAATTCCCCTTTAAATTCATTGACTGACTTAGATTTTGATATACGGAAAAGAGTGCAGGGGTAGGATCTGTATGGCAGGCAGTTGGTGCCAGATTGATCTAGAAGGTTGTAGGATGCTAGAATCAATTAGGCAGTTTCAGGTGAATGTCTGGGGTTGGGTCCACCTTTAACTGATGCATCGGGAGGAAGGAAATATTTCATCAGCTGTGTGTATTCAGGTGTTCAAGGAGGAGTTGTTCGGCACAGTAGCGGAGGAGAAGGGTGTTGAGGGCATCACCAAAAAACTCATGGAAGCCAAGGAGACAAAGAGCTATGATTCGTACGAGATTGTAGCCAAGTATGTCGGGGTCGGATCTGTCCACACCCTTATATCTCCCCTGAAACAGGTGAGAGGGCTACATTACATCACTAGTGTGCTTGTCTGTATCATGAGATACTTTTAATATGTAAGATAGCTTCGCGATAAATTGCAAAGAACAAGAAAGAACGAAGCTTGGTTTATTTCACAATAAAACATTGTTCTGTCATGACGTCATTTCAGGGGATTTGAACATATGCTAGCAACTTGATGATGTCGTAAATTGGACGACATTAATTTTGAAAGAGAAGTGTCCAGTGAGTTGTTTCCCTTAGATGTAGCTGTGCCAAGCAGATATATGCTATGGTTGAAAGATCGCATGCAAACGTGGGCGAGATATGACAATCGGTATTGGGAGAAAAGTGGCAGATAATCGACATGTAAATTGTGAGAATACAAAACATGACCCCACTGTACATATAAAGGACTTGCTCGACATTGCCAAGGTCGGATTGTATTCAGGGAGTCATCATTATTTACATACATGTAAATGTTTTTAAAGCTCGAGCATTCTGTTGACATCCTTGAAAAGGTTGAACAAAATGTTGATATCTCATACAAGAAATAAACGACTCATGGTCATTGTTTATGCGCCCTTCATGATTTATTCTCCCTGCAGTGTTTTCTTGTACGATAAACAACAACCGTTAGATGTTTATTTCTTAAATAGAATACAGTACTAGTGTGCTTGTGTATAGCAAGGTATGATCTAAAGGAGGAGGCGGCAGGAAGTGTAGCACTTGTGCCTAATCCCATTGATGTTTTGGACAATAAAATATGTTTCATCTAAATGATCTTAATATACACTTCTGCCTGGGAAAATTATGCCTAGGAAATATGAAGGAAAAGATAAATGGATTTTGAAAGAAGTAAAATCTCTTTAAATTCTCTTAGTGGAACCAGTTCAATTATTACTGCTTATTTCAGCTGCTTGAGAGCACACATAGTCAGAAGACATCCCAGAAGGTGGAGGAAGTGTTTCGCAGGATGACCAGTGGTCTGATGGAGAACACCGGACTCACCACGGAGGTGCGCATGACCCTGCTGCATGGACTCATCGTGGACAACATGGAGGAGGTGGAGGAGAAGAGGAGGTGAGGCAGCTGACAGCTTAGTGGGAGTAGAGTGGATGCATGTGTGAGAAGAGTGGAGAAGAGTGGATGCATGTGTGAGAAGAGTGGATGCATGTGTGAGAAGAGTGGATCTATGTGTGAGAAGAGTGGATGCATGTGTGAGAAGAGTGGATCCATGTGTGAGAAGAGTGGATGCATGTGTGAGAAGAGTGGATCCATGTGTGAGAAGAGAGGATGCATGTGTGAGAAGAGTGGATGCATGTGTGAAAAGAGTGGATGCATGTGTGAAAAGAGTGGATGCATGTGTGAAAAGAGTGGATCCATGTGTGAAAAGAGTGGATCCATGTGTGAGAAGATAGGATGCATGTGTGAGATGAGTGGATGCATGTGTGAGAAGAGTGGATGCATGTGTGAGAAGAGTGGATGCATGTGTGAGAAGAGTGGATGCATGTGTGAGAAGAGTGGATCCATGTGTGAAAAGAGTGGATGCATGTGTGAGAAGAGTGGATCCATGTGTGAGAAGAGTGGATGCATGTGTGAGAAGAGTGGATGCATGTGTGAGAAGAGTGGATGCATGTGTGAGAAGAGTGGATGCATGTGTGAAAAGAGTGGATGCATGTGTGAAAAGAGTGGATCCATGTGTGAAAAGAGTGGATGCATGTGTGAGAAGAGTGGATGCATGTGTGAGAAGAGTGGATCCATGTGTGAAAAGAGTGGATGCATGTGTGAGAAGAGTGGATGCATGTGTGAGAAGAGTGGATGCATGTGTGAGAAGAGCGGATCCATGTGTGAGAAGAGCGGATGCATGTGTGAGAAGAGCGGATGCATGTGTGAGAAGAGTGGATGCATGTGTGAAAAGAGTGGATGCATGTGTGAAAAGAGTGGATGCATGTGTGAAAAGAGTGGATGCATGTGTGAAAAGAGTGGATGCATGTGTGAAAAGAGTGGATGCATGTGTGAAAAGAGCGGATCCATGTGTGAAAAGAGTGGATCCATGTGTGAAAAGAGTGGATCCATGAGTGGATCCATGTGTGAAAAGAGTGGATCCATGTGTGGATCCATGTGTGAAACCATGTGTGAAAAGAGTGGATCCATGTGTGAAAAGAGTGGATCCATGTGTGAGAAGAGTGGATCCATGTGTGAGAAGAGTGGATGCATGTGTGAGAAGAGTGGATCCATGTGTGAGAAGAGAGGATGCATGTGTGAAAAGAGTGGATGCATGTGTGAAAAGAGTGGATGCATGTGTGAAAAGAGTGGATCCATGTGTGAAAAGAGTGGATCCATGTGTGAGAAGAGTGGATCCATGTGTGAGAAGAGTGGATCCATGTGTGAGAAGAGTGGATCCATGTGTGAGAAGAGAGGATGCATGTGTGAGAAGAGAGGATGCATGTGTGAGAAGAGTGGATCCATGTGTGGGAAGAGTGGATCCATGTGTGGATCCATGTGTGAAACCATGTGTGAAAAGAGTGGATCCATGTGTGAAAAGAGTGGATCCATGTGTGAGAAGATCCATGTGTGAGAAGAGTGGATCCATGTGTGAGAAGAGTGGATCCGTGTGTGAGAAGAGTGGATCCATGTGTGAGAAGAGTGGATCCGTGTGTGAGAAGAGTGGATCCGTGTGTGAGAAGAGAGGATGCATGTGTGAGAAGAGTGGATCCATGTGTGAGAAGAGTGGATCCGTGTGTGAGAAGAGTGGATCCGTGTGTGAGAAGAGAGGATGCATGTGTGAGAAGAGTGGATCCATGTGTGGGAAGAGTGGATCCATATGTGTACTAGACAGTTCAACCAGTCATCGCTGTACCCTTGTCTGACCAAGGCTTGGATCTGTTACTCCCTTGCTACTCTTACATTTCACAAATGAATCAGATCAGACCCATGGGCACATGAAGGCCTAAAAAATTGCAACTCTACAGAAATAGAAGTATTATAAACGCCATGCTCTGCTTTTTACCTGCCATCAGAGAGGATGGATCTGAGATGGCGAAAGAGTCGCAGCGTGGCAAAAGACCTGAAAGTTGCCTCCTCCTGCCGTCAACTCTCCCTCGTGGAGGAGAGAAGCCAAAAATACATCGCAAGACCAACATGCATGTCATGGTTGCATTTGGGGCCCAGGTACGAAACCTTTTATCTATCTTAAACCCCCTTAACCCCCTGAGGTTCCAGGTCAGTATAGCCAGGTCCCAAAACCTCACACTTTGACAATGGAAAGTCCAGGGATAGATGCTACATGTCCACAATTCTTAATCATTCGAACTGATGGCAACCATCACGTCAAACAAAGTTAGTATTCTTCTTTCAAATCAGTATTTCTTATGAACCAATGATTTAGATGACTCAAGTTTCCAGAATAATTTTAAATTATTTTAGATAATGTGACTTTTTATAGAGGCCTGCTATTGGTTCGTCTCATGTTTAAGTATCTCTGAAGATCCGGGGTAGAATAGGTCTTCAGCAACTCATGCTTGCCGTAAAAGGCGACTATGCTTGTTGCAAGAGGCAGTTAACAGGATCATGTGTCATGCTTGCTGACTTGCTTGATGCATGACATCGAATCGCAATTAAACAAACAAATAAGTATCTGTGTTAAAGATGTTGACATTTCGGTATTCCTGGCCTGTTACTGTGAACAGATGTATAACAGTAAGCTGATGCTGTGGTATTGTCTGCAGGTGTTACACATGTGTCTGAAGAGGTCGCACCTGCTGCCCCCCAACTACGAGCACCGGCAGCTGCTGGACCCCCTGGTGGAGCCCCTCTGCCGCTGCCTCTACTCCAAGCATGTCAAGGTCGGTCACCTGACCTGTTGGTGTAACTGTGACGTGTTACCAACCACTGGTGTGGCTGGTCCAGGTTCAAACCCTGGCTGCTTCATACCCAAAGACGTTAAAAGATGGTACTTGTTGTTCCCCTATATGGCGCTCAGCGCTAAAACAAGACTGGTCGGCATGGAGTCAGTATGCTGTGTCTGAGTGGGATATTCATGTTAAACTGCGGCATGGTATCTCAGTGAGCTAGCACTATAAATTGGCATCAGTCTAGACTAGTACAAGCGGCCCCACACACACTTTCATGCATATAGCTATATAAGTGCAATAATCTTGGACACGACCTTAAACACGACCTTTAACCTCATTTCACCTCACCTGTTCCAGGTTTTATGACTAACTGGTCGCTGTGATTTAGCTGCAGAATAAAAGATTTTTCCTACTGGCTTATCTTTTAAGAGTACTACTCGTAAAAACACATTAAAATTTCTTAATGCTTTGTTTGTGGAAGTGGATATAAATTCGTTCATTTTTATAAAATTTTCCATCACGAAAATAACGCAATTATTGTGTGTAAATTCTTTGCCTTAAAGAAATTAACTCTCAGAATTATAATATCTATCTAAACTTGCTGTCTCAATTTCAGGTGAATTCCCTGGCTCTGCGATGCTTTTCTTTCATGCTGAGGTTCCCTCTGCCTGCGCTGAAGAACAACATCAGCAAGATATCCCAGGGGATGTTCCTGTTGCTTAGCAACTATGCTGCGGCTGGAGCGGCAAAGGGAGATAACCAGGAGCTGGTCATCATGTGCTTCAAGGTAGGATCAAACAACTGGCTTGGCAAGGGGAGTGTGTTGGGTGTAGAGAAATGAATTTGATTTTCATTTAGGAGTTGGTAAACATGAAGAAATGGAACTTGTTATAGAGAACAACTTCTTTATCGTTTTTCGTGACAGCATTTCAGGGCAACTGCTTGACCCTTCACCAGCATCTTCACGGGCAAGGGAGGTAACTGACAATAAAAGTCAAGTTTCCACCCTTGCCGAACTAGGCTGAAATTTCGTGGCTCAGTCGTTGCCACCAGCGCGCATTACAAGTTAAGTCCCTTCTATGTCCCTCTTAATGACCAATCAGATTCCTCCTCTCATATCACTTGCATACGCTTCAAACAAAGTGGCTGTGCCCAGTCAAGACAATCTAAATTATAATCAAGATGTATTATAATAAAACAGGTCTTACTCCATAAAATGCATCAAGTTACTTGAGCACCTTGATTTAAAACATTAAAAAGATTGGGAAAACATCTGTCGATGCCCAGTTGATAGTACACATGCACATTCCCTCATCAAAGTGAACTTGAGGTTACAGTCAGAAGATTTCTCTTTAATATTTTGGGGGGCCTTTTTGATTTGTCATCTTCTTGTTTTATAAAGGGAATGGTAGGAACAGGCACATTGGCATCGGTGACCAAGGGATGTTGCAGTTTTTGAGGCAGACATCACCTTAAGATGTCTGTATCTGGTGTAGCGTGATGATTGACAGCTGTACTTGTCTGTGACCAAGGGATGTTGCAGTGTTTGAGGCAGACATCACCTTAAGATGTCTGTATGTGGTGTAGCTTGATGGTTGACAGCTGTACTTGTCTGTGACCAAGGGATGTTGCAGTGTTTGAGGCAGACATCACCTTAAGATGTCTGTATGTGGTGTAGCTTGATGTAGCGTGATGGCTGACAGATGTAGTTGTCTGTGTAGGCGGTGACGGTGTTGGTGAGAGACGTGGACTTCTACCAGGTGGAAACAGAGCAGCTGCAAGTTCTACTGACTTTCTGTGAGGAGGATCTGCTGGATAACACCAGACAGAGCACTGGCTTCAACCTGCTCCGGGTAGGCAGAACATTCACTCAATGTCATTGGATTCAATCTAGACCATCTATTAGCCATTCCAGAATGATCTTTTGTTCAGGTTTCAAATTTGTAATCAAGAATTTGTCAAAATATGTGTAGTTGCCAATTTGAAATTAGTGCCGTAAAGCACGAGAAAGCTGCCTTCTGATTGGTCATTCCATTGGTCGGTCAAAGTTTGCGCAAGGTCAGTCTGACATGACCCGTAATGGGATGTCCTAAGATCTTTGTTTAGCGGTAGCGAGAACTAAGATCTGATTTTAATGAGATTGGGAATATTGCTTGTTGAGACTTTTGCTATGCAGAAAAGATTAGTGGTGAACTGGTGGCTTTTGATGATTGGGGATATTGAAAAATTCTGAACTGCATTATTTTTGTCTTCACTGAACTGAAGGTATCCAGTGGAAATGAACCAAGAGTAGGGTATAAGTAGCCAAACACCATTTCCGTATCACTCTGGATATGACATCTCCTGGTGACTCTTGTATAACATTTAAACAAAATTCACAAATAGCTAGATACAGTAGTGCTTTTGTGAATGAATGTTTCCAAGTGATTAAAACCACACTTATTTATTTATATTCCAATGCAATGACTGTATTGTCTTCAGGCAATCTTGTCCCGGAAGTTGAAAGTGAAAGAGCTCCATGACTTGATGGAGAGAGTTCGGGAATTGTCCATCACCAGCTCGACCGGCCATGTCAGACTACACTGTAGACAGGTAGGTGTTGGTTTATAACTTGAACTGTTTAAAAAAATGAAATTTTTATTTTGTTGAATAGATAACCACCCCACCCCCAAACTTAAGGAATTGAGATTTTTATTCAACTGGACACTTTTTAACTGCTTCCTAAAGTGCATGGTGGTCAGGCTCAGTGACTTGGTTGTGTATGATCATGCTCATGGCGTGTCGCACGTCACGCCAAAGAACAGGGTTCGATTACCCAGATGGGTACAATGTGTGAAGCCCATTTCTGAGGTCCCCCACTGTGATATTGCTGGAATATTTCTAAAATCGGCGTAAATCCATACTCACTAACTCACTCATGGCGTGTGTGGCCAAGAGTTTAAGGGCTGCAGTGAGGTAGCTTTGATATTGCTCACAGTGCATAGCAACTAACAAACAAATCAGTATGTAACCTGTGAACATCTGGGTTAGAATTGATCTACAGAAACCCATGCTTGTTGAGGGGCGCTTGGGTAGCCAAGTGGTTAAAGCGTTCGCTTGTCACACTGAAGACCTGGGTTCAATTCCCAACATGGGTACAATGTGTGAAGCCCATTTGTGGTGTCCCCTGACTATATTGCTTGAATATTGCTAAAAGCGGGTGAAATCAAACTCACTCACTCACCATGCTTGTTGTAAGAGGTGACTAATGGGAGCGGCTGGTCAGGCTGGCTTTCTTGGTTGATACATGTCATCATGTCTAAGTAGCATAGATTGATGCTCATGATGTCAATCACTGGATTGTCTTGTCCAGACTCGATTATGACTGCTGTCATGTAGGTGTAATATTGCTGAGTGTGGCGTAAACAACAAACACACAAACAAGTCTGAACGTATGACTAAACAGTGTTGAGCTTCTGCTGCAATGTTTGTTGATTACAGGTGTTCCTGCAGTAACAACAAACAGACAAACAAATCTGAACGTATGACTAAACAGTGTTGAGCTTCTGCTGCAATGTTTGTTGATTACAGGTGTTCCTGCAGTAACAACAAACAGACAAACAAATCTGAACGTATGACTAAACAGTGTTGAGCTTCTACTGCAATGTTTGTTGATTACAGGTGTTCCTGCAGTAACAACAAACACACAAACAAGTCTGAACGTATGACTAAACAGTGTTGAGCTTCTGCTGCAATGTTTGTTGATTACAGGTGTTCCTGCAGTAACAACAAACACACAAACAAGTCTGAACGTATGACTAAACAGTGTTGAGCTTCTACTGCAATGTTTGTTGATTACAGGTGTTCCTGCAGTAACAACAAACACACAAACAAGTCTGAACGTATGACTAAACAGTGTTGAGCTTCTACTGCAATGTTTGTTGATTACAGGTTTTCCTGCAGTACCTGTTGGACTACCCCCAGAAGAACACCACACTCACTAAACACATGGAGTACTATGTGACCCAGCTGACCTATGACCTTGAGGAGGGTCGAGTCTCAGCGCTGGAGATGCTGGCGACAATATTCTCCAACTTCCCAGTGGTGAGTGGCTCCATTACTTCACTAAGTTCAACATTCCAAGTTTGGGCAATATACAGATTTTCTATTGGACAAGACTGTGAAACAAATGTTCTTATGCATATGAAAGACACTTTTTTTACGTTCATCGTTGTTCAAATGAGATGTAAACGAGATGTTAACACTGACAGACTTCTTCCACCTCCCTGGAGAGACACCTTTGAAATCCCTAGCAGGAATAAATACAGAAGCACTGTTTCTGGATGTATAAACACTTTAATCTTGAAGTCAGCATAGATTGGAGACCCATGAAGACCTAGGTAGAATAGGTCTTCAGCAACCCAAGCTTGCCGTAAAAGGTGACTATGCTTGTCGTAAGAGGTGACTAAAGAGATCGAGTGGTCAGACTTGCTGACTTTGTTGATGCATGTCATGGTATCCAATTGCTTGGATCGATGCTCATGATTTCAATCACTGGATTGTCTGGTCCACACTCAAGTATTTACGGACTGCCATCATATAGCTGGAATATTGCTGAGTGTGACATTAAACAACAAACAAACAAACAAACAAAGAAACAAAATTTTGGTTAATTAGTTGTTGCTGAACATGTGAGATAGAGACAATGTTCAGTAAGTTGCTCACTGCAAAACAAGCTTACATGGAAATCATCCCTTGTACATGTCTGCCACTTGATGTTGTGAACAATGGCAGCAGAAGGGATGAACACTATATATATATGTCTAGTTCACTCTCTTGCTTTCACATCCTACAGAAAGTGCTGATCCAGTTTGCTGGCTTGTTCTTCGTGCCAATGACGGCCAGCCTGATGAACGACGAGTCCCAGAAGTGCCGCAAGCTGACTGCCCTGGCCATCAAGGCCCTGCTGGAAAAGGTGACACTAGTGTTAGCACAAGTTGGTAGAATGGCATCATATCACATGTTCAACCCAACATAACAATGTTTAACCTAAGGAAGAGACATAATGGATGTCGACTTCTTCTTTATGAGGAGATCGCCTCCGTGGTCTAGTGACCCAAGACCCGGGGTTCGATCTGTGTCATACCAAAAGAAGTTAAAAGATGGTACTTGTTGTTACCCTGGCTGGCGCTTGGCTTTAAGTGGCTTAAACAAGGACTGGTCGACTCGGAGTCAGTATACTGTGTCTGAGTGGGGTATTCATGTTAAACTGCGGCATGGTATGTCAGTGGGCTAGCACTATAAAATCGGCATCAGTCGGACTAGTACAAGCATCCACACACACACACACACACGCACTAACAATCTTGGACGCAATGTTAATTTCACCTCACCTCTTCCTCATGTGTATGACTTCTAAATGCCATTCAAAGACTTCATGTTTATCCTTTTCACGTATGAACCATGTTCCAATATAGTGGTGTAGGGAAGACATTAATTGATATAGTGAGTACTATTCCCTTGTATGTGATCCTCTATGTGACCGAGATTGCATATTTAGCATTGATGTAAAACTTTGAACACAACCAAACTTCTTTTTATTCCTCAGCAAGTGTTTTTTGTATGTTTTAGATTGCCTTTGTTATGTTTTTTCGTTGAATGATGCACTTAGCGCTATTCAGTATGATGGCTGCCTGTAATTAACTAAGTTTGGCTCAGAAAAGGGCAGTGATCACTATCATGACCGATGAACCAATCTTACTTTGATTCCAAGCAACCAAGTCACCAGTCTGACCACCTGATTCATTTAAGTCACCATCTGTGAAGATCTGGGGTAGAATAGGTTTTCAGCAACCCATGCTTGCTGTAAAAGGTGACTTAGCTTGTTGTAAGAGGCGACTAACAGGATCAGGTGGTCAGACTCTCTGACTTGGTTCAAGCATGTCATCGTATCCCAATTGTGTAGATTGATGCTCATGATGTTCATCACTGGTATGTCTGGTCCAGACTTGATTATTTACAGACCGCTGTCATTTTGCTGGAACATTCCTGAGAGCATCGTTAAACAACAAGCAAACAAACAAACTTCTAAGTCATCTTGTATGACAATCAGAGGTACCTGGGGACCAATTCTAAACCTGAGTCCCCGAGGGGTTGAGAAAATGTCATTCTCTTTCAGATTAAATCCTCCTTGAGGCACTTATTGCATTTTCCTGGCTCAAGAAAATCTACATGACATAGTTGTAACCATTTTCCTTAATAAAAATTGTTACCACACAAAAAACTTTGTTTTTGTATGATATACGTCCACCCTTATGGTGCCTCACCCTCCACGGCGCGTCACGCCAAGGGAAGCAACTCTCACCCAAATCACTTTCCTTATGTCATCTGACAAAGACAGACGTGCTGTTTTTTTCAAGACAATATAAAGACAAGATAATCGTTCGTACAAGAACCATGGCAGACCAAACTGTATGTATGGTACATTTCTTTCATGCAAAGGCGTAATACCTCGCATTGTAAAGTTATAAAGTTGTAATTATGTGACACGTGTACGATACCTTTGAAACAAAGGCCGTCGTAGCGTCCATTTTGTAGTGCCACGTATGATACATGTAACACCAGGGCCATCAAAAACGGCTTGGGTTTTTTAATGTTATATCATCGGGCTTTAGCCTACAATCTTTTCCTTTAAATAAACCCAAGGTGGTGTGTTAATTATTTTTAAATTACACTTACCTTTTTTACGGGTTTTTTACACCTTCGCGTGTAACACGCCCACTTTGGTGTTATAATTATACTACGACATTGGCTATTAGTATCGCGTTACCAATCGCATTCTAAATTGCGCCTTTGCTTCTAGTTACACAATTTATGCACGTATCTTTCCGATCTTTCAATCGCACTGATACACTTTATTACCCTTCCCGCCAAACTAAAAAATTACGGTCTTTTTTACAGACCTTCAAACTGTGCTCGGCTTCGATTCCCCCCCAAGACAGGCATGATACTTGCATAAAGTGTTTGGCCGAAGACGGGCATGACGATGGGTCATGCCCGATCTGTGTTGCATTCACACCACAGGCGCAGAAAAAGAGAAATGTGGACCTCTTACACTTTAAGGGTCTATTGAAGGCGGGGGTGGACATTAGATCGGCAAGGACCGCCGCCCCCCCCCCCCCCCTCTAAAAAAGTAAGAAAGGGTAAAAAAGCAGCTGAGACTGTCTCCTCCGCTCCCTCCCCGGGGGCCGGGGGAGAAGGCTCTAGGGTCCCTGCACCCTCTTCTGCACCGTCTTTGGCAGACATCTCTGCCTTGTTGAGGTCGCAGATGGCGTCGATGATGGAGGAGGTAAAGTCTCAGCTCCGAGAGGAGATGCGGACCGAGCCTTCCCCGTTGTCGGCGCCGGACGCGGCTTCGAGACCTTGTGATATGCCCGGCGTCGGCCAGGGCAGGCCACTTGGTCTCGGGGACGATCTCAGACCGGGCTTCGGCGCCGGCTCGAGGTCGCTCCCCAGCGGAGGGGTGGCGGGCACTGGCCCGTTCACTACCGACGCACAGTTCTCCCTAGCGGAGCCAGACGCCTCTTCCGAGGCCGAGGCTTCCTCTAGCGGATTTCTAGCCCAGAGCCAGGTGGGTTCCCTTGAACCCCCGGCGCCTCGGGACCGGGACTCGGCTTCGGGCCGGGTGCAGCCCAGGGATGCGAAGGCCCAGGCCTTCGGGTGTCCCCTTCCGACTTCGTCTGCCACTTCTCTCGGGGAAGAGTCGATTAATTTCGGCTCGGAATCGAGAGAGGAGGAGTGGATGGAGGAGGGGGGAGACGACTCGGAGACCTCGGGAATATTTTCCTTCGTTTCCTCGTTGAGGCATGTACGGGACAAGATTGTCCAGGTACTGCCTCAGGTGGCTGCGCCCATGCCCCAGTCGGATCTGACTGAGTTCCGCCTTCCGGGTCACGCTTTTGCTCCGAGCAAGGCGCCCCAGGTGCGGCTCCGTATTCTGTCCTCATTGGTGCATGAAGTCATCAACCCTCTGTTGTCGGGTGCCCGCAGGAAGTTCGACCTGCCTGAACTTATTAAGCGGTACCCGTTAGCAGAGGATGGTAATATTGAGGTACCGGTGGTGGACGAATGCGTCTGGACCTCCGTTACCCTGGGGGGGTCTTCGACCCCCAACTTGGCTAAGGTCAAGCAGGGATGGCGGTTGCCACCCTTTCCCGCGTGCGGTACGGAGCTGAAGGCTGCTTACGTTTGCTTCGAGGAGCAATATCGTAACGCATGTCAGCAGCTCCGGGTGTCCGTACACTCCGCTTATCTGTCGGCCGTACAGAGGGAGTTAGCGGAAGAGGGGCCGGCCGACTCTTCGGAGTTGGCCGCGCAACTTACGGAGGTACATAGTCATCTTGCGGGGGACGCTATTCGTAGCTGTGCCTAGCAGATGATGTGCGCAGTCATGGGCATGCGCAGGCTGTGGATGTCGGTATCCAAATACTCGGCTTCCACACGCCAGGATCTACTTGCTTTGCCTTATAAGATGGGTGCCACCCTCTTCCCTGGGGCTCAGCAGGTGGTTCGAGAGGCCGCACAGTTGTATGCCTCCATCAAGGATTCTAAGGCCTTGTTGGAGGTACCATGCGTTAAACCGTGTAAGCGGACCTCTCCACTTGCTTCCTCCTACGCTGATGCGCCGGGTCAGAAGTCTGCACCTGCTTGGAAGCAGCCACTTCCTTCAGGTAAGGGCGCCGGGAGGAGCAAGAGAGGCAGGGGCCGGGGCAGGGCAGCTGGCCAGCAGCTTTTTCGTGGGGCCGGGAACCCGATTAGCGCCCGAAGTGCCCGGGGCGGACCCACGGTCGCATGTTATCGAACTGCCGACAGCCGGAGTCCACTGCCTCAAGCCGGATGTCCCCGTAGGCGGCCGACTGGCTCTATTCCTGCAGGAATGGGAGACAGTCACATCCAATCCCTGGACCCTGTCCACTCTAAGGGATGGCCATTTGCCTCGGTGGAAACATCATCCGCCCCCCTTCTCCGGGATAAAGCACACTCCGGTGCCTGCTACCCTAGAGAGGGCGGAATACCTCCGTGCCGAGGTCGACGCACTTCTTATGAAGGCTGCGATCGAACCGGTTCCCGTGGGACAGGAAAGCGAGGGCTTCTACTCGACATATTTCCTAGTCACCAAAAAAGACGGAGGGTTCAGGCCTATTCTCAATCTGAGAAGGCTGAACAAACTTATAGAGGTACCGTCCTTCAGGATGGAGACACTGCGCTCGGTGATCTCAGCTGTCGAGACTGGAGAATGGCTAACGTCAATAGACCTAAAAGACGCCTATCTCCACGTACCCATACACCCCGAGTTCAAGAAATACCTCAGGTTTTCTTTCGACGGGAGGTGTTATCAGTTCAGGGTTCTACCATTCGGGATCGCTACGGCCCCGAGGGTGTTCACCAAGCTGATGTTGATTCCCGCCCAAGTGGCCAGGTCAAAAGGTCGGTTCTGCCATCCGTACCTCGACGACTGGTTACTAAGAGCTCTATCGCAATCCCTGAGTCAGATAGCTACACAACAAGTGATAGATATTCTGATCACTCTAGGGTGGATAGTCAATCTCAAGAAGTCAGATCTGAGCCCTACTCAGAATCTAGTCTTCCTAGGGGCGAATTTCAACACTGTGAGCGGACTTGTATCCCTGTCACAAGATCGCATTACCAAGGTCAGAAGTGTTACTTCCCAGTTCCTTCTGTCCACCAGTCACACTGCTCGTACATGGCTCCAGTTACTGGTCAACATGGCGGCGACAGTGGATGTGGTTTGGCGGGCGCGCTTGAGAATGAGACCCATTCAACAAGCGCTCCGTCGACTTTGGGTGAACTCGGAAGATCTCGAGACTGTTCTCGAGACTCCGCAGTGGCTCAATGCACACCTTCAGTGGTGGACCGAGGTCAGGAATCAGTCCCGGGGGCTCCCCCTCGACACTCCCGTGCCGTCTCTCACAGTTCAAACAGACGCGTCACTCTCCGGCTGGGGAGGCGTTCTGAACGATCACACTGCCTCGGGACTATGGTCCCAGCAGGAGATCAAACTGCATATCAATGTGCTAGAACTGAGAGCGGTCAGGTTGGTGTTCCAACGCTTCCTGGATCTGCTTCGTGGCCAAGTGGTGCGTCTAGAGATGGACAACCAAACGGCGATGACTTACATCCGGAAGCAGGGGGGAACGGTGTCTCCGTCGCTTCTCCAAGAAACGTGGCAGTTCCTCCTATTGTGCGACTCACACGTTATCAGGGTGCTACCTGTTTATCTCCCGGGGGTAGACAACGTCCGTGCGGACGCTCTGTCTCGCCGGATCCTCGCTCCTCACGAGTGGAGGCTCGACCCGGGGATATTCAGGATTATCTCCCAGTTATACGGGTCGTTCCAGGTGGATCTGTTTGCGTCTGGGGTGAATCACCAGACACCAACGTTCTGCTCGCGAGTCCCCGACCCGAGGTCGGTGGCACCGGACGCCTTCCAGCTAGATTGGACGGACAGAATTCTGTGGGCATTCCCCCCAGTACCTCTGATCTCCAAGGTCCTGTCTCAGCTAGCCACTCAGCCTGCGCGACTACTTGTGCTCCTGGCACCCCTTTGGTCGGCGCAGAGTTGGTTTCCAGTCATACTCAGGTTTCTGGCTCAGCCTCCTGTTCTATTACCTTTACGACCGGACCTACTATCCCAGAACGAGGCCCTCCACCCGAATCCCAGGATTCAGTGGGTGGCTTGGCCACTGTCCGGAATCGCCTCCAGGAGAGCCGTATTCCTGCACGAGTTGCAGACACAATACTGGCTTCGCGGAGGGATTCGACAAACGTTCAGTACGAGGATAGATGGGCCTGCTATGCGCGCTGGTGTGTCGATAGAAGGATTGCAGATCCCTTTTCTGCAGATCTCGTAGCCGTACTTGAGTTCCTCCAGTCGCGACTAGATGTCGGCCTGGTACTCTACAGCTATCGCTGCCATTCACGTCCCCGTCGACGGGGCACTTTTGGGTGCGCACCCATTAGTGCAGCGTTTTTTAGCAGGTGTGGACAGGATCCGACCGCCTGTCTGGCGGATCAGTCCCCCTTGGGAATTGTCAATCGTTCTTGATTGGCTGTCCGGTCCTTCCTTTCGTGATCTGTCGTCTCTCTCTCTTCAGCTGTTGAGCTGGAAGACGGCGTTCCTTGTGGTGGTAACGTCCGGCAGACGGGTAGGCGACATTCACGCAATGTCAGCCGATCTTTCACCGGGACAGGGTCAGTATTCGCCTGCCGGACTCTTACCGTCCTAAGGTCGCACACGCCTTCCACGTGACGGCTCCTATTGAGCTACCTGCTCTTTCACAGCCTTCCTCGTCGGGGACCACTACAAGACATGCTCATGTCTTGGATGTCCGCAGGACCCTTAAGTCCTATATCAGCAGAACTAAGGGTATCCGTAAGGATAATCAACTATTTTGCTGTTATGGCGGTAGGAAGGCTGGCTCACCTGCGAGCAAACAAACTATCTCGAGGTGGATAGTCTCTACTATATGTACGGCGTAAACACTTCAAGGCAGGGACCCCCCTACCAAGTTGAAGGCTCATTCGGTTAGAGCAGTGGCTACGACACAAGCGTATGCCGCGGCTCTGCCCATTGAGGAGATCTGCTCCGCGGCTATTTGGAGCCAGCCGAGCATGTTCATCAAACATTACCAACTCGACAAACACTCTAGCGAGCGTGCTCGGTTTGGTCAGTCAGTTCTCCGAAGTTCTACATCTCTAGCCGATTGAGCCTTCGAGATTTTAGACCGCCCGGACCGGTTATAACACTGCTCAGTAACGGTCCGTATTTTATCTTCTACGGTCGATACAATACCAGCCATTACTACTCGATAATCATCGTATTTGCACATGCACTCCTTCGATTTACGGGGACCCTCTGGCCTAGCTCTGTGCGGGTTTATAGTCTCTCGTGATCTGTGCCCCCAATATCACTTGTTCAAAAAAGTGGGGGGGGGGGGGGTGTGTGTGTGTGTCGAGTTCTCGATATGATAAGCCACAAAGAATGGCTCTTTTCATTGTGTATGGTCGATAACGCCCTGTCTCCAGCCCCCGCCTTTCGACGGTGGTGCCTCACGATAAGGTTGGTTCCATTTATTGAACTCTTGTTTATTCATTGAAATAATCAAAATACGATGTATTAATGCACGCTTGTTGCTGACGGATGCCACTTCCTAGATTATCTTTAGGAGTCTATCTTGATGCAATAAGTGCCCCAAGGAGGATTTAAACCTGAAAGAGAATTTTAGAAACCTGTAGAGGTTATGAATTCTCTGATGAAATCCTCCTTGGGGCACGGCCACCCGCCTCCCCACATTCCGTCAGCATTAGACATATGGAAAGTGATTTGGGTGAGAGTTGCTTCCCTTGGCGTGACGCGCCGTGGAGGGTGAGGCACCATAAGGATGGACGTATATCATACAAAAACAAAGTTTTTTGTGTGGTAACAATTTTTATTAAGGAAAATGGTTACAACTATGTCATGTAGATTTTCTTGAGCCAGGAAAATGCAATAAGTGCCCCAAGGAGGATTTCATCAGAGAATTCATAACCTCTACAGGTTTGTAAAAGTTATGTTAATTGACTTGTTGTTTCTCAGGTGGATGCAGCTACTCGAGATGTGCTTTTTTCTATTGTGACCAACTGGATGAAGGATAAGAAGGTAGGTCATTGAATGAACTTCTTGCAAGGTGGTGATGGACAGTGTTGTTTGAGGGATGTCTATTGATGATGTTTATGAATGGTGCTTTTGCAAGGTGTTGTTGGACAGTGTTGTTTGAGGGCTGTCTGCTGATGATGTTTACAGATGATGTGTATGGATGGTGTTTCAGGTGATTCATCAGACTCTGGCATCTCAAGTTTGTGGGTTGTTTGTGGAGGTGGAGAAGACCAACTTTGAACATCGACTGGCGGATGTCCTGCCTCTGATACAACAGCAAGCTGACCCTGACAGATACGTGGAGGTAGGTTCTGCACGGATGTCACGTGCGGAGAGGAGGCTCTGGAGATGTCTTCATCTGATGGATGTTTCTTTTAACCTCCATTAACAATTGCTGACTTAGTCAGTCCATGTTATGTTAAGCATGTATAGGTGCACAAGTAAACAAGATTCAGTTATTATCCCATTATTAATTAGGGATTATTAATGGTTCATTTATGAATTGACTTCATATATACTATGTTCCACAGAAAGAAGGTGACCGGGAGTTCGAGCTGGACCACTGTCTGTACAGCCTCCTCGTCAACATCTCCAAACTCCTGAACAACTGTCACATCCTCCGCAACCAGAAATACACGGAAGACATGAACACAATATGGGGTAAGTCAAACAGGTTCTTCTGTGTCTCCCTGTGGTGATTCCATGTTAGAATGTTAGCACGGGTGGCCCAGTCATCCAAGGCCACATAATTCGCTGTGCAGAATCTCTTCCCTTTGGCCTGCCAGAAAAGTATGATTGTGGGTTTGAATCCTGGTTTGCCCCGATTATGTTTCTCGGTTTGTCAGCACCATACCCATTCTTGTGGGTTTCACCAAAGTGGTAAATGTCTGAGGTATGCATTACTTCGGATTTTGCTCCCACAGTAAACTGATGCGCTGTGATATAACTGGAATACTGTTCAATGCGGCATTAAACTCCATACACTCTCTCACCTAGGTTAGGACTGGGTCCAGTTCCACAAAGTGACCTGAGCAATTCATGTCTTACTTGAGTTACGATTATCTTAGCGCTAAGATCAATTTGTGGAACAGGGCATTGATCCTTTGTGACCTAGAGTTGTCATTAGAGACGTAATGAATTCAGTGGTCAGGTTCGATGACCTCGTCGGTTGTTGCTCATGATATCAACCACTAGGTTGTCTGGTCCAGCTTGATTATTTACAGGTTGCAGTAATGTGGCCTGAATATTGCTGACTGCAGAGTTAGGCAACATTCACTCACTCGCTCATCAATGCTAAGACCAACCAACTAACGGGGCTGCAGTGATATGATCTTTACGTTGTACGCACTGAAGACAGACATGGTACAGCCAGTGTATGTGCGAGATGTTTGTTTCAGAACATGTCCAGGACCAGACTCGTGAAGATTTTGGATTGGATTGCTTTTCAGCAACCCGTGCTTGTCTTAAGAGGCAAAAAACGGGAACGGGTGGTCAGGCTGGCTGACTTGGCTGACGCAGGTCATCGTATCCCAATATAGCGTGGATCAGTGCTCATGATATCAATCACTGGATTGTCTGGTCCAGACGTGATTATTTACAGTCACCGTCATATAGCTGGAATATTGCTGAGTGTGGCATTGAAAAACAAACAAACAAACCAGTACCACCTGCTGCAGTGATATAATGTTTACGTTGTAGCTCTGAAGACAGACATGGTATAGCCAGTGTATATGCAAGCTGTGTGTTTCAGAGCATGTCCAGCAAAACCTGCTGCAGTGATATAATGTTTACGTTGTAGCTCTGAAGACAGACATGGTATAGCTAGTGTATATGCAAGCTGTGTGTTTCAGAGCATGTCCAGCACCACTTGCTGTACCCCCATGCCTGGTGTCGACTGACCGCCTGCCAGCTGTTGGGTCAACTGTTCTCAGCGTGGCCACTGGATGATGTCCAGAGCCTTCTGGAGAGTGGTCAGTCGGAGGACTACCTGCTGACTGATACCAGGCAGAAGGTGAGAGTCTTGGGGACACGAGATGATTAACCATAGTGCCCAGTAGAGGATCTACCTCTTTTGGTTCCTGGGAAGAATATATTTGGTACACAATGAACATCTTCCCCAGGCAAGGGACTTAACTGACTATTTGAGTCCAGTTTCCACCCTTGCTGAACTTGGCTGGAATTTCGGGGCTTGATCGTAGCACCACCAGTTGCTATTACTAGTAATGTCCCTTCTATGTCCCTCCAGGGGGCACGGGTGGCCCAGTCGTCTAAGGCGCCGCGACTCACTGTGCAGAGTTGTGTCCCTTGGGCACGCCAGAAACCTATGATTGTGGGTTCGAGTCCCGGCCCGCCCCGATTATGTTTCTAGGTTAGTCAGCACCATACCCGTGCTCGTGGGTTTCACCGAAGTGGTAAACGTCTGAGACCTGCGTCACTTCGGGCTTTCCTCCCACATTAAGCTGACACGCCGTGATATAACTGGAATACTGTTAAAAGCGGCGTTAAACCCTACTCACTCACTCACTCACTCGCTCACTCACTCACTCACTCACTAACTCACATCCTCTGACTCACTCACTCACTCACTCACTCACTCACTCACTCACTCACTGTCCCTCCTTTTGACCAACCACCTCTCATATCTTTTGCATTTGCTTCAAACAAAATGGCAGCATCCACTCAAGACCATCTGTTTGGTAACCAAAATTTATATTCTGATAAAAAGTTTCTTTGCGAAGGGCAACAAATCATTTGAGCACCTTCATTTAAAACATGAAATATCAGTCAACGCCGAGTTGGACTATGTATAGACTCGTTAGACAAAATATAGCTCCATAATTCCAGCCTAGTTCGGCAAGGGTGGAAACTGAACATTTAAAGTCAGTTAAGTCCCTTGCCTCTGAAAGATGCATAATGCAACGTGTTATTCATGCAAATATTCTTGCACTTTCACTGAGTATAAAATTTGACAAGTTTAGGATAAAAGACACCAGAGGATTTTTATGAGATTTAAGGGGCATCAGGGTAAGTGTTTTCTCTAACTTATAAACCGAAAAAAGAAACTTAAAACAACATTTATCAACAATTTTGTTTCAAACATACTTTCTATAAACCTTAGGAAACGGGTGAAAAATATCTGTTGCTGGCGTGCGGGTACTTGAAAAAGACATTCTTAGAAGCATTGCGATTTATTAGCACTTCTGCAGCCTTGTGGTACACTCACTGGGCTACACATAGAAAGGTTAAATTGCGTGTTCCGTCCTGGGAATATGAAGAAAACATTTGTCATTTGATTTTACATTTCATTACATTATGTTCAAATGCAAAATAAATTTCCAGCGAGAAACATTGATGTGTTACAATATTAATGGAGGTTATGTTAATAAAGTCCCCGGGATATATAAAGTCCTGGGGATATCATAACATCCCTGTTTTTGAGATTTAACCCGACTGGAGAACATTGGGGCGACATCACTGGAAGCTTATGAGCCGGGATGAGCCGGGTTGTATAGACCTGTGAAGATCCGGGGTCGGGTGGCCAGGCTTGCTGACTTGGTTGTTGCATGTCATCGATCCCAACTGCGTAGATCAGTGCTCATGATGTCAATCACTGGATTGCTGAGTGTGGCGTTAAACAACAAACAAACAAACAAACAAACTGGTTGTATAGACCACAATGTTTTGATCACAGATTGTGTGATGTAGTAAGTTGCAGCTATACTGAATGACGTATTGTTGCCGTTATGTGAATGTTACTTGTCTTTCAGATGAGGGGACTCACTCAGTCTTTCATCACTCAACTACAGTCCGAACATCTCACCGAAGATCTCATCAACCAGGTACATGTTTGTTTGAATGAGGAGTGAAGGAAATCCCAGGTCTTGTATCTTGTATAGATAATGAGATGTAAGCAAACAACCTATGGTGGTCATACGAGGCAACTCAAGATGTGCAGTGGTCAGGCGTGATGATTTTGTTGATTACATTTTATCAGAACCTCAAACTACCTGTTAAGATCCTGGGTAAATAGGTCTTCAGCAACCCATGCTTGCTGTAAGAGGCGACTATCCTTGTCGTAAGAGATGACTAACGGGATCGGAGGGTCAGGCTCGCCGACTTGGTTGATGCATGTCATCTTATCGCAATTGTGTGGATCGATGTGCATGATGTCAGTCACTGGATTGTCTGGTCCAGATTCGATTAATCACAGAATGCCATCATATAGCTGGAATATTGCTGAGTGTGGCGTTTTTATAAGAACCCCAAACTGGATCATTGTTCATTATATCAATCACTGGTTTGTCTGGTCCAAATTTGATTATGATTAGGCTGCTGCCATTTCGCTAGCACGTTCCTGAGTGCTGCATCAAAACAATGATCAAACAAAAACAAAACTCTATTTGAACGACATGCAGTAAACTACGGTTAGTACAAACGCAAAGGGACCACTAATTTTAGTTCGTAATAACCGTAGTTCGTTATAAGCATTTATACAGCTTATGTACAACAAATGGCCGGGACGAAAACATTAGTTTGATATATTGGTCAGTCAGTCAGTAGTTCAGGTCAGCAGTTTACTGTATGGAAATCACATACTGTTATGGTGTTAAACAAAAATAAATATAACATCTGAAGTAATTAAGTATTTGCTTGTTGCCTTCTTGCAGATTGTGAAGAACATGCTGTATGTTGGGAAAGTCATCAAACTCCTGCCTTCCTCCGAGGAAGACCCAGCAGGCCTGGAGGAAGAGCCTGAGGAATCTGGGGGGTCCACCAAGGCCAAGCAAGGGCTGTCAGTCAAGTGGATCATCAAGCGTATGGTGCGGGAAGCTCACCATGAGGCCATTAACAACACCAAGGTCACTTTGAAGGTGAGGGTCCCCTACACCCACCCCCTTTTAATGAATGACCAGTTCCTTACTTGTTTGTGGATCAGCTACAAATCCATTGAGGAACTCTTTTGCAACTAGAATTTGTGTATGAAATCATCTCTCTTTATGTATATATATAAATAAAGTATTAGTTGAATGGGTTTTAGCATCGTAAATATCATACTAGCATTAGGAATAGAAATTATATTATGTGAGCCTTTGGTGAGCTGAATGCATGAATTGTTTTCCTGCAATTGTTTGAACTATTTACAACACAGGAACACACAAGGTTCCTAATCAAGTTATCATATAATGTCGTGGGAAATATTGGATGTTTAAGACATAATTTTACTCAATGTAGCTTTCAACACCACATATGAATACAATTTTCCATTAGCAAAAAGAATTAGGCCACGCCCACTACCGGACTACTGTTTCCTTAATGGCTGATAATAGAGTGGGTGGGTGGGGCTTGTGTCCGTCATTGCAGTGAATGATGTCACTGATTTCATATTGTTCTTTACAAGTTTTGTCTCAATGCTAAAATAATCAGTCCATGAAGTTATTGCTGTTTTTACCTCCATAAAGTCAGTTAGTAAATGAAAACATGTTTCATAGTTATAAAAATGGTGCCTTTGATCATGAGCTGTTTAGAAGTGTATCTCTTCAACCTCCTGTCATGTAGTGTTATCGGTTTGACAGAGAGAGGGGATCTTCAAGTGGCTGGCGGCGGTGTGTCTGGAACAGGACAAGTCTGGGTTACAGGACATCCTGCGTATTGTCATGCCCGCGCTGCACAGGGAGATGACAACTCAGGCCAATGCAGGTCAGTTCAGAAGTGTCCTCTTTGTTTCCTAGTAATGGGGAAGCAAATTTCAAGTTTAGATTCTTCCAAGGTACATGAGGGGCGGTCGGGTAGCCAAGTGGTTAAAGCATTCGCTCGTCACGCCAAAGACCCGGGTTCGAACCCCGACATGAGTACAATGTGTGAAGCCCATTTTTGGTGTCCCCCGCCGTGATATTGCTGGCATATTGCTAAAAGCGGCGTAAAACCATACTCACTCACTCCAAGGTACATTAGGGGAGTCGGGGTAGTCTAGTGGTTAAAGCGTTTGCTTGTCATACCAAAGACCTGGGTTTGATTCCCCACATGTGTATATGTGTGAACCCATTTCTGGTGTCCCCCGCAGTGATATTGCTGGAATATTACTTAAACCGGCGTAAAACTGTACTCTTCACTCGCTCCAAGGTACATTAAAGGAATAGTTTCCAACCATTACACATTTGACATAATCATTATGACATGTTGAAATGAGTTCCGCCAATACAATTAAGTGGAATGTATTTCCAATTTTGTAAACTACATTGCCAGTAATTGTTTTGTTATTTTACCTTGCCAAACCAGTTAATAACCAACTGAACCCCTTGTTTTCGCTTGTGAGCGAAGGTTTAGTATTTTTTTTAGGTGTTTGTTTGATGCTATCAATGCATAAGTACACCACACAGTATATCAAACAAATAAAGATTTCCATTTATTTCGGAAAATTACAAAGTGTATCAGTACATGATAGAATGACATCAAGATGCACTCTTTTCTCCTTGACGAGTAGTTTGTTCATCAAGTAGAAAATCCATGGACCCTATGTCATTGTGATTGTTATTTATTTTCATTGATCACTGCCTCAAGCCACTGAATATAATGATGATTATGTACGAGACGCCAGCCACTTATTATTGTGATGATAATATATAAGACGCCAGCCACCTATTATTGTGATGATTATGTACGAGACGCCAGCCACTTATTATTGTGATGATTATGTACGAGACGCCAGCCACTTATTATTGTGATGATTATGTATGAGACGCCAGTCACTTATTATTGTGATGATTATGTACGAGACGCCAGCCACTTATTATTATGATGATTATGCTCCAGACTCGAGCCTGAAGACTCTGGCCCAGGAAGTGATGGATCTGCTGAAGAGGCTGGTGGGAGTGGAGGCATTCTCCCAGGTGTACGCCACAGTGCAGCAGACCAGGGCTGAGAAGCGAGCAGGGAAGAAACGCATGAAAGCTGTTGAGGTGAGATATACTTTTAACAATAGTCTTAAGGGTGTCAGACGCGTTCCATGGTCTAGTGGTAGAGCATCCGCCCGGAGAGTGGAAGGTATGGGGTTTGATGCTCGACCGTGTCATACTGAAAGATGTATGTGTCCTGGTTCTTGTTGTTACCCTGTCTGGTGCTCAACATAAAGGGGCTAAAACAAGGACTGGTTGGCTCGGAGTCAGTATACTGACGCACGCATGCACGCACGCACGCACGTTAACCAATAAACCTGCTGTTCACTCTATATGTATCATGTTCACTCGTTATGTGTGTTGACCTGTGAAGAAAAGGTCTTCAGTAAACTATGCTTGTCGTAAGAGGCGACTAACTGGATCAAGGAGTGGGAACAAACAAACAATATGTGTCATGTTCACTCTGTGTCCTGTTCACACTATATGTGTCCTGTTCACTCTATATGTGTCCTGTTCACTCTGTATGTGTCCTGACTCTGTATGTGTGTGTTCACTCTATATATGTCCTGTTCACACTATATGTGTCCTGTTCACTCTATATGTGTCCTGTTCACTCTATATGTGTCCTGTTCACTCTGTATGTGTCCTGTTCACTCTATGTGTGTCCTGTTCACTCTATATATGTCCTGTTCACTCTGTATGTGTCCTGTTCACTCTGTATGTGTCCTGTTCACTCTATATATGTCCTGACTCTGTATGTGTCCTGTTCACTCTATATGTGTCCTGTTCACTCTATATGTGTCCTGACTCTGTATGTGTCCTGTTCACTCTGTATGTGTCCTGTTCACTCTGTATGTGTCCTGTTCACTCTATATGTGTCCTGTTCACTCTGTATGTGTCCTGTTCACTCTATATGTGTCCTGTTCACTCTGTATGTGTCCTGACTCTATATGTGTCCTGTTCACTCTATATGTGTCCTGTTCACTCTGTATGTGTCCTGTTCACTCTATGTGTGTCCTGTTCACTCTGTATGTGTCCTGTTCACTCTATATATGTCCTGTTCACTCTATATATGTCCTGTTCACTTTATGTGTCCTGTTCACTCTGTATGTGTCCTGTTCACTCTGTATGTGTCCTGTTCACACTATATGTGTCCTGTTCACTCTATATGTGTCCTGTTCACTCTATATGTGTCCTGTTCACACTATGTGTCCTGTTCACACTATATGTGTCCTGTTCACTCTATATGTGTCCTGTTCACTCTATATGTGTCCTGTTCACACTATGTGTCCTGTTCACACTATATGTGTCCTGTTCACTCTATATGTGTCCTGTTCACTCTATATGTGTCCTGTTCACACTATGTGTCCTGTTCACTCTATATGTGTCCTGTTCACTCTATATGTGTCCTGTTCACTCTATATATGTCCTGTTCACACTATATGTGTCCTGTTCACACTATGTGTCCTGTTCACTCTATATGTCCTGTTCACACTATATGTGTCCTGACTCTGTATGTGTGTGTTCACTCTATATATGTCCTGTTCACACTTTATGTGTCCTGTTCACTCTGTATATATGTCCTGTTCACACTATATGTGTCCTGTTCACTCTTTATATATGTCCTGTTCACTCTATATGTGTCCTGTTCACTCTATATATGTCCTGACTCTGTATGTGTGTTCACTCTATATATGTCCTGTTCACACTATATGTGTCCTGTTCACTCTATATATGTCCTGTTCACACTATATGTGTCCTGTTCACTCTATATGTGTCCTGTTCACTCTATATATATGTCCTGTTCACTCTATATGTGTCCTGTTCACTCTATATGTGTCCTGACTCTGTATGTGTGTGTTCACTCTATATATGTCCTGTTCACACTATATGTGTCCTGTTCACTCTATATGTGTCCTGTTCACTCTATATATATGTCCTGTTCACACTATATGTGTCCTGTTCACACTATGTGTCCTGTTCACTCTATATGTCCTGTTCACACTATATGTGTCCTGACTCTGTATGTGTGTGTTCACTCTATATATGTCCTGTTCACACTTTATGTGTCCTGTTCACTCTGTATATATGTCCTGTTCACACTATATGTGTCCTGTTCACTCTGTATGTGTCCTGACTCTGTATGTGTGTGTTCACTCTATATATGTCCTGTTCACACTATATGTGTCCTGTTCACTCTGTATGTGTCCTGTTCACTCTGTATATATGTCCTGTTCACACTATATGTGTCCTGTTCACACTATGTGTCCTGACTCTGTATGTGTCCTGTTCACTCTATATATATGTCCTGTTCACTCTGTATGTGTCCTGACTCTGTATGTGTGTGTTCACTCTATATTTGTCCTGTTCACTCTGTATGTGTCCTGACTCTGTGTGTGTGTTCACTCTATATGTGTCCTGTTCACACTATATGTGTCATGTTCACAGGCTGTGTCGAGACCGGACGTTGCTGCCAGGAAGAAGATAAGGAAATACGAAGTGAGGAAAGAGTCAAGAAAGAGGAAGATTCAAATGATGAAGACTGGGAAAAACCCCAAGAAGTTAAAATTGAAGAAAATGGCAATTCTTGAGGACTGAACCAGAGTGTACTTATTGTTATGTGAGGGAGGGAGGCAACTCCAGCTGTATGATATGTACATAAACCAAGGATATTGTACATAAAATAAATTCTCAAACATTCTCTTTCTATTTGTACTTTTTTGTATGCCTGAGTGCGCTGTGACATGAGATTGTACCATGATATATAAGTTAGCTACGAGATGAATCGTAAATTGGAGGACGTTATTTTTGAGAGGGAAGTGTCCTGCGAGTTGAAGCCCATAGATGTAGCTGGACAGTGCAGATGAACGCTATGGTCGAACTATCGAATCAAAAAGCAGGAGACATATGACAATCAGGATTGGGAGAAAAGTTGCAGATAATCAACATGAAAATGTTGAGAATACCAGATTTAGTCCCCTGTAAATAAATTGGACTTGTCTGACATTGCTGAGGTTGGATTGTATTCAGGGAGTCATCATTATTTGCAGACAGGTAACTGTTTTTACAGCTTGTACATTTTACTGACGTACTTTAAGAGGCTGTACAAAATCTTGATATCTCATATGAGAAAGAAGTGAAATACTGACATCCCTGTCTTGGTCACTGTACGGTTATTTATGGAGTGCGATAGTGCGCACCACCTCTTTTGAAAAGCCTGCTATCTCATATTTGCACATACAGCTGAAATCATTGCATACACATTTAACACAAGAAAATGAAAGCAGTTTGGAATCCACTCAACACCATGGGTCTGTCTGTGACGCCGGAATCACATAGGTTAATATGTTCCCCTCCATGACAACATTGGTCTGTTGGTCCCATGAAAGTCGGTTTGAATTCAGTAGTATACTGGATTTATTCACTTGTATCTTTTGTTTATAAAGGCAGGTAAAATTATACAGTGACATCTTCAACCAATTGGTCACACCAGCAATGTATTTACTTTAAGAATTTGCAGTAATCAAATCAATCTCCGACCTGTGAAGATCCGGGGTCTTCAGCATCCCATGTTTGCCATAAACGGCGACTATGATTGTCATGAGAGGCGACTAACAGGATCGGGTGGTCAGGCTCGCTGATTTGGTTGATGCATGTCATCGTATCCCAATTGTGTAAATCGATGCGCATGAAGTCAATCACTGGATTGTCTGGTCCAGACTCAATTATTTACAGACCGCAGTCATATAGCTGAAATACTGCTGAATGCGCGTTAAACAGCAAACAAATCAAAACAAACAAACAAACAAATCAATCTCCAGTAATCAATCATCTTAAGTGTTAATACAGTGAAACCCTGTTTGTGTAACAATTTGAAATATCTACTGTTATTTGCCTTTTCGAAAGTAGCCAGCTTTGCAAATTGAACAAAATGGGGCCTACTTTTTGGCAGTACCAGAGTGAACGAGTTTCACGTGGCTTTTAGCAATATTCCAGCAATATCATGGGGGGAAGACACCAGAAATGGGCTGATTCACACATTGTACCCATGTGGGAAATCGAAACTGGGTATTTGGCTTGAAGAACGCTATAACCACTAGGCTACCCCTCCTCCCCTGATAGTACCAGTAGAGAGGTGATTGCTTCCTTTTTCATCTGAATCCCATTATATAAAGACACGACTTCGACTTCGTAGGTAAGACATAGGTAAGATACGATATAATATTTGATATTGAAACCACTAGATTTTACCAGATTTGGTACATCTAGATGGTATCAGATTGTAAATCATAGGATCAGCTTCACAAATTTTACCTGTAGCAAGCGTAAGTAGGTGTAATCCTGTAATTAATGGAAATAATACAAATGTCACATGCAACCTGTATCTGTACAATATATCGGTAGCTTTGGGGCCACGGGTAGCCCAGTGGTCTAAGGCGCCGCGATTCGCTGTGCATTTTTGGCAGCGTCATACCCATGCTCGTGGGTTTCACCGAAATGGTAAACATCTGAGACCTGCATTACTTCGGGCTTTCCTCCCACATTAAGCTGACAAGCCATAATATAACTGGAATACTGTTAAAAGTGGCGTTAAACCCAACTCACTCACTCACACTCTGTACCTACCGATTTCTTGGTTAACCTTCCTGTTTCAACTTTTGCAGCAACATCTAACATTTGTTTCATTTTTGTCAATTAGTCTTTAGTGTTTATGACATACTATTTGAATATCGAATATATGTAAGTGAACTAAAGTGTCACATCGAGAAAAAAATAAAAAATTAAGAAAAACAATAGATTAACCATTGTTATGTCTGTTCTTTGAATGTGTGGTCCGCCTCCGTGGTCTAGTGGTAGAGCGTCCGCCCGGAGAGCGGAAGGTTCGGGGTTCGATCCCCGGCCGCGTCATACCAAAAGGCGTTAAAAGATGGTACTTGTTGTTACCCTGTCTGGCGCTAGGCATTAAGGGGCTAAAACAAGGACTGGTCGGCTCGGAGTCAGTATACTGTGTCTGAGTGGGGTATTCATGTTAAACTGCGGCATGGTATCTCAGTGAGCTAGCGCTATAAATCGGCATGAGTCCGGACTAGTACAAGCAGCCACACACACACGTGCATGCACGTCGCTATATAAGTGCAATAATCTTGGATGCGACGTTAAACCCAATTTCACCTCACCTCACCTCTTTGAATGTGTATTAACACAGTGCTAAATCAAATGTTAAGGATGTCTTGGCAAGTGTTTCACCCTCCACAGTACATAAGACAATTATTGTGTGCTATTTCCTGGACAAGGCTGAGCTATTAAATGATTGATGAGAATTGAGACACATCTGTAACCCGATGAAATTGCTAACAGGCACGCTTTCACAGCAGAAGCGTCAACAGGAAGTTGAGATTATACCCTATACTGGTCCCTCATCAATCTTGCTGACAGGTCTTGATAAGTAACGTTACTATATTTCTGTATCAGCTATATATGCTGAACAACAAAAGTTCCTGTGACATTGAATAAGATTTAATGCAAACGTATGTTTTTACCAAATCTGAAACAATTTCGGTTTGCAACAGATAAAAGGCGCCTGTAAGTGTTCAAATGGTTTAATTTGCCATACTGTCTTCAGAAAATGCGTGATTTCATAAAAAAACAACATGAACATGCCAAAATGTCAATTTACAAATCAATAGCGTGTGTGTCCACCTCTGGTTGCGATGCAAACAACCCATCTTCGTCTCATGGAATGGACCAGGCGTTGCACAAGGTCCTGTGGGATATCTGTCCATACCTGCTGGAGCATGTTTCGAAGTTCATGGATTGTCTGTGGAACACCTGGTTGACGTCGAAGGCACACATGTACTCGATTGGTGAGAGATCAGGGGAGCAAGCGGGCCAGGGATGACATTCACGTTGTTTTGTTGAAAAGCATCCTGAACAAGTCGAGCAATATGAGGCCGGGCGTTGTCATGTTGAAAGGTAATGCCTGGGCCATGACCTCGCAAAAACGGTAGAACAACAGGGCGATGATCTCGTTGCGGTAGCGCTGTCCATTGAGATTTCCCACTACCACTATCAAACGGGTCCTCTGTCTTGCTGTAATCCCACCTCATACCATAACGCTGCTGCCCCCGTACCGATCTTCTTCCATGACACAATGACTGACGTAACGTTCACCTCAACGTCGGTACACTCGAATCCGTCCATCGCTGTGGCTGAGGTGAAAACGAGACTCGTCAGTGAATAGAACTTGTCCCCACTGCATGGCCGTCCAAGCAGTTGCGTTTTTGTGACTTGATTCCATACGTGTACTACAATATTAAAAACCAAACTTTACTTGTTTGAAAAATACACTAAAATATTGGTGTCACAGGAACTTTTGTTGTTGAGTATATATTCTGTTAATAGTTATGATGACATAAGAAGAACTAATAATGACCTGACACTTGAGAATCAATCAATCATATAAATTATATATTTACCAAGGAATAAGAGAATACTCGGTTTAAATGTATGTGCCACACCTCAGATTAGAACAGTTGGAAAAAAACTCGATATAATGGCAGGCATGACAACAGTGTGAAAGTATCAAGACATTTATGCATAAATCTGTTCCATTTCCATATAACTTTCTTAATAATGTATTTACACTCAATGATAATGCAATGTAATTTACAGTCAATGTGTTGAATTCCAAGCTTGGAGTGTCAAACCTTTTTTTTTGATAACACCATTTCTTCAAAGAATTAATAACTCAAGGCCGCTGACACTTGAGGAAGTAACATCCTTACCGACAGCGCTACGCTAAGCAAACTCACATACACAATGTGCCATCTATTTCAAAAAGTTGCAGGAAGGAATTTCTTCACCCACACTCTAAAGTTATTCAGGTTATACAGTAAAATCATACGAAACCCAACTCGTTATTTGAAATACAAGTATCGAAACAGAGTTCTACCCCGATAAAGGAAAATAATAAATGCGAACTTTAAGGATTATTGCTGACTATTGGAAGTTTCCTGACATTGGGACAATGATGAACACAGTGATACTGGGACAATGATGAACACATTGATACTGGGACAATGATGAACACATTGATACTGGGACAATGATGAACACAGTGATACTGGGACAATGATGAACACAGTGATACTGGGACAATGGTGAACACAGTGATACTGGGACAATGATGAACACATTGATACTGGGACAATGATGAACACATTGATACTTGGACAATGATGAACACATTGATACTGGGACAATGATGAACACATTGATACTGGGACAATGATGAACACAGTGATACTGGGACAAGGATGAACTCACACAATAGCTTCTCTTTTCAGTAAGAGGTAGCGTGACATTGGGACAATGATGAACACAGTGATACTTGGACAATGATGAACACATTGATACTGGGACAATGATGAACACAGTGATACTGGGACAATGATGAACTCACACAATCGCTTCTCTTTTCAGTAAGAGGTAGCGTGACATTGGGACAATGATGAACACAGTGATACTGGGACAATGATGAACACATTTATACTGGGACAATGATGAACACATTGATACTGGGACAATGATGAACTCACACAATAGCTTCTCTTTTCAGTAAGAGGTAGCGTGACATTGGGACAATGATGAACACAGTGATACTTGGACAATGATGAACACATTTATACTGGGACAATGAT